TTCCGTAGTTTAGTTGAAGTCTTGTATTAGAAAAAGAGAAAACTTTAATAAAACTATTCACATTTTGTACTATGTAAAAACGAAAACACTTTAGCACCAAAAACGGGGAAGAGACTTTAAAAAGTTGTGAAGGAGAAAGCGAAAAAAGAAAATGATGAAAAGAATCGAGATTGACCTTGACGAGAAGATGATGAGAGAAAAGATGTCCACTATGATTTGCATATCAAGACAACAGTCATTCAGTCAACCTCTTTTTCATTTCATCGAGAAAAATAGGAAAATACCCTCTAATTAGAGAGATTTCCTTCTCCACACCTAGACACCGACTCTACTCTTTTCCACAAAAAGATACTCAATCTCAAAAATTCATGTGACAAAAGCTTAAGCATAACTCCAGCATTTTCAATACTTATGGCGATCAGTAATTAGTAATTAGTAATTACAGTAATTACGAAATTTAAACCACACTTTGTACAAGTTTAAGCCCAAAATGGAAACACACTTATAAATGTTAACAATTTTAAGTGACATTTTTCAAAACCTTACCTTTTGAGCTATTTCTGGCCTAGAAAAACCTGTGGATTGCGTGTAAATTGAGTTTTTCACAAATTCTTGTTAAGCTTTCTTAAAAGAATCAAAAGTGAAATGTAATTCTAACATTTTTAATGTCTTGTAGATACAAAAGACTGTTATTAGGTTGATGCAAAAGTCTTTTTCATTTTTTTCGTACTTCCGTTAAAAAGTAACAAATGCACCAATTGAACAACGGTTTATTGCATTCGAAAGGCCAATTATTTTTCGGCAAAATGACATTAAAACGAGTTTAAAATGTCTTATGTCTAGATTTTTTTGAGAGCCTGAAGTCGGGTAGTCAAAAAAGGCGACGGCTCGATGATGCATTTTAGACGCTTTAGCTAAGGAAACCAATCTTGATGTTAATAAATAAAAGATAGAGCAGATTAGATATTTTTTCAGATTTTCAGAGAAATTGATTCAGCTAATTTCTTTATAGAGGTTTTTATAGATTTTTATGAAAAACCCGTTTTCACTCTCGAATTTGCTTGAAAGTGAACCCAAATTGACTTAAAAAGATGGGAAATTCAACAATAAACACTTTTCATTTAGAGCAAACCATAGGTTAATTGATGACTTAGTTATTTTTCAAAAGAAGTACGAAAAAAATGAAAAAGACTTTTGCATCAACCTAATAAATAGTGAAGATTTTCTTATGATTAAACAAAAAAAAAAACAACTAGAGTTTGATTGATTTTAGCGAAATTTGGTCGTTGAATCGCTTTTTGGAATATCAAATTTCGTAAATTGTAAAAATAATCTAGAAAATCGAGTTTTTTTTTCATAAATTAATTTTGAAAGCTTAAACATAACTCCAGCATGTTCAATATTTATGGCGACCAGTAGAATACGATCTGCGAGCTTATTGAATATTGAACATCATGTAGACAGTTCCAGAAACATCAGTCCCAAATATTGAACATCATTTAGACAAAGTATATTTGGTGGACTGGGTATTTCGAGTGCCTGTTTCCTATTTCTCTTTTCCCTTTTTAGATGGGGCTCAAAGCCGACTGATCACCGGCTTTTGCATTGAAAAGTCCCAAATATTGAGCATCATTTAGACAAAGTAAACGTTATAATGCTAGTGAGAAATGATTGTATTTATAATATTTATAATTCGGATGGTAGATAATATCGAGCTGAAAGCTCGATCTTTTGATGATGATGATTTTGGCTTTTGTCTAACAGAAAGAGTTCAAATAAAGCGGCTTACATTTCTTTATACACCATATTATACACCATATATCCTAAGGATTAGTTTCTTTTTTACGTGTAACACTTATTCAATAACTAAAACTCACCCGACACTGGATTATTGTACGGTCCTTCATAGAAAGAGACGTGTGGTGGTCTTTGAGAGAACATCTCTCAAAGACGAAAAGCGACTTTTCTATCAAATAATCCTAAAATTCTTTTATAAACTTTTAAGAATCGCAAAATGAATCAAATTATCCGCTTTATAAAGCATAAATTGTGCCTTTTTATCAAAAAAAAAATGAATCATTTGAGAAAAATGTCTATTAAGGTTATCTATACAGAGTTTATTAAATGAAAATATTAAAAGTGTGAAATTTGAGTGAAAATAGCGATAGGTTGTGGAAAGTTCGATTTCAGAGAGTTCGGAAGAATGGAAAAGGGTGTGGGGGACTTTGAGCTTTGTTGAGAGGAGAAAGGGGGTGCTGCTCGCAATTATTACCCCCAACCATTGGTGGACTGGGGTGCGGAGTGCGTATTTCGAGTGCCTGTTTCCCTTTTCGCTTTTCCCTTTTTAGATGGGGCTCAAATCCGACTGGTCACCGGCTTTTGCATTGAAAAGTTTCCTCTTGAATACTCTAGACAAAAAAAAAGACAAAAAGACAATTGAAATTCATGAAGGAAACAAACAATGACCGCAACTTAATGACTTTTCTACCCCGTCCTAACCATGCCTCGATAGCTCAGAGGGAGAGCGTTAGACTGAAGATCTAGGGGTCGCCGGTTCGATCCCGGCTCGGGGCAAATTTTTTGGTTATTTTTTTCAAATTACCTATCAAACTTATGAATTAAGTTCATATTTCTTCATTCTTCTTTAAAACGGTTGAATGAAGATGGTCGAGAGTGAATGAGTAGACAACCGGCTCGATTCAACCCGAGAAGAGATGGGCGCTCAACCGAGAAGAGCAACACCTTCAACTCCTTCTCCGCAAAACTTTTCTCTTTTGGCAACACATATTCTCTCTTTTCGATCTAATTGCTCCATTCCATTCACGAAAAATGGGTACTATTCTTTGAATGGAAGCGCTTTAGCTTTTCTTCTTCTTCTTTTGCCACTTTTCTGAATACCCGTCCTTTACCCCCAATGACTGTCTACTCTCGTCATTTCATTCACCTCGTCTAGTTTGTGTTTTTTTTATTCTATATCTACCTTCTTAAGCTCTCTTCTAAGATAAGATAATAGTAATAGTAAGTAAATAGAACATAACCTCAGTCAAAAACAATTTAAAATCTGTATTTTCCCTTGATAGAACATTTACAACCATTAAGAGTGTAGAGAAAAGAGTGAATGGACGGTGAGACGGGCCAGCTGGCTGTCCCTTCGAGAGGATTACTTGAAGGAAGGGTCAAGCCTGGATCAAGACCCTTCTCAGACTTGATCCTTAAAGATCTTTTCACCCTATTTTTTTTTTTTGATTCTTTTTTGTTTTCTGATCTATGTTCTTGCTAAACAATCACTTGATTTGACCTCTTCTCATCATCTGTGGTTTAAATTGTAATCCTTAACCTTATCTACTTAACACATTAATTGATAACCTTATCTACTTAACACAGAAATACAGTCGAACCTCTATATAATGATAGCCTGTTACTATTGTTATATCAAGATTTTGTTATCTAAAGCTAAATAAAACTACCGTAAATACTGTAATAGTGCCCCACCCCCATAATGACCGTGCGGAGTGTTGCGTAGTCTAGCTTTGAACGCGTTTTTCTCGACACTGGTTTATGCTACAAAGCGCGCTTAGATATCAAAAAATAACTGAAATTCAGGGCTATTTTTTGATACTAAAGACGCATTTTTTGAAAGTACGGGCGCTTTGAAAAAAATGAAATACGAAAAAACTTTTGCGACTACGCGACTGTACGATGGGGTTGGGGTACTATTACAGTATTTACGGTAGGCTTTCTTAAACAAATCGTTATACAGGATCATTATAACAATTTTATTAACGATAAATTTTATAACAACAATTTCTAAAAACTACAAGTGTATGTATCGCTGAAATTTTTCAGTTAGAAGTTTGACGTTTTTTTAAGGACCACATTATCACCTTACTAGAGAGAGGCACTAAATTAAGGTCGAGTTTAAGCTTATAGAATGGTTGACCTGGTAGAGTTCGATACGGGGAAACCGAAAGCCGTTTTTAGTTTTTCCTGCGGACGTCTCAATAGCCAGATATTTGGCATCAAAGTTTGCTTCGGCAAAAACTGCTGTCGGCACTAGCCGGATCCGAACCCTCATCGTTTGCCTATAAATCGGCCGCGTTACCCCGGCGCCACTGATGCAGCGTTTCTGCATCGTTAGAGAGCGCTTTCATTTTCAATGCAAAAACTTTGATGCCAAATAGCTGGCGATTGAGACGTCGACAGGAAAAACTAAAAACGGATTCGGGTTGCCCGTGTCAAACTCTACCAGGTGACCATTCTAGAGGCTTGAATTCTACCTTAATTTAGTGCCTCTCTCTAGTAAGATGAGAGTATGGTCCTTAAGAAAACGTCAACTTCTAACTGAAAAATTTCAGCGATACATACACTTCTAGTTCTTACCAGGTGACCATAGAATGATCACCTGGTAAGAACTAGAAGGTAAGAACTAGGCTTTCATCTTCTATGGTCCTCTATCTAGTTAGAGTAAAAGCAAATACTGGACTAAAAGAAAAACTGTAATAAAAACTGAAATTATAGTAAGTCAGCAGGCTGAATACTTTACATTTTTACATTTAAATAAAGCACTGAATAATCGACATTCAGGCTTTCTATTTAAAGTCTGTTTTTGACGCAAAAATTTCATCGTTATATCGATGCTCATTGTAAAGAGGTTCGACTGTACTTCGAGAGCTTTGAAACGAAAACGAATAAGGCATTTGAATGGTTTGAATGCTGACCGTCTTGGAAGAGAAAGACTTCTCTCGATTCTTCCCTTTCCTTTTCAGTAATTGCAGTGGACAATTCTTTCGCGAGAGGGGATTTCCCCTTCTCATCCCTTCCAACCATCCTCGAAAACCCTCGGGGACCTCGATCCGCTCCTTCGAAAAATCCGTGACACTCATTCCCCTCATTCCCCTAAAAATCCTTCCCTTTTACCCTCACCTTTACCCCCACCACTTCACTGGTCATTTTCATTTTCAGTCGGATGTTACTCTTCTAAATTTTCTCAACTTTTCAAGATGATTAGATGGATAGTGGTGAGTTTCTATAAATTTCTATCAGCCTCAAAAATCGGCTTACAACTGGTTTTGAAGGCTGCATACGGCTGGAACTCCTTCAAAAGCATTATCAAAACAAAAACAATTGCTACATAAAAAAAGAGAAAATTATCGATTTTCGTAGAAAGTCTTGTCGAAAAGAATCATTCTTCTTTTTTTTGCGATATCTTTTGAAATTTGCTACTGTGAAAAAGGAATTGAATTGTGCTTTAGCAAAAATAAAACTCGACTGATTTTTGAAATCATTTGATGTTAAACAAAATCGATTTTCATTTTAGCAATTATTAAACAAAATAAAACAAAAACTCTTTTAAAAACTACAAATCGATTGTTGCTTAACGAAAATTGGTCTTAATCTATTTTTGCAATCGAAATCTTAGCTTAAAGTACTAATTACAATTTCTGTTGTTCAAAACGCTCAGAAAAAAAACTCTAGCATTGCGGAGGAGTCGAACCAAGAGCCCGTCTTTGGCGTCAGACTGAAACCCAGCGCCTTAGAACACTTAGTCACGCTCATAAGGGGAAATCGAGAAACCGCCTTTTTACAAAAAAATCGCCCGTCTAACCCACAAAGCTAATTAGATTTTTGGAAACTACATAACATTTTGGATATAATAGTCAGATTTTCCCACCGATTGGTTCGGCGGTCTTTTCTAAAACAGAGGAACATACAGACAGACATACAGACAGACAGACAAACAGACAGACAGACAGACAGGCAAACAGACAGACAAACAGACAGACAGACAAACTCTCTCGCTTATAATAGGTAGGATTCTTGTTCATTCTTATCCTTTAGCTATTTCTGCTTGGCATTCCATGTCTACTTTGTCAGACGCCGGATTTGATAGCAGGTTTTGGCTAATGATTATGAAACACTAGATTCATTTCCAGAAAAATCGGTCACCTGCTCCAGTGACTCGATGATTGTTCGTTTTCGCTTTCAAAAGCCATTCGCTGGAAGCATCTTCACGGAACGAGGATTTAGCCACGAAAAGTGAATGCAAATTGATATCTTTACCTATTTCTCTGCCCGTGATTTTCAAATTTAATCAAATCTATTAAGATGTCACTGGTCGGGTGCCTCAAATCTCGAGGTGAACGTGCAAGTGCCGATTCTGAACACAACCGAGTGCGGAGTGGCTTTCAATCAGGTTTCAGCTTTAGGTTTTGTTTTTTCACTCAAAAGCTTTAGGAAACCGGGGAATTCGCTGTGAAACTTATCGTGAGTCCAGTTGATGGCCTCATTGTTGATGGATTCTCAGGTTTTTTGAAATCTCGTCTTTTCTTTTAACTTTTATGTTCTAGCGGTGAATGTTCGATGCATCTATCTCACTCAAGATATCACTCTCACTTTGCCAGCGAATCAGGACGGTAAACACGCGTTGAGTATTAGGTTGGTGTTGGAAAAAGCTCACTTTAGTTATAGTAAAGATAAAGATGAGTTATACTGTAATAAAGATACATTTATTCACACGAACAATGTGATAAAAACATTAAAAAAGCACAACGCTTAAGCCTTAAATATAAAAAACGGGAAAGAGAAACCTGGATCCAGTCTGCCGGGGTCAAAACCTCGACCCCTGGGACTCCACCTGACCGGACACCTGACTGGGACTGGGACCTGGGACCTGGGAGTGACTGGGATCCAAGGCTCTTAGCCAGTTGGCCATAGCTGCAGATGAAAGCTATTCTAGTGGATCGACTATTGAAGGATCGGTGGTGACTGGGACGGGTGGAGCTCCTCTGCTATCTATGCAGGTACACATTTGATTTGAATTTTCTTTTATCTAAATGAATTCAGATTCTTGAAGGACATGGAATCACAGGACAACCAGTTGCCAGAGCGTCAGTCGGTCAACGAATAACACTTGACATTTTACTTAAAGATACTTGTAAGTTAAAAAAACAGCTTCAAGATAAAATTTGACTTGATTTCCAGCAATCTATGATTTTTACGTGCACTCGTGCTTTGCTCACGATGGAACGGCCAGCCCTGATGCGAGCATTCAAATTATCGATACACATGGGTGAAATTTAAGAGCTTTGAATGAAATAGAGTATAGAAATCTAACTAAAAATTGAAGAATACAATAATTACAAGCATTTTCAGCTGTGGTGTGAGACTGTCGAGAGCCGTGGATGTGCCTGTGCTGACCTCAGCAGCTATCGATGGAGGCCAGAAACATGTATATCTGCACATGTATGGCTTTCAGGTTTTCAAATCTTTCAGCAAAAGATTTCAAAGAAGTTTTTAAGTTCACTTCTTCGCAATTTGTTCATTTCGAATGTCAAGTGAAACCGTGTGTTCACTCATGCAAGAGACAAGTGAGAAAATGTCGGAGAGCTTGAGAGGACTTGATTTTATAGCAATGCGAGACTCCAACCTCGTCGGTGCCACTGATCCCGGCAAGACGGAGAAGGGATGGATGGCAAGAGAACAGGTTTGATAAAGGAATCGAATTCTAGAAATAGATATTTAAAATGAAATCAAACTACCCTCCACTTTCAACCAAATATAGATCCGAGTTTCCAATTGTTAAACTCAATAAATGAATACCTCGAATCAATTCCCCGACCCCGAAAACCCCCGGGCACAACAAAACACCTAAACCAAAGCTTTTGATCAAACTAGCTTTCAATAACATATTCAATATTCAATAAAATGAATAGCTCCGATAGGTTCCCCGTCCCCGAAAACCCCCAGGCACAAATTTACAGCTAAATGATTGTCTCTGCATTCCCTTGTAGCTGTCTTTACGAACGAACGATCTAAAAAGAAATTTAAATATTAGAAATAGAAGAGACTACAATTTTTTTGACACCTTATCGGAGTCTCGAGAACTGTCTCACTGTCACTGAATGACATTTCAGCACGAGGGATTGTCTGGTGTAACATTGCGAGGAATATTTCGGGATTTTAAAGGAAATTTGTAATACGAGTATGGATCAATGCAGTATTGTGGAGAAAAAGGGGAAAAGGTGTCACATTTTGTTTAAAAGAGAAGAGGAAAACCATACGGGCGACACTTTTTTGTTTACGATATTTGCTCTAGCAGTCTTGAGAGCCCGAGACCGAGATCGAGATTTATAAGTGGATGGGGAGCTCGACGATGGGGCTAATAAATGATAAACAAAAAGAAGATATTCAGCTATACACATTTATAGCTGAATATCTTCTTTTTGTGCCATCTATAATGCAAAAGAAGAATCCCTAAAATGACTGGCGATGGGTTCTTTGTGTGTGCGCACAATCGATCGCCATCTGGCATACCAGCCCAGCATAAGGCACTTTCTCGTCCAAATCCTCCATAGGCTATGCCCAAATTTTTCCCAAAGCTTTCTTATCTTTTGGGCGCCTCTATGCTTAAATTTTTGGAATCAATTTTTTTTCCTTAATTTAGCTAAATTGCACTTAAATGCCATGAGAAAACGTAAAAAATTTGGCATTCAGCGTTTCGAGTCTCACCGACGAAAAAGTAGGCGAAGCGATGGAGAATCTCCGACTCTCGACCGTTCTACAAATCGAGCCACAGAGAGCGAAACGAGCCGCACTGGGTTCGTCTTCAAAAATTAACAAAATAGGTTCAATAAACCAATGCTGAATGTAGCTATATAGAAATATATAGAAATATAGCTACAATAAACCAATGCCGAACGTACACTACTGGACAATGAAATATGATATTTGAAAAAAGATCGTCACTTTCGCGCGTCTGTAACTCCCTTGTCTTTACCGTATTTCTAAATATTAATATTACCATTGTGTAGCCCTTGAAAAGAGCTTTCAGAAAATGTATAACACTAATAGTTTAAACTCAAAGACAAGGGAGTTACAGGCGTGCGAAAGTGGCGATCGTTTTTCAAATATCATATTTCATTGTCCAGTACTGTAGCTATATAGAAATATAGCTACAGAAATATAGCTACAATAAACCAATGTTGAATGTAGCTATATAGAAATATAGCTACAATAACCCATGCATAGGAAACTGAGTTGGTACTAAGAAGAAATCGAGCTAAACATGGAAAAAAAAATCACTCTTTTCAAACTTTATTATCCTAAACGGCAATAAATTGTCTGTTAAAGTCAAAAAAAAAACTGTTAACGTTCTTAAAAGCTTAGAAATTCGATATTTCAGTGTGGTCAAGTGAAGATGGATTGGATGGATGTCCATCGATTCGACTGACTCCTTTGCTAATAGCAGCTGCCGGTCTCATCGTTGCTAGTGTCATCTCGACTCTGGCTTTCATTCGACTTTTCTCCAAATCTCGTCTCAATCGCCATTCCACGAAATCTTGAAATTCTAATAAGCGCGATTAAGTCGCATTTTTTGCTCACACATTTTCAAAAATGATTTAAACCGAGCATTCCATGTTTTGTCTTTAAATAAATTGCACTCAAACTATACACAAAAAACAGGGGAGTGGGACAAATGCGACCTTTTTTTGCGCACCCGGACATTTGCGCACCTTTTTTTCCGCACCTTGCCCATTAGCGCACCTTTTTTCGCGTTTTAAAAAAGCTCTAAAAAGCTAATATTAACCAATTTCTCTTCCAAAAGTTGTTTTTCTAGGTAATTTTAGGGCGCAGAATCGAAATTTTGACATATCAGAGCTTGTGGAAACAAACGGACGGAGTTATACAAAGAGAAAAATCGAAAAATTATCTGTAATTTGATCTAGCCGTTTTGTCTTTCGGTTTTTGGTTGGTTTGGTTGGTTCCACACGCTCTGTTATGTCAAAATTTGAATTCGACACCTCGAAAAACCTAGAAAACCTTTGAATTACCTAGAAAAACAACTTTTGGAATAGAAATTGGTTAATATTAGCTTTTTAGAGCTTTTTTAAAACGCGAAAAAGGTGCGCTAATGGGCAAGGTGCGGAAAAAAAGGTGCGCAAATGTCCGGGTGCGCAAAAAAAGGTCGCATTTATTCCACTCCCAAAAAACAGCATTTCCAAATGACCAAAAGACGTAGAAATTGAGACCAAATGACGTAGAATTCAATACAAATATTGAGTTAAAAATAGAATCAAGAACCCTTTTGCAAACGGTGATAAGCGGATGTGAAAAGAAATTGAGGGGGAAAAATGGGGATATCGGTCCCATGAGGGTTGTGAATCTTGCCCTCACATCTATCCAACACTTTCAACACTTTCAACACTTTCCTTCCCTTTCCAACCACCACAAATCCTTCACAAATTGCTTTTCGAATAGGATTTTTGCAGTGCGATTGCTCATCGATGAGTTTCATCTGAATATTTTGATAGATTTTCTTCATTTTCGATCTTACGCACTGACGAAACTTGCCAAATTTTTAAAATTAAAATTTCTTTTTTTAAACTCATTTTACGGGGGGGTGGGACAAATGCGACCTTTTTTGCGCACCTTTTTTTTGCTGGAAAAGGCCTTAGGAAAGGTCGTAGAGCTTCAAAAATGTTTTCATAGAAGGGAATCGTATGCGTAGATTCCGAATTTCGACAAATCAGACCTCGCTGACATGTCAAATTTGGGCTAAAAGGCAAAAACTGCGGAAAAGCGTTAAGTTGCGTAGTTTTTGCCTTTTAGCCCAAATTTGACGTGTCAGCGAGGTCTGATTTGTCGAAATTCGGAATCTGCGCATACGATTCCCTTCTATGAAAACATTTTTGAAGCTCTACGACCTTTCCTAAGGCCTTTTCCAGCAAAAAAAAGGTGCGCAAATGTCCAGGTGCGCAAAAGAAAGGTCGCATTTGTCCCACCCCCCCATTTTACGCAAAAGGCTTATTTATGATGTAAACTTTTAAAATGATCTTATAAGAATAAGCTGAATTTTGTGCCAAAAATTGTAATTGAAACCCTTTTGAGAAAATCTTTTTGCTCACAATTTGATTCTCAATTTCCCCCGTGTGTCGATCTTTTGCGATCTTATTCTCGCTTTTCTGTTTTCTGAAAAGCGGCATCCTTTCCTTTTTTTAAGAAAAAAAGCTTTTACTCACTTTTTCCTCACTTTTTTCGTTTCAAAGAAGAAAGTTTCAAAGAAAAACCCAAAAAGAGTACTAAAGTCTAAATAATCCCCTCAAAGAAACGTTCGGTTTCTAGCTTTTTTTTTTTCTTTTGGTGAAAAGGAATTCTGACTCAAATTGACTCAAATTGAAACTCATTCAGCTGGATACTGGATTGTGGATCTCGAATCTCTCCTCAAAGAATGGATTTTCTACATATTTTTCTGTATATTTTTCTATTCGACGTATTATTTCTGCAAATTGATGGGCGTTTTATTGAGGAAAAGATTCTGATCGAAAAAGTCACCGTGCAACCAACGCAGAGACATTACATTCAAAAAAGGTGGTTTGAAAAAAAAGTAAACAATGATTTTCTTTTAGAATTTTAATTAGTTATTTGATTTGAAAGTTTTTTTTTACAAGTAACATCTTATAAGTAAAATATCTAAAGCAATATCTAAGCGATAAATATCTACCGTAAATACTGTAATAGTACCTCAGCCCCATGATGACGGTGTGGAGTGTTGCGTAGTCTAGCTTTGCTCGCGTTTTTCTCGACACTGGTTTATGCTAAAATGCGCGCTTAGGTATCAAAAAATAGCTGAAATTCAGGGCTATTTTTTGATACCAAAGACGCATTTTTTGAAAGTACGGGCGCTTTGAAAAAAAATGAAATACTAAAAAACTTTTTCGACTACGCGACTGTACGAGGGGGGTGGGGTGCTATTACAGTATTTACGGCAGTTTTTCTTAAACAAATCGCTATATAGGATCATTATAACAATTTCAACAATATTACAGTATTTACGGTAGATAATTGTAACTAAATAACTGAACAACTAATCAGCTTTTAAACCAAAATATAACTGAATAATATCAAGGAATTCTACAGAAATCATGATCTATTTTAATGAAAGCCATTTTGCAACACACGCACAAGGCCTTAGAGAAGAAATGGGAAAGTATTTACAGTATTTACGGTAAATCAATATCTAAGGGATAAATATCTAAATCAATTGATTGATCAACTAAAATTTCTCTTTCAGCACCGAGAGTCCGTAAGTTGAAATTGAAATTGATTGAATGAAAAGAGTTCTTCTTCTTTTTTTCTTTTCCTTTTCTATATTTTCCTGCACGATTATCAATATTCGGTACTTGTGCATCTTTCCCAAATCCCAACAAGTTTAGATGTCGTAGCCGTTTACGAGAATTCAGCCGCTAACGAACCATTCGTCAACGACTAGCCGTTAACGAATGATTCGTTAGCGGCTGAATTCTCGTAAACGGCTACAACATATATACAAATTAGCCTTCTTGTACACCAGCTTGTTCCCCTCCAGATGCAAAAATCCGGTTACCCGATCAACGAATTAATGTATTAACTATTTGAAAATAAATTTCTGAAGATTTGCTTTTAAAATTTTAAAATCCGGTAGGGAAAGGTGCACAAGTGAACAATTTTGCATTTAACCTCAATCATTGGGGTGAGAAACATGCACAAATGCTATACATTCCGAGTGTTGATCCTGGGCCCCCTCTGCCCCCTGAGTACCCCCCCCCCCTTCAACAAGGAAATGACCAGAAGTGACCGTGACCACTTGGGATAAACGATACCTCATTTGATAGATCTCATGATGAATATTGATGACCAAAAAAATTAGCTCCCAAGGGTCACTCTACAACGAGAAATGCGGCCGACAAGGAGCAAAACGTTTTTGACGTTTTTGACTCTTCTTAACAGAGCTGGAACTTTTTACTGAATTAATATTTTTGAATAATCTCTTTTGCATGTAATAGAACTTGAATGAAGCTAAAAAAAAATAGTAAAATTTGGTTTCAAAAGTATTTATAAAATTTTACATTTCAAAGCTATTGATTCTCGCCAAAATTTACTAAACTCTTTTTATAGGAAATATAGGAAAATAGTTTTATAGGAAAGTTTCTATAATTAATGAAAGTTTGCTTTTTAGCTTTATTCAAGTTTTATTAAATACAAAAGAGGTTATTCAAAAATATTGATTCAGTAAAAAATTCCAGCTCTATCAAAGGAGGGTTAAAAACCATGATTTTTGCTCCTTATCGGCCCCATTTCTCGTTGTAGAGTGATTCTTGGGAGCTAATTTTTTTGGTCATCAATATTTATCATGAGATCTATCAAATGAGGTATCACTGATCCCAAACAGTCACTTCTGGTCATTCCCTTGTAAGTGCTCCCCTTGCCAGAAGCATTTTGCGTTTTTCTCGACGCACAATTTACCAATTGGGTTGTTTTTGGTTTTATTTGATTCGTCTAAATCTCCTCTATCCAATGAAACCAAAAACAGCCTAATTGGTAAATTGTGCTTCGAGAAAAACGCAAAATGCTTCCGGCAAAGGGAGAGGGGACATTCGGAATGTATAACAAGTACCCAATATTCTTTACAATACTCAGCCAATCCCTTTCCTTTCAGACAAATCGACTCCTCTCCAGCAGCCAATGTAAGCTTTTTGCTCAACTCGATCCTCAAAAATTACGATAAAACTTTTCGGCCTGGATTTGATAGTGAGCAAACAGGATTAAATAAACTTTCACCTTTTTTTAGAAAATCGTCCAACTGACGTATTCATTGATATCTATGTACGAACGATGGGGCCAATCTCTGAGTTCACCGATGTTCGTTTTGCATTCATTTAACTTCTCTCTCTCTTTCTTTCCTCTCGTTCTTCCTTCCTTCCTTTCTTTCTTTCTTATTTCTTCGCGCTGATAGCTCAGCGGTAAAGCATCTGAGCTGAAGGTCGGCGGTTCAATTCCCCTTCCCTTCCAAATTGCTTTACTATTCATTTCTTTACTTTATTACAACCAAAATAAAAACTAAAAAGAAGTGAAAAGTGTTACTTTTTCGCATTTCTCTAAATCCCTATGATAGAGATTTGATATTGATGATAGATTAATGCTTTACTCGTCGGTAAAGTTGACGAGTAACACTCGACGAGTAAAGATTTAGACCTATGCTTTCGATTGTTATTTTCGGCAAACTTGGACCGACGAAAGATTGAGATTTGAGGTTTGAGCTTTGCTCTCAAATTCGCTTTAAAATTCTTTCAGTTTGGAGACGGTCACGAGGGACGAACACTTTCTTTGGCAATGTCAATGCTCGATAAAATTTGGAAACCGGATACGGTAGTTTTAGAGAATTAAGATTCGATTCTCTAATAACAAAAGTGAAATTAACCATTTTATTACTTTCATCTATTTATTCTCTTGTTAATTTTAGTATTTCTAAAATAAGAAAATTGAAATAAATGAATGCGGGTTTAATAAAATAAAAGCAAAAATTAAATTAGATTAAAGCAAAAAATGAAAATGATTAAAGTTTAATATTTCTGGAATTTCTGGAATGGTGATAAAATAGGATTAAAACAAAAAAGGAAAATGATTAAAGTTTAGTATTTCTGGAATGGCGCCGGTTCCTACATTCACATGTTAACATCACCAAATCGACTTGTCAGGTACAAAAAGATGGAAACATCAAGAATATCAGAAAATCAGATTACGAGAAGATGGCACCGTGCTTTACTCGTCTCGTCTAACCGTGAAAGCTAAATGCAAAATGTTGTTGGCTCGGTAAACTTTTGAGGAGCATAACTTTAAAGAAACCGAATCAGATACCCGTTGGATCGTCAAGCATGCCGGCTTGTAGTCGGCAGTTTTGCTTACACAGCTCAAGAACTCACTTTTCGTTGGAAGGTGGGGTAAAAAATGGGAAAAAAAACGCCCCTTAATAAGTCAATTATTTCATTTTGCGACTTTCAGCCTTCCTCCGATCATCAGGGAGTGAAAATCGATGTAGCCGCTGTCGCACAACTTCCGCAATTTGAGGTGAGCGGCTACGAAGTGTTCAACACCACCAATCACACGAGAGACGGTTAGGCAAAAGCTTTCGACGAGTAAATCAAAGATTTTTCAGTACCATACTCAACATTAGAAGTACGCTTCTATTTATCACGACACGTTGGATACTTTCTGATGAATTTCTATGTTCCTTGTACGCTGATCGTTTTACTCTGTTGGGTAGCGTTTTGGATAAATCGAGAAGCGACGAATGATCGTTTGGGACTTGGTTAGATTTAAAGATTATCAAAAAACGAAATCCGAAATCCGATTCCCAGGCATAACATCCGTCTTGACGATGACTTTCATTTCGATCGATTCGAGAGCCGATGCTCCAAAAGTCGATTTCCCTACCGCGCTTGATGTTTACATTTGGGTAAAGTAAAGAAAATTACGATGTTAATCGGTGATGCTCTAGATCTGTTACTCGTTTCTTTTCGGTTGCATTGTGGTGTTCACCGTGGTCCACTATCACACAAAATATCGAACTGGTGACCCGGAAATTCAGGTCTTCTTCTAGCCCGATTCACGCAGCTCGGGCTTTTTTTTTCTTTAAAGGGACCATATTCTTTCTTTAGTTTTCTCGACTAATTTAAAGGGACGATATTCTTTCTCTTTCTTTCTCGACTCTTTCTTTCTGCTACATTATTCATTTACTCACTGAGATCACTTGATAAACGTAAAGAAATAAATGAATAAACGTTTTAGTCACAAAGAAGCCCATGACTTGACAGTGAATTTCTATTTACCTAGGCTATGGCTGCGCACAGAAAGTAGTCTTGATGCGTAATTTCAGTTTTTACTGTTATTTTATATTATTTAATATCAAATATCGAATTAGAGATCCAGAAATTCAGGTACTAAAGTGCTAAAGAATTGTTTCAAATTTTTAGGAAATCGAACGGGAAAAGATGCGCCAACTAATCCGGAGTATTCCTAAAAAGGCAGTTCTCAGGTGGAAATGAAATTCAAAATCGATTTTCATTAGCCTTTTTACAGTAGTCGATACTACAATCGCCCACATCATCGAGAGAACAAAATGCAACAGATGCCGCTGAGTATGCACAATGGATATATCAAGAGAACGCTTTCGGATATGGTAATTCGACTGTTTTCAGAGAAATTATTTCTAAAATTCGTATCGACAAAAAATCTATCGCATACCCTCAAAAAGTGACCAATTCTTTCAGACAAGACGCGACGGTGGAAGGCATTCACTTTACAATAAAACACGGGCAACTAATCGAGCTAAACGCGTCTTAAGCCCGCAAAGCTCGACAAGGTTTAAAGAAAAATGAACAAATAATCGATTCAAAATATTTTAGTACCACTGAACCAGTCAATTTGGCTGATTTTCAGCAAGAAAATGTCGGCTGGAGACTTTACTATTGGTTGATTGATCACGTGAGTCGAAAAAAAATATTCGACTTTCTAAAAAGAAATGAAAAATAGTTTCAGAATAAAAACGATCCATTCGGAATTCAAGAGAACTCGATGTCTTCAGTGGACAAGTAAGAGCAAAGTATTTTCAAGGCTTCTCAATTCTTTTAGATTCGCTCGGATCGTTATCCCGCTAGCTTTTGGCTTTGTGGTTTGTATCTACTACATTATTTATATGAATTCGTCGTTCGATTTTCAATTTGATAGTATAATCTAAAAAGTTTTCCCTTACTATGTGATTCGCCTTTTCTCTCCTTTCACGAAAAGAGAGCTAGACCACACACAGTGTTATTTCACATCTGTGGGTGGTCTCGAGTGGGCAATTGGCAATCGTATTCTCGCAGCGGTGGAAAATGTTTGCATATCTCCACAAAAGAATCACTGTTAGATGTTGAATCTAAAGGATTAGCCACTATGAAAATCTAAAAATATAAAATTCGTGAATACAAGAAATTTATCATCGAAACTCAAAAAACATTCCACCGTTGATTTTCTTTCTATTACTTCCGTTTTTATGCATCTGTTTGTTACCGCAGCAATATATTTTCAGTTAGTCAAATAGTCAAAAAAATAAATTTATTCCTCGTCGGTATTAGATTTAATACTATACCCAATTTTATAAAATCTAATGCAAAAAGTTGATATGTACTGAAAAATTCATATAAATAATAGAACACTGCACAATTTTAATTATTAAAAAACTTAATTTACAAAAAATGTCTAGTATTATAAAATTTGAATACAGAAGTGCTATAAATATGACATATTAAATCATGAGCAAATCACTGAACACAAAGGGGACACATCATAAACTGAAAAATTATATCACAAGTATCGCTGATCCGGTGAGGTTACTATCGGTCAGAGCCACATTATATGGACTGCATGCCAACACAAACAAGTCCACCTAAACGGAAATTTTGAAAAGAAGATGAAATTTTCCATTTACATGCCAGGAAAGTGTTTCGATTGGTACATTGTCGGGGGCGCTCCAAACACGAAAACCTAAAGGTTTAATTTTTAAAACGCAGCTGACTCATTACCACCAACAATAATTGTCCAAAATGATACCTGCAGCATTAATTGACGGTGTTGATTGCAATTCCTTACAAGTGACGAATTCAAACCGTAAACGCCATTTCAACCGTACTGAAAATATTACATTAGATCACTTTATTACAGTAAAATAGACCCGAGTTCGTGTTAAAAGTAGGCGGAGCGTGTAAAGGTATGGGTAGGCGAAAAGTATTCTCCACAAAATCCGCCGAAACGTTATGCTGCATGGCCCATGACACCGTTGAACTCTTCTAAATTTGTTTATGCACGTTTTAAAAATAAAATCAATCCTCAAAAAATTCCTACAACCTTATCTTGTGTTTCGGTTTTCTCGTCATCTTCAATATTTTCGATCGTTTCAAGATGTACACTCCATTGAAAACAACAAACTTCGGCATCCTAAAAGACAATGAAATAATCAAACTTCTGGAGTAAAATAGATACTTGGAATGATAATTTCCCAATGATATCCTCCCCTAACTTGTATGCTTTCTTGTAGAGCGTTAATGATCCAACCTAAACAGAATTAATTCCATAAACACATTGTAGAAAATACATACTTTTCCACTAGAATTTGTCATTTGATAAATGTATTCCTTTCTTGGAGCAGTTATTTGGTCTACTGTCGCAGTAACAATCTAGATCAAATCATTTAGGATTATTAACATTGCAAATACCTCCGACATTGTGGGACGAGAAGTTGTTTCAAACAGAAAAGGATTTGAAGCTGCTGGCTGCTTTGACTCGATTCCAACTATAAACAAAAACAAAATAAAGCAAAAAACTATTATTATATACCTGCTGGAATGACATGTATGGGTATGTGTAACATCTTGATCGGGGAATTGAAGTGTTGAACGGCGATCGTTATACGATTGTAGTACCGAATCAAATTTCCTCGAAAGCTGGGCGGAAGTCCATACAATGGAAGTTCTATCTAAAACTTTATGCATTAAATGAATTAAGCAGTTTATACCTGTGAAGTAAAAGTTTTGTGTTCATTTGCTGCTAGTTTTATATCACAAAATAAAATCGTTGGGCAGGAAGAATATACACAGGTGTTAGATCTAAAAATTCTTTTAGCAGGAATTAGTAATTTTTTGCTTACGTAGAATTAAACTACCTACTTAGCTATCGAAGTGGTGGGCCTTCTTTTCTCATCTCGTATTCTTCCTCCACCCGTTCTTTCGCATCCTAACTGAACGCTTCCCCAAGCCACACATTCGCTCACCGACTTTGCGCCAGATAAATGCACATTTCGCAAAAATACCTTAATAAAAAAAACATTGGATATTGAATCTCTAACCTACCGTAATTTTTACCACTTCTCCAGCTAGATACGCGGGAACTTGTCGATCAAGTACCGCTTTAACTTCCAATGGCATAAATGTTGCCTGGAAAGAAAAGTAACCATTTCAAAAAGCATGAACATTTTAATAACATTTACAGAGAAAAATGCTCCATTAATTTTGGTTTAATAAAAAGGCGATAAAACGTTTATTCATACGAATAAGCTTCAATTCATAGAAATTCTACATTAGTTTTAGCATGAGCAAAATATCACAGATCTTGTTCGGGCAACTTCTATGTAACAAAACTATATGGCTATAGCTATTTCCTACGTTCAAAAAGAGACTAGAAGAGAAAATGCAACAAAATATTACAATTTTTGTGCAAAATTGACGAAATTAAATACAGCAAAGCAAAATCAAGCCTCACTTGTCGCAACTGTTGAACGCTTTTTTAAAACATTTTCTAGGAAAAATTCGCCGGCTTTGTACGATGATCTGACGAGTGGACCGGAGGCTACATACAGGAAATTCATCGATCGTGCTACATCAGCCCAATAATCAAATCTGAAATTTAAGTTTTAGTAAATATCTATATAAAAATGGCATACTTCTCTGGTGTGACCCATTCTTTTACTAATAAATGACGCTTTGTTGGCTGCATATATTGTCCGAAAGTCACGACATCGACTTCGTGTTCACGCAAATGCTCCAAACTAGTACGAATCTGAAAAAATACGTTGATTACTATTTTAAAAATTATCAAGTGGACGATTGAACGTTAAATTACGAAATTTACCTCATCATCTGTTTCTCCGAGTCCCAACATTATACTTGTTTTTGTTATTAGACCGGGTTTTGCCTTTTTCGCAAATCTCAATGCTAAATAAATATTTTTTTTAATTATACAAATCAACAAACCATCCAGAGATTGCCAATATTTTGCTCGTGGATCTCGAACCCAGGGCGTCAATCGTTCTACCGTCTCAATGTTATGCGCATACACATCAAGCCCGCTTCTAAAATCAGCCAATATTTCCAGCAATATATTATAATAACGTAACAAAAACACAAAACCCTCTGCAAAATTACTTACGTAGCCATAGTAGAAATCGAATCGTGGTTCCCGGAAAAATCAGGCAAAAGACATTCGACCAATACGCTTGGCTTCTCTTGCTTTAAAGCTTGAACGCATTTGCTTAAATGACTCGCTCCACCATCAAGCAGATCGTCTCTAAAAATAGAATTGGACAAGTTTAGCAGAAGATTTGGCACAAAATATATTAAACAACAAAAAAACCTGTCAACTGAAGTAAGTACCACGTATCCTACACCCCAAGAAGCAACCGCTTTAGCCGTATGTTCGGGTTCCATTGGATCTAATGGTGGCGGAGCTCGAGCTGTCTTAACAGAACAAAATCTAAAAAACCCAATAAAAAATTTTTAAAAAAATTACTAACCTACAACCGCGAGTACATGTATCTCCCATTAACATTATAGTTGCTGTCGAAAGCGAGTCCTTAGATCCTCCCCAGCATTCGCCAATGTTTGGGCACCTAAATTCGAAAATTGTTATTTCAATTCCATCACAAGCTCTGCATGTCTCATTAGTTTCTATCCATTCGTTAATCAAACACAATTTCATTTAGTAAAAAAGCTATTCACCTGGCTTCTTCGCAAACTGTCGCCAACTTCAGTTCTTTCATTTGCTTCTTTAATCGCTTAACGTTTTCATTTTCACTCGCCAAAACCTAAAAAAATTAAATATAACTAATTTGAAACATAAATTAAAGTATTTTTTAAAAGCTTTCTATCAAAAGTCCTATAAAAAGCAACAAACTTTTTCTTTTTTCAGCCACGGCGGCAATCGCAGACGTTTATCCCCGGTTTCCAGCTTTAATTTCTGCTCATGATTTGCAACTGCATCAGCAATTGTATCTAAAACAAAACAAATAACCAAATATCTTGAAAAACTGAGATAAAAATACGAAATTCCTTACTTGCTCCAAGAAAATCACTGAACGAGGGTCCATTCTTGATTGCCGGTCGACTGCTCTCATTTCTGCACCACGCGATTTTGTTCGACACTAATGAAATGAAGGCGCGTCGATTTGTGCAGAAGTACATAAGCCTGAATTTAATTAAAAAAAATATTATGAACGAGCATAGAAATGGAAAATGCTAAAAAACCATTAATGCTTTGATGGCGCACAAGGGATATCAAAAAATGTGAACTAGCTGAGTGCACTCGACAACTATTAACAATTTTTCATTAGATTTTCTCTTGCCAACCAGGGGTAACTAATTGTTAATGTAGTTTCCCCTCTTTAAAGAAACAAATTTTTAGAAGTAGAAAAAATCTCATCATCATTGAAATAGCCAAATGTAAAATGTTTGATCTTACTCAAATTTCGATTTTCTTTTTCTAAGAATGCGTGATTTTTCTGTATTGACAAATATAAACCTTTTTGAAATTAAAGATCCTATTTAGAGAAATGGATGAAGTGACGTATTTTTCGAAGCCCGAGCATATTTTCCCCCATTTGGTTGATGGCCGCATTCCGACCGAACAATTTCTTAGTGCATGTCAAGGAATTGCCGATTTTGTCGGTAAGCAAAGCGTAAACTGAAAAAAATCATCAAGAATCAAATTGGAAACATTTAGGATTTCTTGGTACCGCGTTTGCTCCAGTCAAAGCGGATATCAGCGGAAATGTGCTAAAAGTGCGGACGCGTTTCGAGAAGAATAAAGCTGGACAAGAGTTTTTGGAAGTGGGTGCAAATTTGCAACAAAAGCACAAAAAAACAATCGCTTCAGAGTCTCATCGATTCGGATTTAGCCGAAAACAATGGAAAACTGGGCATAGCCACCGAGGGATTGTTGTGGCTGAAGCGGTAATAAAAAAAACAAAACAAAAACAACCATGATAAAAGACTTTCAGGGGACTCGAGTTCATGTTGCACATGTTGGGTAGAATGATCGACCAATACAATGAAGGCGGGGATCGGAGTAAGACCGAATCGCTGGTTTCGGTGATCAACTATGCCTACGATCATTCGCTTAAACGACATCACGGATTCGTGTCGAAGCAACTCTTTAAAGTAACAAAACAACTAGAATTAAATGAATGAAAATGAAAAGAACTAGAAAAATGCAAACAATTAGAAAAATGAAAACGGAGTAGTCTAATTTCTGCATTTTTTTGCGCAACTCGCCATAACTCTCTTCTAATTTGGCCAATCTTTATGATATTGGTTTCATTTTGTTGCACTTATTGAGATCTACAAAGTGAATTCAAAATCATAAAGATTGATTCACTTAGGAGAAAGTTACGGCGAGTTGCACAAATAGAATGGCGGAAATTAGCCTACCGCGAAAAATAAAAGCAAATTAAAATGAAAAAACTAGAAAGCAAATTTCAGCTTGTCATCCACGCAGCACCATATAGAAAAACAATTCTAAAAGCGGTGGCTCTCGGTAAAGAAGGTCTCGAAGACGTTTGCATTCATCACATGGTTGAACATCGCGCAAATTTCACTCAAAACGTCAACGCTTTAGTCAATTATTATGTTGCTAAAGGCCTTGAAACTCCAAATCCAACTTAATTTACATTGCGGGGTAGACTAGTTTCCGCAACTAGGTCGTTTGCGCAACTCGCCGTAACTTTCTCCTAAGTGAATCAATCTTTATGATTTTGAATTCATTTTGTAGATCTCAATAAGTGCAACAAAATGAAACCAAAATCATAAAGATTGGCCGACTTAGAAGAAAGTTATGGCGAGTTGCGCAAACGACCCTGTTGCGCAAATGACTCTGTTGTGCAAAAAAGTTGCGGAAACTAGCCTACCCCTACATTACTTTCGAATAGGCGCTATCAATTTACAGTAATTCAAAATCCATAGTCTCATTTATTTCTTTCAGAAATTCTACTAGGTATTCGATTCTTTGTGATATAAAATTCTCTGTGGCGCTCCATAGTCCTATTGCCATATCAGCAACTTTCTCTTATTGAGATTTGTTAGATTTTCTTTAAAAGTTGATTCTGATTCTTCTCTCTAACCGCTGCAAATTTCCGGTTCACATTCCTGCTTTATAGAAATTCAAAATTTGATCATTCAAGCTTTCATAGCCAAATTTCTTTAATAATTTTTTCGTTTCGTATTCGAATTTTTGCAGCTACTAACAAAACTAATGGAAATTCTTTTCACTCCATCTAAATTCTATAATTTCTTTTGCTCATGAAAAAATGACATTCCTTTTTTTCCCCGAAGATTTCTATCTTGACTACTGATTTTTTTTTGCCGAATAAACATTAAGAAAAACTATTTTTTTTTGAAGTCTATAGCTTTTGTCTACGATTTTTTTTTCACACATTCCGACATTTTATATTTTACATTAAATCTACGTTTACTTTAGATCGAATATGCCTTTTCGTTTCCTTCGCGCCTTTTTAAATCAAGAAAAGACCGTTCAACAGGTGAGCTTTTTAAAAGAAGATAACCGGGGGTTAAAGTAGCATTATTGCATTCTAATGTTTTTCAATTCAAAATTTAGATAGCCGACTCCTATCCAGTGAGAGCTGCGGCGAAAACAGCGGTGAGAGCATGGTGGATCTCGAGGCATAAAATCAACAATCTTGAGGCCACAAAAAGACTTGGAGTGAGTGGATTTTATAAATTTCATTTTAAACCGTACTCTCTGTGCAGGATACTGTTGTTTCTTGTAGTAAAATATTGAGTTTTATATTATTGTATAAGTAGCTTTATATACATAAACTGAATTAAAACACGATATAAATAATAATTTTTAGATCTTCAAGAAAGTTTTCAACGACGAGTATCAGAAGGCCCTCAAAAAATGAGCTGAGCAATCGAGAAAGCCAAAGTCGAAGCGAAACGGGTAAAATAGAATATAGATTATTGTGCATAAATATAATATTTTTTTTTATTAAACCCTAGCAAAGCGTTTGAAACACAGAAAGAAGAACCCGAAATATCATATCATAGATCATAAGATGTCATGAAGGCCCTTTTTGCGAATCATCGAGCCAAAAAGATGACTTCTTAAAGATGAAAAACCGAAATTATGCAAAGAGAATGTAAAAAATCTTAAAAATCCTAAAATGCAAAACCAAGTGAGTAGCACAATGTAAATCATGATTTGTGAATAGCGTCGAGGAAGAGGGAGCAAAGTGAACGAAGCCTGCATTGTTCTACCATCTACCGGACTAAAACAGCTTTTTAATAAACAAACTAAAACATTTTTTAGTAAATAATCTTTAGAAGAAAGTCTAAAGATTATAGACTTTCTATAAATATTGAAAAAATATCGGCTTTTTAGGGGACTTTTGGAAGTTTAGGGAACTTTTGAATGGTTGGATGGAATCGAGCTCTAAATGTTTATAACTTACTACAGAAACAATATATTCGTCTACTACGTCTATTCGTCTACTTTACGTCTACTACGTCTATTCGTAGTAGTATATATTTTAAAAGAACACATTCCAGGCTTTCAAATGAGATCAAATAGAGCTAGATTTGATAGATCAGTCTCGAGAAAATCGAATGGCAAGTCGTTGTTGTGTTACTTGATTTTGCCTTTAATTTTCGGTATTGATCTATCCAATCTAGCTTCATTTGGTCTTATTTGAAAGCCTGAAACGTATTCTTTTAAAATATTTCAAAAGTAGACAAATATATTGTCTCTGTAGTAAGTTATAAACATTTAGAGCTTGACATTTAGAGCTGAAGGTCTCGAAGATGTTTGCATTCATCACATGGTCATTCATAAACATTCAAAAGTCCCCTAAACTACCCAAGAGTCAAAATATCTTTCCGATGAACTCACCATAGCACAAGATGTCCGTAGGCCATATTTGCAACACCCATTCGGTAGCTACAAGTGGGAATTTGAATCTCAATGAGTGGATGGTCGACTCCAATGAAACCACTCCACACATGATCCCATCGAATCGCTGTTGATTGCCATGTTAAACCATTTCTTTCTTTTGTATACATCCAAGCCTACAATTATTAGATTTTCAGATTATGAATTCAATTTTTAATTCAATCAAAGTTACCGTATGATCATGCGCAGACAGAATCAGTGTTGAGTTCATATTGGAAACCTGAAATTCGTTGATTTATCTTTCTTTTTTTTCTTCTCCATCACCATTTCCAAAACATTATTCCAAGCTTTCATAATCGGCGCATGAGAGACAATGATTCGTTGGTTTAGCACCGTTTTCGGACTATATTCCAATAAGAGCTCCGAATTGAAAACGTTCATCTGAAATTTGTTTTTGAAACGGTTTACTCATCTGAAATTTTACACATACAAAGTGCAAATCCGTTGCATGTAGATTGATCTTTGACAAGTTCAAATATGAAGGAAACAATTGTCTGAACACTTTTCTTTCAAAATCGTTTACTTTCGAACAAACTTGAACTTTTGCATGAGATCTTCTCGAACGTACTCCGTCTCACCTCCAATATCGTTATCGCCCGGAATAAAGAGAAGCTAGAAAATTGAGCTTATACATTGCTTTATGGTTTAAAAAATCTCTAAGCTTTTTCTAAAGCTTTGCTAAAAATTCTCTCTCTCTCTCACCTGCTCGGATCCAGTTGTTTTGAAAATTTGATGAAATCGCTTTGCTGACATTTCAAATTCATCCAATGATCCGGTTAAGCCCTCATCAATGAGATCACCTACGGATTTCAATATAGTTTTTATTTTTCTAGACTACCTAGATACATAATCAAATCGGGTTGGCTATGCTGAAGAGCTCGATTGAAGCCCATTTGAAGATACCTAAAATTATTGGAAAGTAAAGGAAAATCAAATTTACTGTAAAATCGATCGGAATTTCGTAAATAGTCTGTCATTTTTGTAATACCTATCCGAATCCCATCTCGCAATCGGTCCCACCCACCACGGCTCATTTCTATAGCCGATCAATTGTGGATCAGCCACTACGAGTACACTCGAGCAATCACTGAATAGCTTTTTCTAGATATTTCTAGATTCAGATTCAGATTCAGATTCATTCTACCGTAAATACTGTAATTGGACCCCACCCCCTCGTACAGTCGCGTAGTCGCAAAAGTTTTTTAGTATTTCATTTTTTTTCAAAGCGCCCGTACTTTCAAAAAATGCGTCTTTGGTATCAAAAAATAGCTGAAATTGAAGGCTATTTTTTGATACCTAAGCGCGCATTGTAGCATAAACCAGTGTCGAGAAAAACTCGTTCAAAGCTAGACTACGCAACACTCCGCACCGTCATTATGGAGGTGGGGTACTAATACAGTATTTACGGTAGGTTTTTGAGATTCATTATTTCTTTACCTTTTTCCATTTATTTTCTCCCAAAATAGTGCTTGAAATTTAACGGCTAACCATTCAGACCAAAGAATTGAGATAACGATTAGAGTAAGAACGAAACGATAAGATAGAAAAATTCGACGAAATTTCTTGCGCATCATGTAATCATCTGAAAAGATAGCTTTTAGTTTCTTTTTTTCTGCTTCTCATCTTTTCAAAAATACAAACGAATGAGCTTTTAAGCTAAAGAGAATTTTCTCGCAAAAAATTCGTTTGATTGTTTATTTAAGCGAAATGATTGATACAAATTGTACAAAAAATGAAATTAGCATGATAATTTCACAAAAAAAAATGAGTAAAGTTTTCGTTAATTGGCTAGATAATAGTGTTTTTGAGATCATCTTTGATAAAAGCTCACATAAAAAATGGGCAAAGAACATAATAATCGCAAAAAAAAAGAAAGCAACCTGTACGTAAAGCGACTGCTTGAGAGTTAAAATTTACGGTGATTTCACTCGATAAAGATTTCGCGGATCTTTGAGATAAAGTCATATTGTATTTATCGTATGATTTTCGATTGGAAACGATTCCCAACTACAGGTGTGACTCTGTTGCCTCGCAACGCGTTGACCTCTTTGATTCTTTGGCTTCTATTTTACCGCAAAGCTCACCAAGTGAATTCATCCTTAAAATTGCTATTATAGCACAAAATAATTGACAAGATCTTTGGATAAAAAGATATTTTACAATTGTTTTCCCACAACATACGAGATTTAATAGTTTTCGTGAAACTACGAGATTTAAGCTTGGTTCTGTGATCTATCCCTAAACCCTAAACTCGATAGCTTTAGCTTTAAATTGTACACAACATAATATAAGCTTCACTTGCAGGAAAATAGCTGTAAATTATCTAGAGATGATTTAAGAAAATCGAGAAAGGCAAGACAGAAACGTTGGCATAAACAGCACAAGGCATGACTACGAGTCGACTCAAAGTAGTCAAAACAAAACAAACAAAATCAAAATTAAAAGCTATTTAAAGCTATTAAAAGCTTCTTTTTAATCACTTAGTCGAAATTCAGCAAATTTTTTTCATAAATTAAGCATTCCAAAAAGGGAACTAGATAAAGAAAAATAAAAACTTTGACAAGAATTACCTTAATCATAAGTGCGAAATAGAAAATGAGACCAAATTTTTTTCTTTGTTACTTTTAAGTCAAAGTTCTATTTTCAAATGATAATCGATGATGATTAGAAAAGGGGAAAAATTTCGTTTGTAAATCCGGTGCAAAGACTATACAGTAAAAAATGGTCGAAAACTATGTGAGAACCCAGATGGAAGGCTCATTCATCAGTCCCAGCACTCTGCTCAGCGTTTCTTCTCATTTCCTCAACGGCTTTCTCAAGAAGACTCCCCAGAATACTCTCTGCTCCAACATTTCTTTCGCCTTTCGCTTTCGGATTCAAAATCTCGGAAAGATCCTGAAAATATCTTTTATTGCTAGAGATCCGGTAAAGTTGAGTTTTCCTTTTTAGTAAGAATACAATAATAAGAATTTTCAAATAGTACTTATCATTTTCAGCTAAATACTTGCAAAGAACGTTTATTTTTTGAGATTTAATGTTTATTTATTTTGCCTTTTATTCACAACATAATCCTAAACCAACCCTTTTCCAAGTCTTTGACAAATCCACATTTGGCGTTGGAGTTACCGGCGGTTTCCCTTCTTTCAACGATGCCTATAATTGATCAATTACAAATTTCAAGCTAAAACTCAAACCTTTTGCCGAGTTCGGTAATTGTGAAACCAATTTGATACAGTCCTCGACGAGAGTCCCAGTCTTCCAGCTAACATCTCAATGGTTCGACCGGCTGGGTGTTGCTCATGGGAAAAGACGAATTTCAGTGCTTCTCTTTGATGTTCGGTGATCACCGTTCTCTGCATTTTCTTTGGCGGTGCATCAGTTTCTTCTTCTTCAGAGATTCTCTTTGTCGTGGCCACTGTTGCCAGCCGTAAATCCTCATAGTCCTAAATTAAAAGAAAAAGTGTTGAATTTGACTTGCAAACACTAACCTCATCGATTTCCGATTTAATAACCGGTAGAAAAAGTACAGCTACATCATCCCCTTCAACAGCTTCAACTGTGGCAGTGGCGATAAGCGGTGAATATCTCTCATCTAGTCCTTGATCAATCGACGAACCTCTAGATGAAAGGTGATTCGCCATGAACTCCATTCTTTCAACATCTAAAAGTTGACAGTTTTTGCTTCCGTTCTGGCCGACCGCATGGCCGATTGGCTAAGAGCCTTGTCTTTTACTCGGGAGATCAAGGGTTCAATCCTTGGTTCTTTTTTCCCTCACCTTCTTCTTGATTAGCTGCAGCCACCACAGCCACTTCATCCATGAATAATTTCATTCTAATAAACGGCTCCCGTCCCTTTTGTGTCAGCATTTGCCAAGACTGTAAAAGATTTTAATATTTAAATCAAAATAATAGTTCAAACCACCTTTGGTCGAGCCAAGAGATCAGACACAGAACCCTGGCTCAGACCAAGTACAGCCTCTCCAAATTGTCGCTGAGAGATCGTGTTGATCATTAAGAAATCTTTCACCTAGAAATATTTTAGATTTTAAAAGTTATTCAATCGTTACCTGTCGAACCACCTCCTCAGTGTTGATCACTCCGAATTCTTCAAATTGTTCTTGCGTGATGATTTGCAAGCCATTCTTGACTCGAGAATTGAGAACCTAAAATGCGAGGATATATAAATCGATGAACAAACAAAATGTAGGCTAGAGGGTGACTGTGTAAGTTACTCGACGAAAAGCAAACAGTGACCTGCAAGGCGTGTTTGCTGGGGAGTCCTTGTGTAGTGATGCCGCCATAAGCAATGTCCTCAAGTCTCTGCAATGTTGAAGGGCATGAGCGAGAGTTGATCGCTTTCTCGATGTTACTCTCCTATCAAAGCAGTGAAATCCTTTTTGGGAATTGTTTTTACCTGTTCTTTAAGTTTCGCCAACTCGTTTTGAAAAATCGACATGATTTTCTCCTTGGGAATGTCATCGTGCCGCCAGCGACTCGACGCTCCTCGTTGCGCGTTTCCATTCGGCTGAGGTCGTGGCTAAAAATCCCTATTATTCTTTATTTTAATTTTTAAAAAGCTAAAATTTATTATTTACAATGCAGAAGTCGTTTGAAAAGCAATTAGAGATAAGACCTTTGGCGGAGAGGGTGACTCATTGATTGGCTCGGGTTTGGGCTTTGGTTGTGGGATGGGAGGGGCTGGCGAAGATACGAGATCATTCACACCATCGTCCTCCCAAAGAGACTCCGGTTTCGGGTGTTCCATTCGCAACTCTAGATCGGATTAAGTCTTTAGTCGAGAGTTTATTTTACCGTCACTCATAATTCTTCGAGGACTGATCTGACAAAGGAGTTGAACGGCAGTGACATCAGAAATCCAGGCATAAATCCGTCGAAAAGCTTCTCTTCCCTTATCGGTCAATTTGCACCAAGGACGCGGTTTGGACAACAGTTCACTCAATGAGCCTTGCGACTAGAAAACTTTGATTTCTAAAACCTTTTTATTTTCCTACCTGATTCATGACATATTTTGCGAAAAGTCTTTGTCCAATATTATAGCCAGCCATGAGTCGTTTGCATTGTCGAGCCAGTTCGGCCGTATTGAGAGCTTTTGTGCCAAGTTTTCGAACATTTGCAGCGACAAGACTCTGCATTTTGAAATTTTTCTAATTGGAGTCGGATAAAGTATAAAAAAAGTGTAAAACGAACCGACAAATCGCCGATTGCCTTGATTTCCGATGGATGTTTCGGTGGCTCACCAGTGTAATTGCTAATATTCGGAATATCGGCAAGAGACTAAAAATGAGATTCAGTAAAAAGATTTGATTCGTTATTTACCAAGAACTTGTCGGTATCTTTTTCCTCATTGTCATTGTTCAAGTCAAACTGGGATGTGATATGTGGACCGGGAGATGATGGCATAGTTGGACTCGATGAAATTGACTTCTAAAAATTCAGGATCAAATTTTAAAACTTAACTCTTTTGCTCTTTTGCTAACAATTCTTTTCTTTTCTTTAAATTAAATTAAGTAATTAAGTAAATTCTTTTCACATACAAAAAGTCGATTGAAAATCGCTTGTGGATCATCGTCAGCCAGTGGGGATTCATTCATTGATGCCTAAAAATTGTTAATTAAAATTGTTCAATCCGAAAAAACAAAATCTTACCAAACAATCTTAACAAACAAAATTATCTAGTACTTTAAATATTGTAAAATTTAAAAGCACTCACCTTTCCAATCACATCAACAATTGAAGTTTTTCCAGAAAGGTGCTGAAGTGTCAAATCGGCGGTTACTAAATGTCAAAAGATTAATGTAGTTCTGTAGTTCCAATAATGATTTGCATGCAAATTAATCTAAAATGACAAACCACCACACAAACAACGAGGCAACTGAATCCAGAGAAAATCGGCATTTCATTTCCATTTCAGCTTGGCATGCTTTTTCTCTCTTGGCACCATTTCACTTTTTTTTACAGCACAACACAACTATGAACTAATTGATTTCAATAAAAATGAGCAAAAAAAAATGATACCTTTAGAGGTATCATTGTCAAAAATTTTGCTCTTTCCAACTAAAAGGTCGAGAGTTTTGAGTGTTCCCTCGAGAGATGAGGCGATAAAATCGTCGACATCCGATTTTCCGCCAAGGTCCAATTGACGGTAGATGCTAAAAATTTTTCTTAATAACCTGGATAATACCTACCGTAAATACTGTAATAGTACCCCACCCCCATAATGACGGTGCGGAGTGTTGCGTAGTCTAGCTTTGAACGAGTTTTTCTCGACACTGGTTTATGCTACAATGCGCGCTTAGGTATCAAAAAATAGCCCTGAATTTCAGCTATTTTTTGATACCAAAGACGCATTTTTTGAAAGTACGGGCGCTTTGAAAAAAATGAAATACTAAAAAACTTTTGCGACTACGCGACTGTACGAGGGCGGTGGGGTACTATTACAGTATTTACGGTATGTCTGCTGTATATTGAATAACGGAAGAATTTTTAAAAAAAACCAACTTGAGTTCCTGTTTGATTTGGTCATAGTCGACTCGTTTCTCTAGCTCTGAATTCAGCGCTTCCACAACGAACGCGTATCGATCCACTTCCTAAAAAACTTCAATTTATACAAATACCCATAAAAATAATAATAATAATATAAAGAAAATAAAGATAAAGCTCTTCGATAATTGCCTACCTTTTGCAGCTCATCAATTTTCAGCAGCTGTTTCTTTGCTTCGGCCTCGTTTCTCTGTTGAAGTTTTCGATTCTCTTCGGTGATTTTCGTAATCTAAAAACGAATTTAATAATTTATCAAGATTGGTCAAAAACTTAGAAGTCATAATATTTTTTAAAGACTTACATGATCATCTTTATCCTTTAACAGACTGCCGAGTGCAGCGATATCCTCAAGACCGTGTCTCGGCCTCGATTTCGCCTCCACCAAATCATTCGTCAATCGTGCCACCTGAGCCTCGAGTTCGCCCTATAAATTTGGTTTATTGTTAATAGGAAAAATGGTATGTTGATTTGATTCGCAAAACCTTTTTTAACATTCTAACATTTCTAACAAAAAATCTTCTTAAAAAGCTCAAAATTTGCACATAAGCCGTAACCCAAAATCCTTTGCTACGGTTAATAGTCTATATAATCAATTAGACTTTTACACTTACAATTGTTTCTTTACTATTTCGTAGCTCATCTTGCAGTAAATCGATTTGTTCATTCGGATTTGTCAGGGATTTCCTCTCAAACACGATTCCCACTCCTCGCCTTTGTCCTTCTTTCATTTCTTCGTCTTCTCACTTCTTTTTCTTTTCCTTTTTCCTCTTCTATGATCGCTAGTTTTAATCTGAAAATGTGGAAACCCTATTTGCAAATTATAGCCAAAGAATTGTAAAGAAATCGTATGAGAAAAGAATGTTTAATTTTACAGGTACACATTATAAAATTCTTGTGAATAGCTTGTACTTTAAACATAGAAATCTAGAAATCTATCTAAGATTCTAGTGTCAGATAAACATTCTAGCTAAACATAGAAATCTATCTACCGTAAATACTGTAATAGTACCCCACCCCTCTCGTACAGTCGCGTACAGTCGCAAAAGTTTTTTAGTATTTCATTTTTTTCAAAGCGCCCGTACTTTCGAAAAATGCGTCTTTGGTATCAAAAAATAGCCCTGAATTTCAGCTTATTTTTGATATCTAAGGCGCATTGTAGCATAAACCAGTGTCGAGAAAAACTCGTTCAAAGCTAGACTACACAACGCTCCGCACCGTCATCATGGGGGTGGGGTACTATTACAGTATTTACGGTAAGATTCTAGTGTCAATTTGAAAAAAGAAAAAAAGGACAAAAAATGATTTTCTCATGGGAAAATTCACGATTTGAATTATTTTGAAATGAAAGAAAATTCAGAACAATCCAAATAAACCAAGACAAAGAGGCGAAAATAGAGCTGAAAAACAGCGGCTTCTTTTCGATTTATCACTTCAAACAATAATTCTATCAGTGAAAGCCTCATATTTACATAAACGAGGTCACCGAGAGGTCAAAGGGGATAAAAAGGGGGAATGTTTGACCAAATATTCTTCCCTTTTTTTTTGTCCAATATCAAAAAAGATCTCAGAATTTCAATGGAGACAATAGGAAAACAATGTGCTCTCAAATTCTCAACAATAACAATGTTCATATTCAGAAACAACGAAAATTGGAGAGAAAGAGAGTGTGGTTCACTCCTCTATTGACAGCTGCGAGATTGGGTCGATGCGGTCGATGGGCGAAAGGAAGTGAGTGGCCGCTGAGGGGGTAGTTGAGAAGGATCGATATCGACGATTGGCCTTGTAAGGGAAAGGGTTGGTGGGAGATGGGAGGGCACGAGAAAGGAGAGAGCAGGCTGGATGGATGGAAGGGGCGGGCACACACTACTGATCGATCGACCAGGCCCCAGGCCGCTCTATCGGGACGGGGACTAGTGGGGGGCCCCTAGTCCCCCGCCAATCGATCACCCATCGCCCCCCGTCCCCCCTCGCACGCCTCACTCTCTCCCATTCCCCTTGTGAGCTTCTCTATTTGACAGCTCCCAACCCTAAAAGGCGATTGCCTGCTGCACCACCCGTAATCCCAGATTTCCAATATGCGCGATTTTCCCCTCTTTTCCACTAATTGTAGCGAGATCAATACTGAAGATAAGTCGACAATTTTTAATTAACCATTGATTGAATATAGCTATACTTAATTATAATTAGTAAAATCAAAAAGCTAATAATTTTATAATCTTTTCGGAGGAAATGATCTTAATAAAGTGTACGCTAAAGAAAAGCTGTTCGTTTCTTCTTTTACAATGCATTTTCAATTGATTTTGTAAATATGAAGCAAAATATTGTTAATCTTTTCAAAAGTATTACTCATTTATTCTCCTAAACACCAACAAAAAGAACAAACTACTTTACTATGTATACATCGAGAAATGAGCAAAAGTTTGAATACATATATCCATGGAAGACTTTTAACAAACATTAAACTAATCGGAAAAAATATTGAATACAAAAATTCACCTAAATGTATATCTGAAAAACGCTTTCGATTGCAACCCTTAGCTTTCCCACAGGTTCGTCTTCCAATCGTTGTATTTGCGATAATCTTTGCGGAGATGATATTCAACTGGGAGCTCGTGCAAAACCTAAAATATTTGATTTTTATTGCATAGAATTCCAATAAATAACTTGATTCCGTATCAAAGCTTTAAATTAGTTTTTCTTAGATAAAATCAAGTGTTTGGGATCCGATATAGCCTGCCAATCATCAATTTAAAACAGTCAAATTTAAAATTTTGTCTAACCATGCACAATAAATCAATTGTTTACCTTTGCCGCCTCTGCCTTGTAGTCACGATTTATTGGAACCGGAGCAGGAGCTTGGCTTTCATGAACGTGGGGAGAGCTGAAAACAATCTTACAATAGGCAACCGTGCAATAACCAGCTAGGTATAACAAAAGCATGGTAGCAATGTACTGTTTAACTATTAATAGCTATAAAAGCTTCAGAAATTTTCTAACTTCCAGTATCCAAGAAGCGGGCGCTCGATTTTCAAATTATCCAATACACATTTGTCCATCGCTTTTTGCTCATTACGACACCTAAATGCATCTTAAATTTGAACGGCAAGTACACCTAACCTGCTAACGTAAAGCTTTGCGCTCCCGTGATCAATGCAATGTCCAAGGGCATCCGTTTCAGAAGCACACGATTTCTTTAGAGCCTAAAAACAAAATGATAAACGATTATAGCAAGCTTCTAAGTTTATAGTCTTAAAAGATTAAATTAAATTAGAGTTCAACAATTCAATGTAGACAAAGTGAAAAGATTACCTGTAAAAATTGAATACCACATGCTGTCACATCACGTCCTTCCTTCAAAACGGCTCGTGGATCCTCGAGTTCTTTGCGCCTCAGCATAAACTCCTGAAAACAAAACAAATTGATAACAATTAAAATCTATTGAATTTTCTAATTACTTGACTTTACAAAAAAACTTACATTGATCGTCTTTTCACAATGCTTTGCCATATAAGGTACCACAGCTTTAAACCAAGGAGTTGAAAGAGTGATTTCTTGAGGTACCTAAAAAAATCTTAACTGAATCCTCGAAAAAGAAACAAACCGTCAATTCATCATTCGATGGCAATTGGACATCCGGTGTAAGTGCCATCCGGTACCCCTAAAATATAAAGATTAAATCTAACACTTACCCAAAACCAAACAGAAACAATAAACAAGTAATAAAAACAATAAAAACAAGTAATAATGGTTATTTAAACCAAAAAAATGATCAATTTTAATCCGCTCAAAAAATATATTGTGCCATCATTAATATTTACAGCACCTGAACAAAAATATTATGAAAATGGCAATGCAAGAAAGGCAAATGAAAAATTGAGGCAGATTTTTTAAGTTTATAGATTTTATACATTCATTTTTTAGCATAAAAATAGATTTTTCATATAAAGATTCGTAAAATACAAATTCGAGAGGGTGATTGGATTGAGGGAAGAGTTTTAAGGAGCTTCTTGTTTTTTGTTAAAAAGTTTTTCATAAAATAAAAAGCAAGAATGCTAAGCACCGTTTTTAGCACAAAATTACTATTATGACCGCTTATTATGAAGGAAATTTTGTTCGATAAAAGTTGGCAAAAAGAAATGAGAAAAAAAAGATTTTTGGTAAAACCGGAAATCGTCTCAAACTTGGATTTAAGATTTGCAAATTAAGACACAATGCAAATGAGAAGCTGATCAAAACAGTGCCACGGCAAAAATAGCCCCTCCACGGTTCAGTTTTTATGTGTTTCTTATTCTTATTGGATGCAGAATAAAATTATCTACATTTTGCATACTTTGGGATCACTTAAAACAGAATTGGTGCCGAGAAAAGCTCAGTTAACCTCTTTTTGAGCCTTTTTTTTCGTTTTTTTAGCATTTCTCATCCCAAATTTGTTCTAAACGGCTCCAAAAAATTCAGCAGATAGCTAATTTTTTTTCTACATCCAATGAAAATAAGAAACACAAATAAACTTAACAGTAAGCGCATTATTTTGGCCGGCGCTATTTTGATCAGCTTCCTGGAAATGTCATTGTTGCAAATTGATTTAACATTCGCTCACCGTGTAAATTGTAAATAGCATCGTAACCTTGTAAATCTAGATTGTAAATAACGAAATTTCTGAGCAATTTCGAAGAGATCGATGAGTTTATAAATAATCGGGCACTAGATTAGGGTTTAGGATCAAAAAATGAAGGAGCATGTGCTGTTGTTGGGGTAGCGCCGGGGTGTTTCCCGTGCAGAAGAGTGTCGGAGAAAAGATTGTTGACAGATTTTCCGCCGACATTTTATTCTCCTGACTGTATTCGGAAACCTGAAATTGATGGAGTTATTAGTTTTAAGGTGCATTTGGCTTTTACTCTTTTTAAATGCATGAGAATGGCTTTTAAAGTCCGGGAGTTCGTTTCACAGAGATCGTGAAGAGCTTTTCTGAAATTGTTGGTTTTGTTTTGTCTCGCTTTCCTACAACAAACCGGAGCGCTCTAGTTCTGTCGTGATTATTATTGGTTGTGGTGGTGGTTGTGTAAGCTTGTAAGAGGGATTTATAGACAGAGAATGGGACCAATTGTTGAGGTAACAGACGAAGATAGAGCTTCAAGAGGCCACAAACCGTGTGAATGTCTTCTACCTGAAATTACGGGCTACAGTCACTATTGATCATCTATTGAAGATCTATTGAAGATCTATTGATCATCTATTGATCTATTGATCTATTGATCATCTCACATCTATTGATCTATTGATCATCTCAAAATTAGTACCAAATATTTCAGTCAACAGTCAACAGTACACATTGTTTATCGTACCTGGCACAGATTGACATTATGTTGAGAGTCATACTGTCGCTTTAATCGCTCCATTTGCTCGTGTGAGGCGGAAACTCGGTAGATTCCCTCAACGGTTAAACCGCGTGCTTCTACCTAAAAACATTTGAATTTGATACAAATTCAATTCATTGATTTATTGATTTACTTCACGAATACATGATGAAACAACAATCGGTATGCCGATTTTATGCGCAATACACAAAGTTGTGAGATCGATGGCAAAGATTCGCTTTACATACCTAAATTTTTGATACATTTTATGAATTTTATGAATTTTATGAATTTTATTGATATGAATAAACTTTGAAACGGCTTAAATTTCGGGAAACGTTCATTTCGGAAATTTTAACAATAATTTTACTAATGTCCTCGTTGAATGCTTTTTCTAAAACTTTGTCTTTTTCAGTGCTTAGTTGAGAAGGGTCAAAATTCAAAAGATCTAGATAAAATATTTGCAATTTGATTTACCGTATTTCTTCGAATAGAAGACCGGGTAAAGAGTATCATCGCGTACTCCTGCGTAGCAGCCCTTGTTAAAATGTCTTTTCTGCCTAAAAGCTTTCAAGCAAGTGCTATAGGGCTGGAAAATGACTCAAAAATGCCACATGAGCTAACAGATTTTTGAGCCATTTTCCAGCCCTATAGCACTTGATTGAAAGCTTTTATGCAGAAAAGAAATTTTAAAAAGGGCTGCTACGCAGGAGTACGCGATGATACTCTTTACCCGGTCTTATATTCGAAGAAATACGGTATTCTGTTAAAGAATCGTGTATTTGTTTATACCAGATTTGTATATTTTAGCGTGTCAACGAGTTTTTTTGAATCAAAAAGATTAAAAAACAATCTTTTAAAATAGACGAAAGACGTCAGGAAAATCGAAAGAAGCGGCGTACAACGCGGATAAAAACACTGTTAAAATTCCCCGAAATGAACGTTTCTCAAAATGAAATCCCCGAAATTTAGTAAAGCCTTTCAAACTATTTTCCACTCACTTCGCTTCTGGTTGACAATCCATCAGCGCTTTTTCAGAGCACTTTTTGTGCGCGGCAAACCCACAATCCACACATCGTACCCCCTGAAAGTGCTTTAGTTTTATTTCATTTTCCTTCATTATCCTTCATTATCCTTCATTATCTTAAATTTTCTTTAATCTTTCAATTCTTACTTGTTGCACGAGTCCCCAAAGAAAATTCCGGCAATAGTCACAATATTGCATCTTGAATGTTTGCTGTGCAAAGCTATGCGCTCTTTGAACGCCTTGTTTCGACTTCTAATAAAAGGGTTTTTAAAGATTTCTTGAAATTTCACCAAACCTCAACGGATTTATTGTAGATTTGATAAGGACTGTGCTCATAAATCACTTCATCGGTCATTCTTCGGATGTAATCAGCTAAGATTTTCTTTTGCACCCGTAATCTTTTTCAATAAAAAACCTGCATGTTTATCCACGTACATGCAAATTAAACCGTCAGCCACAAGATCGTGAAGATTGTCAAACCTAAAAGAATTTATTGTAAGCATATTATTTCATTTTTTTTCCTTAACGACAAGGTTTTTTGATTTTTACACGCAACCGATGGGAATTAATTTGCATTTAAAGATTCATAAATTTCTTCAAACTAAACATTTCTTAAATCTCTTTTTAGATTAATGATTCGTGAAGATTTCTCTTCATTTTGATCCTTTACTTAAGTAAATCGGTTGCCTGTAAACGTTTTTAGACGAGCTAGAAGGGAAATAACTTAAGAACTTATGCACAAAGCAAAAAAACCTCGTCTTGAAAGTGCTAAACCAACCTCTTCTCGCCAACATAGTGAGCCCCATCATAATAAAGTTTATAGTTAAGAACGTGACCCTCAAATATCATACACAAAGTGTACGCATCAAGCGATCGTTTCGATTCTCGAACAAGATACGCACCCTCGCCAGCTTCCTGCAAACGTTTAGAGTAAAGATAGATATTTGCCGACTTACCTTTAGCAAATCCTCAGCTTCAGTTCGATCAATCAACCCATGAAATTCTTCCCCATACCTCCCTGGCTTGTTCTCGATTATTCTAGAAAATTTTCCCCAATCAGTTTTTCTTTTTTTTCTTTGGCTTTACCTCCTGCATCGAATCATTTTTGGCTTTGGAGCTTGTTCTTGCAAAAGATAGAGATTGTTCTTCCATAAAGCTCCTGATGAAGTTTGTGCCAAATTGTCTTCATCCTCCATTCCCAAGAGAGCGTTTCTCAAAGTATTGGCTATCAATTGTTTAGTTATTGAAGTTGTTAAATAGAAAAAGTTGAAAAAAGATATAAATCTTAAAAAATGATTGAGAAAGTTGTGTGAACGCATGTTTAATAAATAACTTTATCAAGACTACGAGGTGAGTCTATGGACACTTTGAGGAAGGCACTCTGATGAGTGAAAAGGGGGAAAAGAATTAAAGACAAGAAGTATTGGGAAAAGAGGCTATAGGAGTTTTGAAATGAAATTTGTACAAGTTTTGTACAAGCTTTAGATTAAAAACAAAGCTAATAATGATAATTAGTGTGTTCTTAACAGAAATAGGGTTCTTTTTAGCTCAATGATGGTTGTGGTAAAGTTTTGGTTTTTTTTGTTTTTGATCTGTCATCGCATTCAGGTGTTCCTATTTGCGCAGATCACAACCTGCTTCCACATTTCTCGATCCCTTGCTATTGTCATCCAGTGTTTCCTATCTTGATTGTTCCTGGGTTCGAAGTCTTCGACTTGCTTGTGCTGGTGGTGGTGTCACTCTAGCCATCCGTTGTGGTAAAGTAAAAGTTTTTATTTTTGGTTTGTAGCAATTAGATTTGGTTTATTTCAGGGCAAAACCTGTTGTGCTTTAAAAGATTATCATAAAATAGATTTGTTTATTTACAGATTCGTTCGATTGCATTAGAGATCCAAATCCGTCACTGCCTGCCATAGTTGGTCATAGCTAACTGGCTAAGAGCCTTGTATCTAAGTCGAGAGGTTAGATGGGAGGTGGATGGTTCAATCCCGCCGGCAGCTAGACTGTTGCTTCTTTTTTTCCAAATCTCTTTGGGTTTTTACTTCTCTCTATTTCAGGCTTACGGGTTGTGCTTTTGTATTGTTTGTGTCACATTATTCGTGTAAATAAATGTATTTTTAAAATCGATACAAATATGCGACATGAAGACACCGTTGAAAACGTCGTTTTGATGGGATCTTTTGACGTGGTTGGGTCATAGCGATGAAACGCTGTGGGAGACCGATTGTCCTGAAAATGTGGATGAGAGGGGAGGGGAACGGGAGCGGATATTCACTCAACACCACACCCAGATTCATTTTCGATTTTTTCATTTTCAACACTATACAGAAATTTTGATTGCTTGATGTATGAGCTCGTTTTAGCAAACTTCCAGTGACACTTTATCGGAATTTACAAATTTTACATAACTGTAATAGTACCCCACCCCCATAATGACAATGCGAAGTGTTGCGTAGTCTAGCTTTGAACGAGTTTTTCTCGACACTGGTTTAAGCTACAATGCGCGCTTAGGTATCAAAAAATAGCCCTAAATTTCAGCTATTTTTTGATACCAAAGACGCATTTTTCGAAAGTACGGGCGCTTTGAAAAAAATGAAATACTAAAAAACTTTTGCGACTGTACGCGACTGTACGAGGGGGGTGGGGTACTGTTACAGTATTTACGGTTGGTTTTAAACTCTTTCTTTACCTTTTAGAACTCATAGGTTTATAAGTTGCTTTGCTTTTTTCCAGGCTGGGTAGAAATTCAAGGAAATTTTCCCGAATGATCGCACTTCATTGGCGTTCGTCGTCATTTTTCTATTCGTTGATCGGTTTCTTTCTCGGCGCTTCGATATGTCTTTTGTTGCAAGGAGGGCAATATCGGGGATTGTAAGTGAATTTTGGATACGTAATTGTTAGCAATCTTTAAAAACTTATTTGTTTTGTGTTTAAAAGCTTTATATAAACTTATCTTTGTATAAAAAAAAACGTATTAAAAACTTTCTACATTGTTCAGATTGAAAAGTAGTGAAAAGTAGTGAAAAGTTGTCAGACTTCAAGTAAATTTTCAGTTTTGTCAGCTTATTGCAGTAAGATTCTGTAGTAAGGTATGATTCTAAGACTTTTACAATATTCTAACTATAAAATGTGCAATGAAATCCGCTTTAGAGGACAACGAATGCTAATATATCATCGCCGTTTTATCGGGAAAGGTGAAAACATCAGTGAAATACGAAAAGAACAAAATCACACTTCAATCGATAAAGAAGAAAAATTTGTGGATGAGATTTCTTCAGAAAATTGTAATAATTGAAATATATTTCTTCAAATCTACTTCTAAATGAAATCTACTTCTAAAATTCTCGTTAAGTTCTCGACTTGAACAATAAGACGTTGGCTGGTGAGATTTCGAAAAAAGTTCGGATATTATGTTGGATATTAACTGGTCGACAATTTCACTGGAAACGAGCTATTCATGTTAAAGTAACAAAATCTAATATAAATTCCTTTAAAAATCTAGATTTTAGACCACTTGGGGTCGACGATGTGACAAATTGATCTTTATGTCAAGCGAGAATAACACGATGTTCCCAGCTATTGATTTAGGGGTGAGTTTTTTTTAAAAATGGAAATATCAAGAGAATTTTCAATGACAACTTTTTAGGTTAAAGAGGGACGAAATCATTTGTGGGCAAAGACGAAAAAAGCACTACGATACGTTTACGACAATTACATTGTTGGTATGATTCGAGAAATGTGCAAAGACTCAAATGGGACTTCAGAATGATTACGATTGGTTTTTGAAAGCTGATGATGACACGTATGTGATTATGGAGAATCTGAAATTCATGCTACTATCGAAAGATCCAAAAGTGCCGATAAATTATGGGTAAAGTCTTGTATTTCCTTTTCTTTCTTTCTCTTCCCCTTTCTCCTTCTTCTCTCCCAAGAAGATACCGAATAGCTCAATGGTTAGAGCAATTGCCTGAAAAGGGAAAGGACGACAGTTCAATCCCCTCTCTTTCTTCTTTCTTTCTTTCTTTACCATTCCTTACTTTATTGTTAATGTATTTGAAGTTTTAGATTTGAATTCTCGGTGAAGCTCAAATACAAGCAGAATCCAGTGCTTAGTGGAGGTGCTGGATATGTTTTATCGAAAGCAGCACTTTTCAAGTTTTTGAAAAATAGAATTTTTGAGCTTTTAGATTTATAGATTTGTCACAGAAGCACTGGGAAAATCCTCAAAATGCAGTACAAGGGAAAAAGGATCTGAAGATGTTGAACTCGCAAGATGTCTTAAGAATGTAGGTTTTAACAAAATATTATTGATATTATAAGGTTTATTTCAACAATATGATTGGTTTTTTTAAAAAAATCATTGTTGGTTTCAATAGCTTAACAAGAATTTGTTGTAGGTGGGAGTGATTCGCGGAGATAGTCGAGACGAGGGTGGCAAGCAAAGGTTTGTGATTGAGGAAACTTCAAATATACTAGGTTGGTGCAAATGAAATTTCGTTTTTTTACAAACATTAAAGTCATCCAAAATTTTTTTAGATAACAATTTATTTAAAACAATAAGCACCATTATTATCTATGACATCCCTCCAACGTTGCTTCAGATTGCGGATCCCCTTCTCAAAGAACGCTTGATTCTGTGATGCAAAGTAGTTGGTCACCCAATTTTCGACCTCTTTTGCAATCTTAAACTGGCAATTCTCAAGGGAATGTTGCATCGATCTGAAAAGGTGAAAATCGGAGGGTGCTAAGTCTGGACTATACGGCGCATGTGGTAAGACCTTCCATCCTAGCTTCTCTAGTTCCTTACAAGAGGTTTTTGCCGTGTGAGCTGGAGCATTATCACGGAGAAAGTTGATAGTTGAGGGATTTAGGCCTTTTTCACGCAAAATTTCGTCAACCTTCTTGAGTTGTTGAATAAAATAAGATGAATCGACTGTTTTTCCGGGCTCTAATAATTCAAAATGAACAAGTCCATTGATATTCCGCCAGCAAGACAACATCACTTTGCGCCCATGATAATCCGGCTTTGGAGTTGGAATTGGCGCTTGACCTTTGCTCAGCCATTGTCTTTTTCGAGAAGTATTATCAAAGTGAATCCACTTCTCATCCATCATCAAGATATTCTCAAAAAAATGGCTTCTTTTCGACTTATGGAGCAAGATATGGCTGATCGAAACGCGTGCTCCCAGATTTTCAACACTCAATTGATGTGGAACCCATTGTCCATTACGATTTGTCTTTCCAATTATTTCCAAATGGCGTACAATTGTTGAATGATCACATTGAGATGTTTGGCAAGTTCTCGTGTTGTTTGCATTGGATCAGCTTCAATTAATTGTTCCAATTCATTGTTGTCGATGGCTGTGGCACGATGTCCATGCGATTCGTCTTCAAGGGATTCATTACCATCTCGGAATTGGGCAAACCAGAGCTGGCATGATCTTTCGGTGATAACCTGTTCTCCAAAGGCGGAACAGAGATCACGATGTGAATCAGCAGCGTTTTTGCCCATTTTGAAGTCATAGAGAAGACACGTGCGCAGAACATACTTTTGATCCACCATGATCTAAAGCAAAAATCAATTAAAAAGTGAAAGCTCTGACTTTGAAAAAATGCGAAAATAAAGTAAATATCCAAGAGTACAAATGCACAAAAGAACATCAAATAAGCTCTTCAGATTAAAAAAATAAGAACATTTTATATCGACCGAAATTTCTTTTGCACCAACCTAATATGTCGTAGCCGATGAAGGATTTCAGCCGAGAAGTCTCAGACTCAGTCTCAAAATTTTTGGTTAGCGAAACCTTCTTCGGCTAGCCGATTCTAGCTCTCAAAAATGAAATCTTGAGTTATGTATTGACTCAAGTCAATACCACAAACTCAAGCTCTCTAAAAGGTGCTTAAAAGCTAAAAACGCATTCTAGTTGCAGTTGCATTTTGCATTTTTCGACCAAACTAAACAACAAAAATAAACAATAATACCACCGGTTCACGAGTTCTTTGACCTAAAGGCAAACAAATTAAAGCGTCATAAAGAAATTCGATAGGACACAAAAGTGAAAGCTTACCAATCTGTTGGCGAACTCCTTTCCGTTGTCGGACTAAAGAATTTTTGGGGCTCCAAACGTTCCGAATATTTCCATTAGATGATTGACAACTTCAAATTGTGTTTTCCTTTGCAATGCCCGCAAAAGACGAACTTTATGAAATGATCCTGGTAGACCATCAAAAACTTGAATTCTCCATCGGGAACGGATCGAAGATCGATTAAATCCGTGCCTTTGACGAATGACGAATGACGAAAAGGCCGTTTTATTGCCTTTGGTTACAGTATGATAAAATGCGCACTCTTTAGAATGCGTTTTTAGCTTTTAAGCGCCTTTTAGAGGACTTGAGTTTGTGGTATTGACTTGAGTCAATACATAACTCAAGATTTCATTTTTGAGACTTAATCGGCTAGCCGAAGAAGTCTGAGACTTCTTCGGCTGAAATCCTTCGTCGGCTACGACATATAAATTTCTCTTCAAATTAAAAACAGTAAAAGTAGGATTAAATTTGCTTCAATTATCTTCAATTATCTATAAAATCAAAGATACTTTCAGTACAATTGTAGATTTATTCCGGTTTCAATCGACAGCGCTTTCATCCCACAGGATAAACAGGGCTATTGGTTCATCAAACGCTCAAAATACCCGTTCAGTCGAGTGAGGATTTGTTTTTATGAATTTAATTTTATATTAAAAGAAAAGCTATACAGGGTGACCAGAAATAACGTTGCGCCCTAATTTAGCCTATTTTTTTAAAAATCCAAAAAGATTTTGTAACAGAAACAATTTTTTATTAACAACATGATATAAAGAGAGCATAAAATCCACTTTTCTTCAAAGTGGCCATTTTTGGCTCCGATGCAGAGCCTCAAAGGCTTGATGAAGTTTTCGGCGATGGGCCGCAGCTCGGCCGGAGTGATTCGATCCCATTTCCTGGTCAACGATCGCTTAAGAGCCCCCAAACTTTTGTGGGGTTTTGCACAAGCCCTTGCCTCCAAAATTGACCAAACACTGTAGTCCAACGGATTGAGATCGCACGAATACGGAGGTCATTCCTGGGCCAAGATGAAATCCGGAAAGTTTGTCCTACACCAGTGCTGTGTGGATTTGGCTCGATGAGAAGGAGCGGAGTCTTGTTGGAAGGTCCAAAATCCGTTACCAAAATGCTGTTGAGCCCATGGAAGCAAAAGATTCTTGGGGATGTTGAGTTGTTTGAGGAGCAAAACATCCTCAAGAATCTTTTTTGGTACTTCTCAAGCGATTGATTGATTGATTTTTACCCCAGAATTGATGAAAATGAGAGGAGTTTTGCCGGTTGCGCAAATTCCGGCCCATATCATGACCGTTTTGAGATTTTGTCGGTGTTGAACAATCGCAGAGCTGCCTGGAGAAGACGTTGACCAAATCTGATCGTTTTGGTGGTTGTAGCTTTGCTCCACCGAGAAGAGCTTCTCGTCAGAAAACAGGATTCGCTCCCAGTGTGGAGTTGCGGCCCGCTTGAGAAGCTCTCGACATTGTCGAACTCGTTTGTTGTCGTCGTCGAGTTGTTGCCCTTGCTTGAGCTTGTAAGGGTCAAAAATGAGCTCAATCTTCACCCTTACAAGCTCAAGCAAGGGTGAAGATTGAGCTCATTTTTGACCATAAGTCGAACCGATTCGCAAGCGATCCCCGTCTGTCGAGCGATCTTTCTCATTGAGACCTGTGGATTCCGGGCACGCGCTTCTGAATCACTTTGCGATTTCTGGAGGTGTTGACTGTTCTTTTTCTGCCTCTTCCTGGACGATCTCCATCGTTGCCAAGCTCCTTGTATCGCTTAATCCCTTTTGAGACGAGCTGATGAGAAACACGTAGCAATCGCGCGATCGCACTCACGCATTGACCTTGACGATGAAGCTACAGAATGGCAGATCCCTTGTTTGTCATCCTGTAAAAAAATGAATAGACTTGAAACAAAGTCAAACAACAAAGAAACTAATAAAAACAATCACAGAGAATAGGTTAAAAATAAATTTGTCTCCCAAAATTGAAACTTTGAGGATTTTAGGCTGCCGAAAATCCCGCAACTTTATTTCTGGTCACCCTGTATATTTATGTAGAAAATTGGATAAATTTCTTGAAATCCTTGCAATTTTTCTTTTAGAATCACATCTCAAATCTAACAATCGCCATTCATTACGTGAATGGAGGAATGATGCACGCGTTAGAACATCTCCTCTATCAGGCACGCATTTATGGAAATGAGATACCAATTAGGTGAGAATATTGTTTATTTTGAAAATTTCCCATTCCAGTTCCCCAGAAGAAGCAACGAAACTCCTGGAAAAAGCTCGAGAAGATTCGGAGAAATCTTCTGGATCTGAAGATCCGATGAAGAACCTAACCGCTCTACTAGATTTACCAACTTTAAATGACTCAAAATCACCAAAAACAAAATTGATATCCTAGAATTACCATGGTTTTTTTTCAATAAATACATTAACGAATTTCGCTTTTGTTTTCCACATGTTTTTCTTTTCTTAAGAAAAGACTCGAAAAAGATAGAGAGGTTAGGATGGGGAGCGCTGGAGGGAGAAAGCCTTTTCGTGGAAGGGGCTGATGTTAGCTGGTGGAGTGCACAGACCGCGCAACAAATCAATAGGAGAAGAGTGGGTAAAGTGAAGAGAGTGAGATTGGTGACAGTGGGATCAGTGAGTAAAGGGGGAAAATGAGCAGAGAAATCAGAGAGTGGAGATGCCTACGAAAAGAGTAGAGCGCAGAGAAAGAAGGATCTGCGGTGCGTCGCGTCCCTCCTCGCTCGGGTGATCTGTGTGGGTGAGACACGAAGAGCCTCTGCCTGCGTCCCCCAATCTCCTCAGCCGTCGCTGGGGTCTCCTCCACTCCTTCACCACTCCTCCACCACTCCCCTCATTCCCCTTGCTGCCTTCTTCCCTCTGAAGTCTATGTATGAACAATCCCTTTCTTTTTTCTACTCCCTTCCCCCTCCTCCTCTGAAGTCCGACCGTGTACCGATTCGGCAAACGGACAGCTCTCGTATTGTCTGTCGCGTCTCCTCCTCCTCCTTATCCGAAATGTTGCAACCACCCCTCATCTCTCCACACTTTCTGCTAGAAAAGAGTTAGGGAAAAGAAAAAGGTATGGCTATAACTATAAGAAAGCTATAACTTTACTTTAAGCATCAAATTTGAAGCATTCAACAAAATTTGGAGCAAAAAATTTTCAGATTTCGAAAGCGTTTAAATCTTGACTGAAGTAGACAATGGCAAAAGCTAAATTGAAATCAAAAACTAAATTGAAATCAAAAACTAAATCAAAAATAAAATCAAAATCAAAATTCGTATGATGCCATTGACTCGTAAACACTTTTTAAGTCAATCCTATTTCCACTTCGCCTAGAGATTTTCAAACTCTAAATATTTTTTAAATAAATATTATACAGTCAACTCTCTTTATAACGGAATGGAAGGGACGAAAAAATCGATTTATATAATATAGCTTATAATATAGCTTATAATATAGCTTATACTATAGCTTATACTATAGCTTATAATATAGCTTATAATATAGCTTATAATATAGCTTATAATATAGCTTATAATGTAGCTTATGATATTGCTTATGATATAGCTTATAATCTAGCTTATAATATAACTTATAATATAACTTATAATGTAGCTTATAATATAGCCATTTTATATAGCTTAGCGTCGGCCGTGACCGAAAATTCCATTCCGTTATATAGAGTTTGAAAATCTCTAGGCGAGTCAAGTAGAGAGAGAGTCAACTATATCTAAATATTTTATTTTAATCCTTTATCTCTTTTTCTGAAAACTGTTTTCAATTCTATTTTTACATTGAATCAATTTCGCTTTTACTATTGGCTTGTACTCTCTGTAATTTTTAATAATGTTTATGTAGAGTTATGAAATTTTAAAAAATCTTTCCCTTATTGACATTTACATCAGTTGATCATTTTCTTTTAAAAGAATTTGATCAAAAATTACATCAAAATCAAAAATCAATCAAAAAGCAACCATTTTTTCATAAAATCACGATTTTTTTCATTAGAAAAAGCAATTATAGCTTTTTTATAAGATCACCATTTCTATTTTCTCGCTAAATATTTCACATATCCAAATTCAGCGATCGCAACCCTTTTTTTGGCAATAAAATGCTTGTAAAGGGAAAGAAAAGGAGAAAACAGAAAAGAAGAAAAGAGGAAAAGAGGCTGTTGTTGTCTGTCTAATCGATGGCTCTCAGTGCCTCGTCAATGCGGTGTGCCCGCTGCCCCCACAAGTCACGCGCTCCCTCGCCTCTTCTCCCACCAATCCCTCTTTCCTCACTACAGCCCTTTCCCATTTCCCAACCCCTTCCTCTACCCTCTTCTTTTCACTCATTCACCCATCACTCCTCTGTTTTCTATTTCTACCACAAAACCTTTTGCGTTGTTGTTTTGATGATGAATCTGCGTATTGTGTGGGTTCCCTATTCTCTCATTCGTTTGCTTTCTCTGCTTTTTTTAAGGGTAAAACAGCCTTGACGAAATGGAAATCTTGCGATTGAAACATGTGAAAATAGGCGTTCGCTTTCAACAAAAAGTAAAATTAGTGCTAAAATGATGAAATGATAAATGCTAGATGCTGAAAACTCATTGGGAAATTGGTTGTGTCCTTGGAAGTTTGTGCAAATTCTTCTCCAAATTCTTGTCCAAATTCTCGTCCAAATTCTCGTCCAAATCCTTATCCAAATTCTTGGAATCAAACGCTAAATTGTTGAAAATTGTTGCTATTTCTCTGTTCCTTTGAATCTAATCTTTAAATAAATAATTCATTAATATTTTAATTCTTAAAATCTCCCCTTAAAAAACCTATATCTTCAACTTTTAAAAATTTTCTTCTTTTTCCCTCTTCTTTTTCACTGTTGATTTACCGATTTCACGCAAAAACCGAATATTTACAGTGTTCGTCCGTCGGCGGCGGGACGGCCCAAGTCCTTGCCGCCCCACATGTTTGTCTAGCAGAACTCTGCCGAGGCACCACCCCATTCACCCGACCTCCAACCCCTCCAATCTCAATCCTTTTTCCTCCTCTTTCTCTTCTCCCAAACAACAGTCATTGACGAACTCTCTTCCGCTACTCGTCACATCTTTCTCTCACCTTTTTCCCTCGAAATCCTCATGGACAACGGAAATCATTCATGTGAACAGGTAGCCAAAGCTTCTGTGAATAATAGAGGAATTACCTGTTTACTAATATTTCTTCAATAGTGAATTTTAGGGAGAAAGTGAGCCGGATGTTTTTGAAAAATCAAAATCCGAGCATCGAGAAAGAGCGCCTAGGGAAAGCCATAGTTGTATGGATCCGAGAAGATTGGCGATAGTGAGAGCAAGGGATGCATTGAGGAAAAGGTTCCATTTTAAGGGGAATTCAAATTTGAAGGGAAATTCAGACGCTGGAGAGAAAGACGGAAATTGGAGTTAGGCCAGAAAAGTGTGAACGAGGAGGAACAAAGTCAGCAAGATGAATGGGAGTCATCTCAATTTGAACCCGCAACCATTGAAGTGATCCCAAAAAGCGATGGCTTTCTGGATGCTTTACCTGAGAAGCACTCATCGAAAAGAGCTGGGATATCGCCAGAAAAGTTGAGGGTAAGAAAAAAGAATTTATTTCCTTTGAAATCTTTGTTGATTTAGGAGATGAGAGCAAAAGATGCTGAGAGAAAAAGAAGGGCGAGAATGAGAAAAAGATTGATTTCAGCTGGAGTGTCGGATGGAGAAAGCATGGTATGAATGAAGGGATTGTAAAGGAAATGGGAATATTTAGAGTTTATTGATGGGACAAAATGATTTGATACAGTCAGAGGTGTTGCAGCAAGAAAGAATTCAGCAAGGAAGAATTCAGCAAGAAAGAATTCAGCAAGAAGAACTTGAACGAATCGGAGAAATGGCATTAGCCCAATTGAGTATCGATGTGACTGACGGAAATGGAGAGCCGAGTATAGCTTCTGACAGTGGACTCTCATCGATTCTTTCCCCGTCATCTGCTTTTTCTCCTGTTTCCGCAAATCATACGCCGAAAGGATGCAGTCGGATACCTCGAAAGGTAAAGATAAATACCTGAAACTTGTCTGTCTGTCTGTCTATCTATCATATCTGTCTGTCTGTCTACCTGTCTGTCTGTCTGTCTGTCTGGCTCTCTGTCTGTCTGGCTCTCTGTCTGTCTTAGTATACTGTAAAGAGAGCTCTGAAAAGTGATAATACTTCCTTACTTCTGTAATGAAATTTTTCAGCTTTTAACTCCAAATCAACTCTTGGAAGTGCGCTCGAAAGATAATGCGAGAAAAAGAGAGCAACGATCGCGAAAGAAAATGGAACAACAAGTGAGAGAAATAGCAATAAGAAATCTGGAGAATTGTTTAGCAAGATATGGCGAAGAACATTCTCCAGATTATGAATGGAGCACATGAAGCACTCACAACACCGACATTCAATGCATTGGCGGTCAATTCGATTTTCAAGGTAGCTGCCAGATTTTAAACATGTCATGATTGTAAGTTAAATTTTTAGATGAATCCACAATGTGTGTTGAATCCATTGCTGGGATCAGGAGGTCTTGGAGGTTGTCTTCCACCTTCTATTCCCACTTTCCCCCTCATTCCTGGTTCTTCTCTCCTTTGTACCCCTGGACTTCCCTTTTCCACAGTAAGAAATTTAAAAACTATTAAAAACTTTAAAAATTAGGCTCTGAATGTGGATACAGACCTTGCGATTTCAACCTCAGCTCCTGCTTCTTTATTTGAAAGTCATAGTGATCAAGATCCGATGGAGCTTTTCAGAAGTTTAGTAGAAAAGGTAAAGAATGAAATTATCATGAAATAATTATGAAAATAAAAGAGTTTAGGTATCACAGAATCAGTTTTCGCCAAGAGTTCAAAGTGAAGAGCGAGCCGCTGCGAAGAGAGCCGCTCGAGCTGCGAGAATCGCTCGTATGACCGAACAACAAAAAGATGTTAGTTAAATGTGTATATTAAATGTATTTTATATCTTTAAGATATTAGATATCGTTCTTTAAGATGTTTGATATCGTTCTTTAAGATATTTGATATCCTATTTGTTAAGCAAACAATGATTTAGATGCTTCGAGCCTCGGATCGAGAGCGAAAGCGACTCTGGCGTCAACGTAGACGAGAACTGCAAGGGGTTGGTCAGAAAGGAATCTTAAATTTGCTATATTCTTTTATATTTTATTAAGATTAGGCAATCAATTACCAAGAAAATTATCTATTTAAAATTAGAAAAGAGATTGCCACAGGCGATGATAGAGAATTTCCGAACATTTAGGGCAGTTCTCTCTCCGAATCTGCTCATCCATCTAGTTCCTCCAATCAATAGATCATTTTTTTATCTTTTTTATCTACCCTTTCTTCTACCTTTTCCCTCTCTGAATCTCAATTCTTTAATTTTTATCATTAGCATCTTTCGGATACTGGTGTCTCTTCAAAATATTTCACTTTTTTATTGTACTTCTTCTGTGATTTAAGCTTCATCGGTAGTTCTTTTAGTTGATTTGATTGTCATTTTTTTTTGGGTGCTTGAAGTGCCCATCCAATGTAGATATACCTCGACAAACATTCACTTATTGCCCACTGCGAACTTTTATCGTAATCAATTTTATTCATTGACTCTATCTCATTTCAGAAAAGAAATCTAGAAAAAGATCACATTTTTTTGAAATGATATAAAGCCGTTCAAATTCAATGTGCAAATTTTATTGAAACCTTGTTTCAGATAATACTCGGTGGCGTTTTTTTTTAATACGGTGATTGGAAAATAAAGTGCAAATTTTATTAATAGCTTATTAAATGATGATTCGGATTGTATAACCGGTTGAATATCTAATTTTCTTTCTCTTTTCGATTTCAATTTAAATGAAATGAAACAACGTAAAGTGCAAATTTAGAATGAATCAATACAGCTATTCGACGCAGGATCACCGATCGAGCACTCAATCGGGTGGATCATCGCAACAAGGACAGAACTTTAATTGTAAGCAGTCATATAGTTTTGAATTTAATGCACAATTTACAAACATTTTCAGCGTATTCGACTTTTCATCCGACCACCACCTACACATCGTCCTCCACTCTACCATATACTTCGAACACTTTCATCCCCAGCAATGTAAATTTTAATTTAATGTAATTGATTTAATGATTTAATGTTGATTTAGTTATCGTGACATTTAAAACCTCATGTTCATGGAATTTTAAAGAATAAGAGATTTTAAGAGTTGTGGCAGAGTCCAATAAAGAATTGGTTTTATGGTAAGCCTATTGGAACTGTTTTTAAGCCTACTTTATTAAACTTTGATTCTTGATAAAATTCTGATTCAGGGCCAATCTCAAGCCCCTGAAATCCGCTTGGTCAACGCAGCTGGAGAACCAACGGAACAACGATATGTCCAATTGAATCCATCCGGACAAGATGACAAGTAAGGATTTGGATTCTTGAAGAAATTGTCACTCTGAAACTTTAGAATTGCCTCCCTCTTGGACTCGTATTTTCTCGAACAGCCCCAGCAACAGTCGTGGACGCCTCAACAGAGCAGCACCGGTGGACAAGTGCGCCCAACATTGAAACCTTTACTATTATCAATCTTTTTAGATAGCTTACAGTCAAGGAATGATTTCAAAGAATCAAATAAACAAGCCAGTCTCACAGGAGAAACTTGACAAAGAGAAGGCCAAACGCATAAAACAGGCTGAAGCTGCTCGACTGAGGTAAAATCGGATAAAATTTACAATGAAAAAATAAAAACTTCCTTGAAGTATATAGCTTATTTTAACTATATACTTCAAGTATTTTCAATTATTCAAAATTATGGCTAAATATTTTTGACTTGGGGAAATCACTTATTACGCTTTGATTCTCAAATTACACCAATTTCGCCAATGTCGATTTTTTTTAGATATCATCGTTTATCCAATGAGGAAAAACGCGAATTGAACTTGAAACGAACTCAAGCTCAGAAAAGAAAGCGACAAAGAGAAAAGGAAATGGAGCAACTTGAAGAAATTCTACGGCAAAGTAACGATATTCAGGTAAAGAGGCGAATAATATTTTAATATATTTAATCAATTTAAGGAAGATCCCGATATTACCGAGCAGTTGCGGGAGAAACGTTTACGAGCCAAATGGGCTGAAGCTGCCAGAGCAAGGTTAGTTTCATTTTTAGATTAAAACGCGTCTTTTTTTCTGCCTAAACAGGAGTATTTTAGATATCAACGTATGACTCCCGATGAAAGGAGAAATCACAACAATCGCCGTCGGATGCGTCAAATGCAACACGCGCTCCACCAAGCCAAGGTTTTTAAATAATTTAATTTTTTAAATTTGTTGTTTCGCAGGAGCATGGCGAACTTACGGGAGATCCCTTGAAAGATGAAGACGCCATCAAACGACAAATTAAGGCAATGAATGCGAAGAAAGCTGAAGCTGCACGGCAAAGGTTTATTGACTTATTTATTACCTAATTTATGGATTATTAGGTATCATCGAATGACAGAAGAGGAAAAACGAGTCTACAATCAGCGGCGCACAGAAGCTTTTAGACGTCGCAGAATGGAGGTTTTTTGGCAAAAGTTTTCAAGGGTAATTTATATTTTAGGAAGAAATGCTTTTGGCAATGCCGATTGGTCGTATCAACGGTGAAGCCCTGGATCGTGCTCAACAAATCGTCGTGAGGAATGCTAAAAGAGCCGAAGCCGCTCGCCTACGATACCAAAGAATGACTCCTGAACAAAGAAAGGTAAAATTTGCTTCACAATTTTAGTTTATTTCAAGAAGACTGGGATAAGTACTTGTTTTAGCAATACAATCAAAAGCGCTACACGCCAAAACGAACCAAGGGCGGTTCAGTTGATGGAAGCAATGGCTTGGGAAGTCAGAAGAAGCAAGGTCAACAATTCGATGAAAATTATGATGTTCTCTCTTCGATTGAACGTGATGTGTTGAAGCGGACCCAACAGGCACAGCAAGTTCTGTTGAGGCAACAAAGAGCAGCTCAGGTTTTCCCCTATACTTTTTTTACTTAACCAGAAACTTTTAGATAAACGGTGGGCCGGGTCCTTCAACTCCAACATATGTCATTGCTAGCCAAGGCTCTTCTGTCCCCGCTCAAGGACAAGTTGTGCAACAGATTGTTCGTTTTTTTAAAATTTAAGCATTAATATCCAAATTTTAGGTACAAAATGGGCAAGTTGTTCATCAGGTGCAAAGTCCAGCCGTTGTTCAAGTTCAAGTGCCATCTACGGTAAAATTTTTTAGTTATTGACGTTGTATATCAATGTTTTAGGTGTCTGGCGGCCATCAAATTACGCATACTGTTGTTAAAGTGAGTGTTGCTAATTAAAATTTTTAGGTACTTGTGGAGTATCCGGGGGGTCTTTCAATATCCGGGGTGGTAAAATTTCAAGATCCGGTGGGGTAAAATTTTAAGATCCGGGGTAAACAAGATGCACGAGTAATGCAAGAACATAAACATAAATCAAACATAATAATTAAATAAATTTGTGAAGTACAACAGTAACTATTTATAACAGTGACAATGAATACTACTTGTAAAAATCTATCGAATTTACTTCTAGGCCAGGAGGCCAAATTTCAACACATAAAACTACCCCAAAAAATGGTTTTGAAGAAAAAAAAGTGACCCGCCAACTAGGATAGTATCAACATTTCCAATAATGACATAAAAAAATTTTGTAGAAGTTACGTTTTTTGATCGAGTATCACCTCGAATAAATTGAATATCTTTACATTTGAAGGGAATTTGCCACCAAATCACTTAAGCGGCTGAATATCTTCAAAAGGGGTCGTATATAAAGTATATAAAATTCTATCCCACCGGATCTTAAAATTTTACCACCCCGGATATTGAAAGACCCCCCGGATACTCCACAAGTACCAATTTTTACTATTTTCTTACTGTGCACTTTACTATCTATTTTAGACCCAAACCCAAGGATCTCAATCAAGTCAAGGAGCACCGTCTCAAATCCATCGACAGCCAGGGTTAGTTTTTACACCAGCGCACATCCGCGCGAAATAAGGCAAAAAAATCGTTTTCTATAGGATTTTTACGTTTGAATAGCCGATTGACGCAGAAAAATGTGCTGAATCGGAAAATAAAAGAATTTTTGAAATCCCTTCGACAACTTTTTTAAAAATCGAGTTTGCGTCGGTTACTAATTTCAGCCATATTTTTGGGGAGAAATTTGGAAAAAAAAAAAAAAAAAAACCGCAAGTTTTATCCCTCTCCTGTAAAAAAAAAAAAAATAACATAAAAAGGGTTTCATCGGTTCACACATAACCGAAAAACATAGAAGGTTCATAAAAAACAACTTTACTTAAATCCGCAGAGATCGACACATCATCTTGAAAAGAAGAAAAATAGCGAAAATGGTTTGATTGTGGCAAAAAAAAGTTTAATTTTGCTCTTTTTCTCTTTGGGGTTACGGTAATCTATCCGCGTTATAGTGTGCCAGAACCCGGGAACCACATTTTTATTTTCAAAAGGTTATAACTTTTTATAGGGCTGATCAATTTTTATGCTTTTGGTATCAAAAGATAGAGAAAAGCCCGTAGAATAAAACTTGCGGTTTACATTTTTGTTTTAGACTTTTGTTTCCAAAATTTTGCTCCGACAATAAAATATGGCTGAAATTTAACACAATAAAATCACTAAAATCACTAAACGCGATTTTTAAAAAAGTTGTCGAAGGGATTTCAAAAATTAATTTATTTTCCGATTCAGCACATTTTTCTGCGTCAATCGGCTATTCAAACGTAAAAATCCTATAGAAAACACATTTTCGCGCGGATGTGCAGCGTATCAAAATTCTTTGGTCAAAAATCAACTTTCTTTGCATAAAATCTGAGTTTAGCCAACAGCCAACCTATCAACACCATCAAATCATCTCGAATCCATATGGCGGTGGAAGACAATGATCAAAATGATTTCAACCAATCCATTTTTTTTCTTCAAAGATTTTCATTTTTCATTTTGTAGTTTAATGATAATACGAGCTGTAATATCCTGGGTACTTGATAAAATAATTTTATATCTAACACGAAAAATTCTATTTCTACGTTACCTTTTACCTACGTTACCGTTACCGAATTTATGGGAAATTAAAAAAAAATGAAGTCAAAATAAGAGTGTAGGTAACAAACGAAATAGTATTTTCTTCTCGTCACAAAATTTGCCTTCGGGATCACTTGTGCTTTTTTTCTACCCTAAACTTTACTTTTCGTAATTACAGCAATGTATTTTCAGCAACTATTCAACATTGTGACTTTTCACCTTGTATGTAAATTTGAGAGTGAGATGTCGTTGAAGCGCCTCAACAAATTCTCTAATCTCAATTTCCTTTGCCGTTAATGTTTTTAAATGTTCTCTATTGTCATTTTTTGCTATTAATCATGCTGACATTTTAAGCCTCTTCTCATCTTTTCCAATAGTTATGGTGAATAAATGTTTCATGTAAATCCGACCTGGTAACAAAATAGTTTGAAGCTAACTTGTATTTCAAGCTTTAGATGCTCTGAGTTTAGTAGGCAAAATCTGATTCTAGGGAAAGCTAAGTGTGGGTCTGTGGGGAGATGCAGCGTGTACCGGTGTATGCACCTGATCAAGGCACCTCCGACACGGTGACTCCCGATGAACCACCAGACTCTGGCTTTCATGTAAGCACTTTTGTATTTGCCCTATAAAAGGAGCTTGAAAAAAAAACATAAAAAGAGTGTAGCTTGTCAATATATTATTTGTCTTCATTTTTCTTTTAAATTCCTAATTAAGAAAATTAGAAGCCTAAAATATGTGTCTTTTTAGTCATTAACCTTCGGGAATGCCTACTACTCGAGTGCCGCGTCAGGGAGTGCTTTCCACACTACGTCGGTCAACAGTGGATACATTGATGATCGAAAATACGTAAAATTGTTTGTTATACATTTTGTACCACGCCTTTTCTTTAGCTTGGTGGTATGTCGGTGACCGATTCAGTGGCTGGAACTAGTGGCACAATTGGACGTCAAATGCATCATCTCCAGGTTCCCTTTATACCCAGTATAAGTTAATACGTTTTGTTTAGCCGGCATCAACTTCCACTGAAACTGATGATAATGGACACTATGTGGATTCTTACTTTGTGGATCGACCTGGTGAAGATGTCGTAATCGAATCAATGGACGCTCATCATCATCATGACCAGTAGGGGCATTTTTCTTTGTACAAATATTTTTTTCTTATAGTGAACAACCTAACAAGACCTTATTTGAACTTGAAGAAGAGAGAAGGGTACGACATGCTGAAAATTCAAGACTACGGTAATATTATTTTTTAAAGAAAACTAAATAAATTATAGGTATCATCGAATGTCCGAAGAACAACGGAGGGCGGTAAATCAGCGAAGGGCCGAGCGCATCAAAAAACAAAGACAGAGAGAGCGAGAAATGGTGGAATTGGAAAACATTCTGAAAAGCTCCCATGACATAGACGTATTTCTTTTAAAGAATTATTTATTTATTAAACCATTTAGGAAGAGCCTGAAGTACAAGAAATACTGAGACAGAGAAGAATTAAACAAAGGCGAGCTGATGCTGCGAGAAGTCGATATCATCGAATGACTGAAGACCAGCGACGGGTACTTTGTTGGACTTAATCTAAAATGTCTAATTTTAGGAATACAATATGAGACGGCGTATGCGGCAACTTGGACTTGATCCGGATTGTCCGGTAATTGATGACGATAAAGTTCGAACGAAAATTCAAGAGATGAATAGGAAAAAGGCCGAAGCCGCCAGAGCTAGGTAAAATTACCTTTTTTTAGTTTTGATTGTCAGAATTTAGATATCATGCAATGAGTGAGAATGATCGACGGGAGTACAATGCCAGGAGAACGGCTGCTTTCAGAAAAAGGCGATACGAAGAAGAAGTGCTGCTAAGCACCCCAGCAGGAAAAATCTCGGCGGCTGCTTTGGAAAGAGTTAGTTTCAGAAGATTTAGGGTTGTAATACATTTTAAAATTTTATATTTTCCTTTGAAAGATTTAAGCAATATGTTTTTAAGTTTTAAAAGTTCGAATTTAGGCGCAAAAAATCATGATTCGAAATGCCAAGAAAGCTGAATCAGCACGGCTTCGCTATCAACGAATGTCGCAAGATGAAAGAAGAGTACGTTTTCTTTTTTAAATTATATTGATCTGTTTTGCTGAAATTTGTAGTCAACAGTAATTACTTTTAGGAGTACAATCAGCGGCGGGCTATCGCCAAAAAACAAAGAGATCCACGCAGTCGATCGATTGGCAGAGATACATCGCTTCCATTAGGTTTGTATCTTACAAAAAAGTTGATTCAAGTTTGTTTAGTGAGTAGTGAATTGTCGCTGTCTGACGGAGCAATATCGCCAGGTGGCATTGATCCGGTCACCGTCGAGTCTATTGTGAGTTTTTTTTATTTTGCAGTGAGCAAGCCGACCTATATTTAGCCGACAGAAACGGCGAACAAGTCCTCGTCGTTACTCACCGATGATTCGGTCACTGTCGACATGGAAACCATCAACGAGGCCCATCGCCAAATCGATCATAAAACCAAACAAGTTTGTTGAACTTTGCTAATTTTTAAACTTGTTATTTTTAGGCCCAAGCCCTCTTACAAGGTCGGACGAGAGATGATTTGTCAATGAATATAACACAAACGGAAAAGTAAATTTGCATATTATCAAGAAGAAAAATGAATTTATTTTTAGATACCTGGTAAATCCAAACGAACTAGTTGTGGTATATGTGACGACTGAACAAGTAGTTGATGCTTCAGGAAAAGAGACTATCTATCTACAAGTAACAGCACTTTTGATATTCTTTATGATAGTGTTTTGCAGCCGGCTGCTGGACAAAAAATAAATGATAAGCAATTGCAAATGATGCTTTCTACGGGTAGAGATGAACGAGGCCGAACCGTTGAAATTCGAACAATTGATGGAAATGTCCTTACCCCTCATCTCAGGTTTTGATTTCAAAAATTTTAGCGTTGAACATTAGGCTCTGATTAATTAAGTTGATCCTATCTTATGTTTTAGAGCGGACGAATCGGGCCAGCCACAAATCACTCTGGAGCCCATTCCGAAGGGCTATCTTCAGGTAGACCTTAAATCATTACAGTCTATAATAATATGCCTTTAGATTGATCCCTATGGAGAGTTGGTTGTCGAAGACAGTGGAAGAGGGACGGATGTGATGAGTCAACAGCACAAAGCGGAAGTCGCTAGAAAAAGAAGAGCCGAGAAGGCCCGCTTACGGTGAGCATGACGCATTTTTGTAATTCCATATACACTTCTTTTTAGCTACCATTCTATGACACCAACAGAAAAAGCGGATTTCAATTCAAAAAGAGCAGAGGGTTTGCGAAAAGCTAGAAGAAGGTAATTTTTCAAAAGTTTTTGGGAATTGATTTGTTTATTTTTTAGAGATGAAGAGTTAGTCCAATTGGCAGAACATACGCCTCTGACGTCCCTGGATGATGAGACTAAAAGAGCTGTACTTGATGCACAAAGGCGTCGTCAAAGAAGAGCTATGTTAGCTAGAGAAAAGTACCATCGGATGAATAGGTGAGTAGTACATTGGTGTTTTTGTAGGGTTTTCCAAGATGTGAATACAACTTTTATTTGTGTTTCAGTGAAGAACGACGCCAATATAATGCTATGAGGGATGCACAACGGCGTCAGAGAAAGCGAGAATTAGAAAACCGAATGATCGGCCAAAAGGTTGACGGCTCGAGTGGAGATGCTGCACAAGATGGTGGCGAAACTTCGCAGGATAACACGCACGTTGATGTTGATGACTCAAATGAGCCGGTAAAATTTAAATATTGAAAACTTGCCAAATTCATTCTTAAGAGGGTTTCAAATCAACAAATGGCGTATGCTTCCTACGAGATGTCTTTCCAAGATGATCCATATTAAAATCATCAATCAAGCTTTCGTTCTTATGTTTTTCAATCCCTCATGTTTTCTTTCGGGTCCCCCACCTGTACATTGTCGAATCCAAACTCCTTCCGTCCAAAATCCAAATTCCGTCTAGGGTCGGGGTTTAGTTGGTTGGTGAAAAGTGTCTTTGCCATTAATATAATAGATTCTTGGTGTAATACCCATGCGCTAATGGGAACTATCTATAGAGCTAACGTTTTTTTATCTGAACTATTGTAAATCGTCTATTAGAAGCATCTTTAGGCTAAATTTTTTTCAAGATTGAACAGAAGTTGATGTGACGGACTGCTATACTTCAAACGTTTAAAGACAAACATCTAGCTTTGTCTACACATTTCACTTCCCTTGACCCTTATCTAAACCATCCCCCTTTTCCTTCATGGGTATTAATTTGTTCTGTGTTTCCGATATTTAAGTTCATTCTCCCTTTAGATATTTTTGCTCAGTTTTGACGTAAATTGTCGCCAATGAAAGCGGATTGTAAACGTATAAATTTTACGACTAGTTTTGTATGTGCATGTATATAAAAAGAATATGACAAAAACGCAATTAACCTCTTATAAAAAGAAAACAAATCAAAACCATAATTGCTGTTCAAAACAGCTTGGATTTTTAGACACTTGCTTACTTTTTGGGGAAAAGGAAGAAATTCAATTGGTAGCCCAAATTCACCTTGGCAGCCGTGCTTAAGACTTTCCAAAAAAAGTGACAAACTCGATTTTAGCTGGTCGCCCCTGAATTTACGCCCACCACCCCCTTTTTTTTGCCTCTTTCAAACTGCAAAATATTGCTCAAAAAGGACTCGTTTATTTGATCTTCTACTAGTAGTTTACTAGAAAAACTTGTAACCAAAAGTTAAATCGTGATTTTTGATGTTTGTAATATCAAAAAGAATAAACAAAATAGTTTTTTTTTTTTTGTTCACTGAGTTTTCGTCAATTTTCTCGAATTTTCTCCACAATTTTCTCAACGAAATTGAAAACCGTTGATTTTTAGGGGGAAATGAGCGAAAGTTTATTGAAAGAACCAAGGCGAAAAATGCGTAGCCTTACGCTGAAATGGGTTTTTCGAGAGGGACATCATCTTCTTTTGGCTTCAAACTTGAGAAACAAAAAAAGAAAAACCCCTGCAACTTCTTCTCTACTTTTCCCCGTTCTCCTTTTTTTTTTCAATACCCATTTAATATTTTGTTTTTTTTTGTTTTCTTGACTTGATCTCATTCTTTTCCCAAACTCATTACTTGATCAACTTAAAATTTGTAGAATAGAATAGAATAGAATAGAATAAAATTGGTTGTCATTTAGTTGTCAATAATTTGGTAAACTTTATAGATTCAATTATTGAATTATTTTTAAATTGAATTATTATTCAAAACGGATTGCAAAGATCAAACAAAAAAAAACATCTTTCTTTGAGGGGAATAACTTTGAGAAAAATACAAAAGTGGCAATTAATTTTTCGACATTTTTCCATAAATCATTTTCTCACTTCTTGAAAATAGACGGAAAAATGGTGATTTTAAAAGTGAAGAATCTTTTTTCTTCTTCTTTGTTCTCCTCCTTTTTGTTGTAAAGCTTCGATATTTTTATGTGCACATGTTCGCTCTTAAAGACTCACTCGATGAACGTAGCTCTCAAAAAAGTTTACGACGAAAAATAAAACCCGAAAACAAGATGCTTTCCCCCCTTACCACCATTACCCCAAAAGTTTTGTCATAAAGCATTTTGAACTCTTTGATATTTATCCACCGTGGCTCTTATTTTCACGTCTTATCTTTCGGCTTTCGTGAGAGATTTGAGCGCTTTTTGTGCTGGTGCACGTCTTCTTCTCTCGAAACACTTACCATCGTTTCACACGACTATTCGATTTCTGAATTGCGCCACTCACAACAATGGCTCGTCTCCAAAAGATGCGACCAGATTTGTTCTTTTCTTCTTTTCTTCTTTTCTTCTTTCTTTCTGAGTTCATCTTTATAGTTCTTGAGGTTCGACGTTTTTCCTCTTCCTCTTTTTCTTGAAATGAATGAAGATCTATTTTCCGTTCCAAATAACTGACGAATTTCTTTTTTTGATATTGACGGGATTAAGATGTTAAAAGCGACGTCAGTTCTCGCAAATCTATGCAGATTTTCTCAATGAGATTCATAGTAAAAAACTTCACCTTTTTTATGTGAGGTCCCTTTCTTTTCACCCTTTTGAATGCCCTTCGTCGAGTCGTGGCCCGTAAATAAAATTTGCAATTTCAAGAATCGCGCGACTCGTTTGTCTGTCAGAAAATGGACCTCGACCCCCCCCATTTCTACCAATTGAACTCTTTTTTTTCTAGCTAGTAGCGTTTTTAATTCAATTTCAGTGAGTGATTTTTTGTTTGTGCATCAGTAATATATTTTCTGGATAAATTCTGGATCTGAATCTGATTCTGGATCTGGATCTGAATCTGGATCTGAATCTGGGTCTGAATCTGAATCTGATTCTGGATCTGAATCTGATTCTGGATCTGAATCTGAGTCTGGATCTGAATCTGAATCTGGATCTGAATCTGAATCTAGATATTTTGAAACAAAACAAACCAAAACATACATGCATTTTTACTCAAATTTTTGACGACTTTTCACTTGTAAAATTAGAACGTAAAAAAAACGAATTTACTGAATTCTGAAGATTCATTCAGATCACAGGCATTCTCTTTCAAAAGACACCACCAATTTCCACTTTGAAATCAGAAAAAAGGATTGTTGTTGCCCGTTTAAGTAGTTGTTTATCTAATAGATTTCACTGAAATGCTTTACTTTGTTTTTCTCGAAATAATTTATATTTGTTTACAAGCCAATATTTCTTTTAAACTCCGTCACTCCGTCTTTTGGGACCAAAAATGATGACACCCTAGAGAAATGCCTTGTTTTACCCTTTCTCGAGATTTCATTGCACCAATGTTTGTACCTAAACAGCCGACGAGTGCGGAAGAGAAAACGTCTCAAAGACTTCAGCTCTTTTCTAGACCGTCAGTCTGGGATACTTTTCTTTTTTACTTTAGACATTCGTTTTTCTTTCAAATAGGTCTCTTGTTCATTTAAAAGTTCATCTCTGTTCATTTCTATTTCTATTTCTATTTCTAGTTCTATTTCTATTTCTAGTTCTATTTCTAGTTCTAGTTCTAGTTCTAGTTCTAGTTCTAGTTCTAGTTCTATTTCAATTTCAATTTCAATTTCTATTTCTATTTCTATTTCTATTTCTATTTCTATTTCTATTTCTATTTCTAGTTCTATTTCTATTTATATTCCTATTTCTATTTCTATTTCTATTTCTAGTAAATCGGCAAATCCGGGTCGCATTAACGAGAATGAATGTCAAAATTTCAGAAAATCCTAGTTAGATCGAAAATATCTTTTCTTTAAAAACAGAAACCCTTCAACGATTTGGCTGAGAATGAAATTGATCCACAAGTAAAGTTTTCTCATTTTCGATTCCACGAAATCTTTCTTTCTTTCTTGAAACTCAACTGATTCGTCAGCCTTTCCCCTTCATCAACAAAATTTTTATTGAAATTTCTTAGATTGCTAAAAGTCTTTAGGTTTTTCTTCAATTAAGTAGTTTGAAATTTATTCATCAAAAAAAAGGTCTAGAGTAAGTAATTCAACCATTAGCGAGAAGAGCTGGAGTCTTTGAGACGTTTTCTCTCAACACTCGTCGACTCGGAAATTGGGTCCTTTGGGTGCAATAAAAGGGGAGTGGGTTCTCGAAAAATTGTGCGATCTATGATATTCGGAAGAGCGGGCGGAAGTGGCAACACCGCCACTCGTTCTCACACAAACATTTATCTTCTTTTAGACACGATCATTTTAGGCTTTGCAATATGATTTTTTTTCTTTTCTTTCTTTTTCTACCCTTTTATCGATTCTGAACTTGCATTTTCTACTTAAATAGCTCTGGATTACTGTCGATAACTGTCTACTGTACCGATTTTAGTTCATTCTTTCAAAATCAATAGATTCTTTGCTAGTATTTGATCCATGCTTTGGTATACTGGTTTAGATCCATCATAACCGAAAAAGACGGGTACCAAACCTTCGGAATCTGACAGCTTTGATATCAGATTTACGCAAGTTTAGCTTTAGAGTAAGCTTTGTAGCTGTAGGTTACTCTAGAAACAGTTTGACAGATTACTATACCTTTTCCACTATATTCTCTCGATCACTTTGGCCCAGAACGGGAAGTTTCTACTCGAGAGCAGAAAAAACCACTTGGCTAAAGGAAGTTGGATAAATGGGGAAAGGGTGAGAGTGGAGGATATGAGTGAAATGTTGTGGTTGTTTCAGAAAAGAGAGAGAGAGGCCATAAAAGCGATGAGGAGACGAGGATCTTCGAGGAGGAAGAGCGGCCCTTTGAGGAGTCGAAAATTCGATCACAGCTCTTTTCTTTTCTTTTCTTCCTCATCGCTTAGCTAGTCGGGGGTTTTTTTTTCTGTCTTGATCTCTTTTGATTGACTCTGCTTTTATCACTTCACCTCTTTCACCTTTCATTCAATTTATTGGACCTTCAAGCTAATTGTTTTTTGTCTATAAAAGAATTTTTTTCATTTGAACATTGACTTTCTTGATTGATCAATGATATTTGATCATTTTAAACTTATAAGGTTGATTGATTGATAAATTTATAGCATTAATCTATAAGGAAGATCAACATGCTTTAAACTTTTGACTCTTTTTTGCCTCTTATATTTCTATAAATTAAAAAAAAATCAAAAACGAATGAATCTCTTTGATTTAAAGTTTCATTCTCTACTCTGTTTTCTTTGGGAGTGGGACAAATGCGACCTATTTTTTTGCGCACCCGGACATTTGCGCACCTTTTTTTCCGCACTTAGCCCATTAGCGCACTTTTTTTCGCGTTTTAAAAAAGTCCCACTCCCGCATTTGTCCCACTCCCGTTTTCTTTTTCTTTTTTCTAGCAATGTTATCCCATTGGAATCATTGAAAGAGATGGGAATCTCGCGAAAAAAATAATCTCGTTGATTCTCGTTGATTATACAAACTTCTCTTCTTTCAAAGAAACATTATTTATGAAGATAGACATTTTCTTTCTCATCATCAAATCCATTTTTCCCACGTTTTCCATTTTCCCCTCAATAAAGCTGATCGTTTTGAATTAAAAATTTAATTGAAACCTTCTCAAGATCGACGAAGAGATTTGTTTAAAGTAATGGATCACTTGATCAATATGAAATGCTTTAAAAAAAACATTTGATTCAATGAGATTTGAGTTCAATCGTTCGATCGAATGATCACAACTGACGCCTTTTCGTCACAATCTCCCATTTGTCTTCGTTTTTTTCTCCGGTTTACTCCATTCAAAAACTCCTGTTTCTTGTCTTTCGTTTATTCAAATATGTAAAAATCTTCAGCCAAATGAATTTTATATAGATTTATATAGTTTTTTCAAATTTCCCATTTCAGAAAATTAGCTTTCCTAAAAAAATTCTATCACTTGGATGAGTGAAAAAATGGAGAGAACGGAGAACGGAAAAAAATGGGGAATTTTGGGGGTAGGCTAGTTTCCGCAACTTTTTTTGCGCAACAGGGTCATTTGCGCAACTGGGTCGTTTGCGCAACTCACCATAACTTTCTTCTAAGTGGGCCAATCTTTATGATTTTCATGTCATTTTGTAGATCTCAATAAGTGCAACAAAATAACACCAAAAGCATAAAGATTGGCTGACTTAGAAGAAAGTTAAAGCAATTAGTGTTTCACGATAGAGTTCAACTTTATTTATTAATAGAATAAAAATAACTAAAGTTGCAAAAAAAAGCGGATTACGGTATTTAGTGCATTTTAGTGCGCGACCCCAAAAATGTTTTCTCGGAAAATGCTTGCCAGTAATTTTGGATCTCAAAAATGGATCTTGTGCAAAGAGATCTCAAAAAATGGGATCAGCTATCGAAAATTGGATGAAGATGAGACAAGGGAATTGGGCTTAAGAAATGACACACAAAATGGAGAAAAAAGGGACCGGCTTCTGCTCGAATGGAGATGATGAGCCTCATCGAGACTGGAGATTCAGAAAAGAGATCAGAAAAGAGATCCAAAGCCTTTCCTTTCCTCCGCCGACATTCCCCTTTTCTTTCTTTACATTCTCTCACTTCATTCTCTCACTTCATTTACCCATCTTTTTCCCCAACCCATCAGCTTTCTTATCCTCTTTTCCCTTTCTCATTCACTTGTTTCCTTTTCTTTATGAGTTCCTTAATCATTTTGTTCCCATTTTGACCTTTGTCTCTCCGTTCCTCTTCTCCCATTTCTTTAATTTATTTTATTCTTTGCAAACTTTCTCAACACATTTCAAATGTCTCTCTTTACCTTTTAATCGAAACCTTAATTTCATATTTAATTTTTAAAGTAATGGTGTTGGAGTGAGATGTGACGATGAACAATCGACAGACAGAACAGTCGACAGAGTCAGCCACTCCTTTTCTCTATTCGAGCTCTAATTCAAAAGGTAATCTAGAAAAACGAATCTTAAGCTTACCTTGTCGTTTAATAAGGTAAAACAGTGAACGTTTCTTGATCACTATTGTAAAACAAAAAGGTTATGGTAATCGATTTCATTCTTTTTCAAGATGTTCAGTGAAATTTTAGTTTAATCTTTGAACTAGCCGATTTACAGATGGAAATGTTCGTCGAGATTCCCTGGATCCGTCACTTTCATCGTTTGTTGATGGTTGGTTTCGATTTCTAACAATTCCATTTTACCAAATTCTAAATTTATCATTTTCTTTCCTCCATATCCCTTTTCTCATCCCAAAAATTTGCTTGTTTTTTTTTGTCATTTTAGACGTTGAACTCCCCGATGATGATCCGATAAGGAAGGAAAAATTGTGTAAGCTGTCACAAATGCATAAAAAAATGGCAAACCTTTCAAAGATTTTAGAGATTTAAACCAGAAATTTGAAAGCTTTGTCAGTGAATGAGAAAGAAAAATAGTCTGAGCGCTTTTTCTGAATCACTTTTTTTGTTCCTTCCCCTTTTTCCATCCCTTTAGATTTAACTCCTCCGTTCTTCTTTTCACTTTAAAAAAAAAAGAAAGCACTTACAAGGAATTGGTCTTAATTTAGAGTTAGAATTGATTCAGAAACTAGAAAATCTATAAGATTACTTTTCGTGCTGACTCCTGCTTTTCGTTATTCTATGAACTTTAATTGAGACTTCTTCCTTGTCATTTCTAGAAAACAAACTATAATCTAATATGATTATCAAAAGCATTTTCATTGTTTTCAAAAAAAAATTTTCAATAAGGTTTTCAGCATGGAATCCTTTTCTGTTCAAAGCCCTTGGTTCTCACTTTTTTGTCACTTACTCTTTTTGTTAGAGAGCGAACAATTTCCTATTTTTCAAGCTGTTTTTCAGATCGTCGACTTCGCGAGAAGCAATTTCTGCTTTCTTGCGAACGAGGGGATATTGGGAGTGTTCGGTTTGTAAAGAAAAATTTGTTCTTGCTAATCAAAAACTTTTTAGAAAATGTCTCGAAACGGCAAAACAAGATGCTTTCGATATAAATTGCGTGGATCCATTAGGAAGGTATTAGAAAGAGAATGAGACAAAAAAAAACGCTACCGTAATTTAGAAGCGCTCTACACATTGCCATCGAAAATGAGAACATCGAGATGATCGAGCTACTTCTCGATCATAATATAGGTTCTTTTTTTCTTTTAGATGCCTTTTAAAAGAGAAATTTTTTAGAAACCGGTGATGCGATTCTTTATGCAATCGGTGAAGAGAACGTGGAAGCTGTCGAGATTATCGTTGAACATCTCGAGAAAATCGACAAGTACAATCCAGAGGTAAAGAAAATGGAAAAGATTTCTTGGAGATTTTACAATATAGGAATCATTCTTTGACACAAGCACTAGAGATCTTTGATCTACAGATTTTGTTTAATTTTGTGAATATGAAACGTCTCTATCGGTTTTCATATTAAATAAAGGCTATCAAAGTGATCTGTGAGTTACTCATTTCAGTCAGTTACTCCTATTTGTAAGACACTTGATCCTGAATTGATTTGAATATAGAGCTAGATCGTTCAGAGATTTAAGCAGATCTTTAGAAAAGGAAAATTATATATCTAATTGCAACAGATACTACCTAATAAAGTATGGAAATGGATGGGAAAGGATTTGGAAACGAAGTGGAATTGAACTCTTGACCTTTCATAATCCTTTTAGACCCAAGGCGTTGAAATTAATGAGCACTCGGCTTTCACTCCCGATATGACACCGATCATTCTTTCAGCACACAAAGACAACTACGGTAAAAACAACCATTTAAAGGTTTCTACCGTATCCTAGAATGTATAAAGTTATTTCTCGACAAGAAAGCTACGGTACCACATCCGCATGATGTGCGATGCTGTTGTCCGGAATGTGAAACGGTGAGTGAAGGAATTGGAAAGCAAAACAGTTTACAAGGGGATTGAACCCTCGACCCTTGGCTTCCTGGACCTTATTGCTCTAATCACTGAGCTATTCGGTACCTTGACTTGCCAAGAGAAAGACAGATAGGCAAGGAAGAACAAAGGAATAGTGGAGCCAATAATTCAAATCTTCAGGCTCGAGAAGAGGACTCACTGCGCTTATCCCGATCTCGACTCAATGCTTACAGAGCTCTCACAAGTCCATCGCTAATTTGTAAACAATTTCTCAAACTTTTTACAATAATTTTTCAGTTACAATAACAAAACCTTCAATAACCTTTTCAGGCCTTTCCGCAAAGGACCCAATTCTATATGCATTTGAGTTAAGTTGGGAACTGCGAAGGCTCTCATATATTGAGAACGAGTTTCGCAGTGAGTATCAGGTATCAAAAAAATCTTTTTGCCTATTCAAAATCCTTTGTAGGAACTCTCACAAAAATGTCAGAAATTCTCGGTGAATATGTTGGATCAAGTGCGAGGGAGTAAAGAGCTCGAGATTGTGCTTAATCATACGACAAAAGCTTGGCAAGATGTTACTTCTAGGTGAATGAAGGAGTGAATGAAGGAGTGAATGAATTCATTTTGAAATCAATAAATGAAAAGAATTTTTCTTTAGAGGTACAACATCGTCTGATCAGTTGGCAAGGTTGAAATTGGCAATTCAACTGAGGCAGAAAAGGGTTAGTGATTAAAATCTATTGTCTCAACCTCAAATCAACTCGATATATTGAAAATCTTGTTAAGTATTATAATAATATTATAAAAATGAAGCAAAGCTGAAGCTTTATCGTAAAGATTCAAACAAAAACCTTCAGTTTGTCGCTCATCCAAATTGTCAACAACTTTTGGCCGGCATTTGGTACGAGGGATTGCCGGGTTTTCGAAATCGACATATCGTTTTTAAAGTAATTAGTTTATTGAAAGTTATTTAAGCTTTCTTTTTAAATCTAGGTTCTACTAATCTTAGCCGTTTCGATGTGTTTCCCGTTACTTTCCGTTGTTTATCTCTTCGCTCCTCACTCTTCAATCGGCGCTTTCATGCGGAAACCTTTTGTCAAATTCCTTTCCCATTCTGCTAGCTATATTTTCTTTTTATGTAAGTTTCGAAGAGTTTAGAAGGGCTTAGATATTTTGAAAATTCTTTTAGTTTTACTAATTTTGGCAAGTCAACGAATTCAATCGATTGACAACCTTTTTGGGAAAGAGCAACTAGTGGATGGGATGGTGAGCACGAGGAAAGAGAGGCGAGGACCGGCACCCACTCCTGTGGAAATGGCCATTCTTGCATGGGTTTCCGGTGGGTTAAAAATTTGGCTAGTTTTGGGGTATTTTGAAAGAATCCGAGTATTTTGGAAAAATCCGGGTATGTTGAACGGGTCATCACACTTTGAAGCCCTATAACTTTGTCTAGAAATAATATTTTTGTTAACTTTTTATATCATTGTATAGAGGACATTTCAGGCTTTAAAATGATACCAAAAAGAGCTTGACTGGATTTTTCATTCCCATGCAAACAAGGCGACACGACACCCGAGCTGGATAGGTCACATTGGCTCAGACTTGGCTCTGTTTTTCTTGGAATGAATTATTCAATCAAGCTCTTTTTGGTATCATTTTAAAGCCTGAAATGTCCTCTATACAATGATATAAAAAGTTAACAAAAATATTATTTCTAGATAAAGTTATAGGGCTTCAAAGTGTGATGACCCGTTCAAAATATCCGAAACTAAGCAAGAGCCGATTGTATACATAGATTTTATTCTAGGATTAATATGGGTAGAAATCAAGCAACTCTGGGATTCGGGTCTTCACGATTATTGCCACAATTTGTGGAACATTCTCGACTTTATCACCAACTCGTTGTATCTATCAACGGCTGCACTCAGAGCTGTCGCCTATTATCAAGTGAGAGGAGTCTTTTGTTAAGATCCAGAATACTTTTCAATACTAATTCCGAAAATATTAGACTTATTGCGGTAATTTCTAGGTGGAAGCAGAAGCGGAGAACAAAGCCACCGCACACTTGGCTGGGAAGTTGTTGAGAAGGTAAAAATATACCAGTTCAGGAAGGGATCTGAATTGGGGATCTATTCTCACTAAATTCCAACAGAAATACAACCAGAATTAGGGAAAAATTTGATGCCAAAAGCTATGAATTTGTTTGTATTTTTGCTACAAATCCTGTTAAATCGATTTTAAGAAACCCAAGATTTAAATTGATGCAAAAAGTTGCTTTCATCTTTTGATAAGAGTCGCATTGGGTCGATAAGAGTCGATAAGAGTCGATAAGAATGGATAAGAGTCGATAAGAATGGATAAGAATGGATAAGAATGGATAAGAATGGATAAGAATGGATAAGAATGGATAAGAATGGATAAGAATGGATAAGAATGGATAAGAATGGGTAAGAATGGATAAGAATGGATAAGAATGGATAAGAATGGATAAGAATCGATAAGAATCGATAAGAATCGATAAGAATCTATAAGAATCGATAAGAATCGATAAGAATCTATAAGAATCGATAAGAATCTATAAGAGTCGAATGCCCAATGTGCACACCTTATTTAATATTATATACTGTTAAATAAAAGAAAAAAATACAATAATTCGTTTTTAAGAGATTGGGATGCTTGGGATCCGACACTGATCTCGGAATCAGTTTTTGCTACTGCAAACATCTTCTCTTCTCTAAAATTGGTTCATATTTTCACGATCAATCCTCATCTTGGTCCCTTGAAGATCTCACTAGGTAGAAAACAATTTGATCAAAATCAAAATTATCTTTCAAAACAGGTCGAATGGTATTGGATATTCTGAAATTCTTCCTTGTTTACTGTCTTGTTTTGTTTGCTTTCGCGTGTGGCCTCAATCAACTCATGTGGTACTATGCTAGTATGAGGGAAATGGTTGGAGAAATAAGATTTCGTTTTTTAAAGATATTTAGGAGTGCTTAAGCTACAAGAACCTTGTTGGGCGTGAAGAGGAATTTCGTGATGATCCGAATTTTCAAAAGAATCTTAAAATCTATGAGGACAGTTGTGATCCGAAATATCGATCGTGTGCAAGGTGAGTGCCTTTTAAATGACAAAAAAACGATATTTCTTTGAATATTTCTTAAAATAATGCCAAATAGAGATGAGATAAGATTGAAATTCAATCGTAATCCTTCTCTCTAATCATTCTCTATCCTATCGATCGACCAGCAAGCACTTTTCCTGGAATCCGTTTCTTTCTGCCTTCTAAAAAGCACTTGTCATTTGTCGTAATTACTGTAGTGCGGCTTTTGTGTCATTTCAGTCTCTACTCATCAATGGAAACCCTTTTTTGGGCATCATTCGGTATCATCGATTTACCACATTTCGATATTCTTGAAGAGCATTGGCCAACACAGGTACTTCCCAAAAGAATCATTAGAAAAATTTGACGCAAAATAGCGCTGGAAACATACAGTCAACCTTACAGATTACATTGCAAAATAGGAAACAAAGTTTGATTGTTTGTTTGATTGTTTGATTTGTTTTTTGATTGAATCCAAAAGTTAGTAAACAATTAAATATTATAAACTCTCGTAATTACCGTATTTCTTCGAATAGAAGACCGGGTAAAGAGTATCATCGTAGCAGCCCTTTTTAAAATTTCTTTTCTGCATAAAAGCTTTCAATGAAGTGCTATAGGGCTGGAAAATGACTCAAAAATACCACATGAGCTAACAGATTTTTGAGCCATTTTCCAGCTCTATAGCACTTGATTGAAAGCTTTTATGCAGAAAAGAAATTTTAAAAAGGGCTGCTACGCAGGAGTACACGATGATACTCTTTACCCGGTCTTCTATTCGAAGAAATACGGTAGATCATTTTTTTTATTATAGTGCAAAATAGAAAACGTCTTTAGTAAACTTTTGTTGTCACTTTTGGATTCAAATCAAAACAAATCTTTTTTTTTCCTATTTTGCAATGTAATCTGTAATGTCGACTGTATGTTTTACTTTGCGTCAAATTTTTTTTTTCCTCAACTGGATCATTTACGCAACTCGCCCTAACTTTCTTCAAAATCGGTCAATTTTTATGATTTTTAGTGTCATTTTGTTGCACTTGTTGAGATCTACAAAATGACATGAAAATCATAAAGATTGAATCACTCAGAATCACTTGAATCACTTGAAAGTTCGGGCGAGTTGCGTAAAAAAATTTCACGCAAAGTAGCCACCGCCCCTCCTTTGAGCAAACTAGAAACGCAACTTTTCTAGTGCCACTCAATGCTGCACCAAATTTTCTGTCTTAAACGACCGTGCAATAAAAGTGTTAACAAACTGTAGACATGGGGAAAATTCCAAGCCAAACCTAATTCCACTTTCGTTTTCTCAGTTTCTTAGGCGATTTCTCTGAAATTTTGTCTACAAGCTGAAAATATTGTTTTCTAGATGTAGAGAAAATTTCAAAGTAATTGGCAAAGAATTGGTAAAGAATTGGTAAAGAATTGGTAAAGAATTGGTAAAGAATCGGTGAAGGATCAGCTAAGAAAAAAACAAAGATAGAATTAGGTTTGGCTTGAAATTCTAATAGATTGTAAATGATTTTACATAAAAAAATTGCCGACAAAATGAATGTAGTGGACGGGACGGACGATCTTCGGCGCTTACTGTTGGTGTTCGGTGATTGTGCTGCTGAATATGTAAATGAATTTTTTGCCGTAAACATTTTAAACTCGTAATTTCCGGCTAATCGCTCAAATGTCGAACTCGTATCATCGGATATTTGTGGGTAGTGATAAGTGTGTTTCACTTGATTAAAGCACTTTCTAAAAAGGATCTATTTTGAAAATAAATCGTAATCGTAGCTTGGTTACAGTAGTTTTTAAGCTAAATTTCTTTTAGCGCCTTTTAGCGCCTTTCAGCGCCATTTAGCGCCTTTTAGCGCCATTTAGCGCCTTTTAGCGCCTTTTAGCGCCTTTTATCGCCTTTTAGCGCCTTTTAGTGCCATTTAGCGCCATTTAGCGCCTTTTAGCGCCTTTTAGCACCTTTTAGCGTCTTTTAGCAAGTGCATTAACCAAGAGGAACAAAATTTAGCTTTGCATTGGCTTTGTTTGTCTCTTTTGCATGTTTTTATCATTAATAGCTCATGCTTGTCAAATTTCATTTCACAGATTTATTTGAAGAGAATTAAACGAACGTTTTTTTTTTTTTAAAAAATAGAATCTTCTGTAGCATTTATCATACGGTGGAAACGTTATTCTGGGCGATGTTCGGCCTCGTCGATCTCACTCATTTTTCTCTCAAAGAGGGACATCGGGTTACAGGTTTATTTTAAGATTGTTTTTTTTTATTTATTTGTTAGTATAATAGCAATAGTTTTCTTTTGTTTCATTCATTCATTAAACCTTAGATTAAACATTAAAGCCTTATCAAAAGATAATAACCGATTGTGTTGATATGATTTTTGATAATCCGGGTGTTGATATGATTTTTCCCTCTTTTTTTTCTCTCCAGAATGGACGGGGAAAACGATTTTCGGCTCGTATTCGGTGATCTCAATCATTGTTTTGCTCAATATGTTAGTGGCGATGATGGCTAATTCATATATGTACATCTCCGTATGTTTTTTAAGTTAATATTGCAGAATTGGGAGCGATTCTCATTCAAAAATTGAAATCACCTGTTTTAGAACAACTTTTTAAGCATATCAGAGAAGTTATAGATGAAATTTTGCACAGAAATTGTTATGGATGAAATTTTATCTTAGAAATGACAAAGGAAAACGATTTTTCGATAGTTTAACGTCTATCTACTATAGTATAAAGGGACTAAAAGGGGAACCCTTTAAAGAGTGAGATTTGAGAAGCGAACTGATTCCGTGGTGCAAACACTCCCTAGTTTCCCGGGCATCCCGAAACTGCTTTCAAATCCTACTTATCATAAGCCATTTTTGAGATATAAGCCTTCAAAGGTTTCGATCTTCACTTTCGCCAAACAGCAAGCTAGCCTACTTAAAGCCTTGACGCCAAGCTGTCGCTGTGCCTCGGTGACCTAGTGGGTAGTGTCGAACCCGGGTCGTGTGGGCTAGAGACCAGTGAGCTCGCACTGCGCCATCTAGAGCATGGTTGAGTGGTTAACTCGCGCGTCTTTCAACGAACGTCTTTCAACGAACGTCTTTCAACGAACGTCTTTCAAACGGACGGAAGAGAGAGGTCGCGGGTTCGTCTCCTCTTGCCGCCGATTCTTTTACTGATTCCAAAATTTTTTTTTGCTACAAAGCAGCAGCGAAGCCTCTGGTATATCAATAATGATCAGAGGGACCAATTAAATCAAAGTTCTCTTCGTTAGACTTAATAAAATGAATAGCTCTAATCGATTGGTACAAATTTAAAGCTAAACATCGTTTTTTATATAACTTTACAATGGAAAAGGAAAATTTTTAAAGAGATAGGTGAAAATGACTGGGGAAATGATCAAAATGACTCAAATTACCGGATTTTTTTAAAAGAAATTCAGTGAGAATCGTTCCAAATTCCAAAAACAATTCTACAATTCTTTAGCTCTTTTTGTTTTTTTGTTCAAATGCATGTAAATAATAGATTTTCTTTTTTGTATTTTCTTTTATTTTAAAAACATTTAAAATTTTGTTTGTCTAGAATCAAGCCGATGTGGAGTGGAAATTTGCGAGATCGAAACTGTGGATTGAATATTTCGACGACACGGCCACTCTCCCACCGCCTTTCAACATGATTCCAAGGTTTTCTTTTCTAAAAATTTCAATTCAAAACTAGCGTCATAGCTTTCAATTAGAAGCTTTCAATTAGAAGCTTTCAATTATAAGCTTTCATCGTCATAGCTTTCAATTATAAGCTTTCAATTATAAGCTTTCAATTATAAGCTTTCAATTAGAAGCTTTCAATTATAAGCTTTCAATTAGAAGCTTTCAATTATAAGCTTTCAATTATAAGCTTTCATCGTCATAGCTTTCAATTATAAGCTTTCAATTATAAGCTTTCAATTATAAGCTTTCAATTATAAGCTTTCATCGTCATAGCTTTCAATTATAAGCTTTCAATCATAAGCTTTCAATTAGAAGCTTTCATCGTCATAGCTTTCAATTATAAGCTTTCAATCATAAGCTTTCAATTAGAAGCTTTCAAGCATAAGCTTTCAATCATAAGCTTTCAATTAGAAGCTTTCAATTATAAGCTTTCAATTTTCTAATAGAAAAAAAAAGATGTATTTTATCATAAATCAAGCTAATCAATACAGCTAATCAATCGAAGCTAATCATGAAAAATTTAGCCCAAAATCGTGCTACTACGCGCTGCAATGGGTGCTCGAAAGGTTTTGTTGCGCGAAAATCGTGCAACAAGGCAAGCAGAAGAGCATGCGGGTATGCGAATTTTGATAGAACCAAATTCAATGGTATTGGGTTGGTGAATTGAAAGCTGCCGGACTTTGAACTAAAATTTATTCAACATAAAACCATGAATTAACTCCAAATAATTTCCATTATTATTGACGACCTCTGCCCATTTTACAGGCAATTTGCGGATTCCTCTTTTGTGGTAGGATTTTGGTTTGTGTGTGAGACAAGTGTGAGACTCAAAAATGGAGGGCTGGAGATGTCCCAGTTTGAGCATTTGAGCATTTGAGCACTTTCTTCAAAAGAAACCCATTTTTGTGTCAATAGAAAAGTTGTAGAGAATCAAAAATTAGGCTTATAGCCAAATTTCCAAAAAGATACACTTAGTAGTTTCGCTTAAAATGCAAGTTTTGCGAAAATTCGTATATTTGGCATTTCTTGAAAACCAGTTTTTGAATCATTCTGAAAAATTGCATATAAGCTTGATTTTTGATTCTCTACAACTTTTCCATTGACACCAAAATGGGTTTCTTTTGAAGAAAGTGCTCAAACTGTCACATATGACAATAGCCGGCAGTTTTCAATTCACCAATCCAATATTATCATAAAACTTAGCTTTCAAATTTTCAGTTCTCACATAGCTTCACATATTTATTCGTTGCGTTTTTTTTTTTTTTCTAAGTTTCCTTTTCGAAATCGTTTTTAAATAGTCGAAGTCGAAATTTCAGAATCAGAAGATTTTGCGCGTAGTGAACGATCTGGAAAACAACTATCGTGTTCGTTATTTTTCAAAAATTTTCTTAAATTTCAGAAAATCATCTCAAAAATCTCCACACGAGAAGCCGATTTTAGGGTAGAAAAATAAAATGGAAATGAAAGAGATGAAAATGAAATCCCGCATCCATAAAACAAAAAAATAAAACAAAACAAAAAAAAAGAAATGCACTAAATTCACCTCTTTCGTGTTGTTTTTTTTGGCACTTTTAGGGGAAAACATTTGGAGGAATGTTTGTGGAGAGTTTGTGGAGAAAACTTTGAAAAAGAATAGGGTTTTCTATGTGGGGTTGGGTCTAATATGGTATTGCAATATTGCAATATCCAATAATCCAATATATTGGGTTATTGGATTGTTCTAGATCAACAATAGACTGTGATTTGATTTGAATTTGAATTTTAAATGTAATTTTGAATCGTTGACTCGTTGTACTGCTTACTTGCTAATGTTAATCTTAACTAAACGATCAGATTTCGCAGATCACAATTCGAATCAAAGCTATAGCGGGCACAAGCAACACGATGGTGTTTTTAGTTTTTGCCTAAATCCTCGAAATTTCTGTAAAAAACGTTGAAATTCCCAGTGCACTTCCTAGTGCACTTTATGAGTTTGTAAGGGCTATCGTCGCTCACGAAACCGGCGACACGGTGGTTCGGTGGTAGTGTCACACTCCCCCGGCTCTTGGCATTCCAGTTCGAGTCCCCTTGGACAAATTCTTTTGCTTATCTTAATGTTTTGAGCAGTAAATTTGTATTTTGAGTATTTTGAATATCTTTAACTTGCGAAATCTGTAGCTTACAAAATCTTAGCTTGCGAAATCTGACTGTTCCCTGGTAAGGACAATTGCTATAGCACCAGCCTTCTAAATCACTCATTTCATTTGGAAAACTACAGTAATCTCCTACAGTAACTGAATAGCTTTTAATTTGTTTGTTTTGTTGAATAGACTGACGAGAATCGTTGTTCTAAAGGCACTTTTTGTTAAAGGCACTAAAGGTCAGGATTGTTCTAAAGGCACTTTTTTTGGATGAGATCAGCCCAGGCCAGGTAGGAGTCTGACCTGGGCTTTACTTCCCTGCTTTCAGAAGATAGGCCATCACCTAGCTTTCTAATCAAGCTTTTACGCTGAGTTGTCGAATTAGAAAGCAAACTTTAATTGCATATCCTTTAACTTGCTTTACCTAGTCAAATCACAAGTGCCAATCTAACTCTTCACCCCAAAAATTCTCCGCAAAAACTCCAAGTGTCTGCAAAAGAAACCCGTTACTCTAAGAAGATGCATGTAACTTCTAAAAAATTCACATTAGAAACATCACTAGAATATCAAAGCCTAAAAACTTCGGTGTGAGTGTAAAAAAAAACGGGAATTTTTCTGCACTAATGTCTCATGAAAAATCTCAAAAACCAACAAAAGTGACGGAAAGTTCTCGGGATTAACTTCAGAGATTGAAGATTTATTTCTAAAAAAATCTATTTCAGTTTGTGACACGAAATCTAGTGAAGCGTTATATTGCACAGATGCAAAGGATGAAACAACAGAATGAAGGAGTTTCTGAGGATGATGTCAATGAGATAAAACAAGTATGAACAAGAAAAAACAAACAAGAAAAAACAAACAAGAAAAACAAACAAGAACAAATAAACAAGAAAAAACAAACTTTTATCTCTCAAAAGTTCTCAATTTTTTATAAAATAGCATACCGTAAATACTGTAATAGTACCCCACCGCCCTCGTACAGTCGCGTAGTCGCAAAAGTTTTTTAGTATTTCATTTTTTTCATAGCGCCCGTACTTTCAAAAAATGCGTCTTTGGTATGAAAAAATAGCTCAAATTCAGGGCTATTTTTGCGGGGGCGTGGCCTTGAACGAGTGTTTCTCGAGACTGGTTTATACTACAATGCGCGCTTAGGTATCAAAAAATAGCTGAAATTCAGGGCTATTTTTTGATACCTAAGCGCGCATTATAGCTTAACCCAGTGTCGAGAAAAACTCGTTCAAAGCTAGACTACGCAACGCTCCGCACCGTCATTATGGGCGGTGGGGTACTATTACAGTATTTACGGTGTGTTTAAATTATTTCAAAAGTTATATAGATATTTAAAGCCGGAAATCTTAACTATATTTACATAAAAATCAACTCAAAATTTCTCTAGGACATCAGCGCTTTCCGCTACGAATTGCTGGGAATTCTGCGCGCTGCCGGCTTCAACACTGGTCACACCGATATCAATCAGAAGACTTATTGTTGGTTTTTTTAAAAGATATTCAAGGAATGATTCGAATTAAAGCTAGCTTTTTTCAGCTCGAAACAAAAAACGCTCGGCGATGGCGGAGCGTCGAATGCTGAAAGGATTGCCCGAGTTCGAGATGCCTGTACCCGAGAGTTTCACGAATCCAAATCGACGCATAAGTATCCCCGGCACACCTGAGACAACGTATTTCTAAGAGTTTTCTTTTTTTGTTTTCCACATAACTCTTAGAAAACCGATGCAATTGCCTCTAAAACTTCCGCAACTTAACTGGAGACGATTGAAGAAAAAGGTGAGCTTTAGCTAAAAAAAGTTGAGCTTTAAGCCAGAAAAAGGTGAGCTTTAAGCTAGAAAAGGTGAGCTTTAAGCCAGAAAAAGGTGAGCTTTAAGCCAGAAAAAGGTGAGCTTTAAGCCAGAAAAAGGTGAGCTTTAAGCCCTAAGTGTTCCCAACGAGTTTGCTGGAATTTCTTGTGCTTAAGGGTAGCCAAAAAATTACTTTTTATTTTAGTTTTTGAAAACTTGATAAGTTTGAGTCTAGGAGCGTTTGGTGGCCGCGTCCATAGATGCGTTCAAATCCGGTAAATTTGGTGGAAAGTCGGGCAAATTCTCTCCAAATAAAATAAACAAATAAAAAATGATAGTTAAAGATTTGAGAAAAAGCTTACTTTTGTTAAAATAGAAATATTAAAGAAAAAGCTGTTATTGCTTCAAAAATCTCACATTCTTTAATTAGACTTGGAAATTCTTTTTTCTATTGGATTGGTGAATTGAAAACTGCCGGCGATTTCGTGGGACTCGCAGATAAAAAACAACAACAGCATTGAACCAGCTGAAAGGGGGTTTGATTACTTCCACATTTCCTCAAATTATTGCAAAAAAATTATGCTTCCAGCTTTTTATTTTTTGGTATTTTTCTTCACTTCTCGTTCCACGGTCGCTCCTCCCCATATATCTTTTTAATATTAGCAGCTGCCAAGCCTGCACTGTGCTCTTGTAGTCTGCATCTTTCAAAGATTTGTCCCCAGATCGAAACTTGGCAAACCATACTCGACACGTTCTTTCGGAAGGTGAGTCCTCCCCATATATCTTTTTAATATTAGCAGCTGCCAAGCCTGCACTGTGCTCTTGTAGAAACTGCCAAGTTTCGATCTAGGGACAAATCTTTGAAAGATGCAGACTACAAGAGCACAGTGCAGGCTTGGCAGCTGCTAATATTAAAAAGGTATATGGGGAGGAGCGACCGTGGAACGAGAAGTGAAGAAAAATACCAAAAAATAAAAAGCTGGAAGCATAATTTTTTTGCAATAATTTGAGGAAATGTGGAAGTAATCAAACCCCCTTTCAGCTGGTTCAATACTGTTGTTTTTTTATCTGCGAGTCCCACGAAATAGCCGGCAGTTTTCATTCACCAATCCAATATTTGAAAAAAAAACTAGTTCAACCGTATCTCGAATCTTTAATGACATCATTATCCTTTTTTTTGTAAATGAATGTAATTAGTAGCTTTATCGGGGAGAGAACAGCCGACTTTACACCCAAAAACAGAGAAACGTTCATATTTTGGCCCGCGTGTCTTTTTTTCGACTTTCGTTTTTTCATTTTTCTCCAAGAGACGCCCTCATCCTTTTGCCGAGTCTTTGTTTTTTTTCTTCTTTTTATAAAACTACTCTTTCGATGTCAATTTGGCTTATTTGCCGCCTCTCAACTAACCATTTGCACGTTATGGCTTTCAAAAAAAAGCAACGTTTCTTCTAAAGAAAAATTGGCATCTCTAGGAGTTGGGCTGAGAAAGATTGAGCGATTCTTTTCGGGAAATCGGCATTTGAGTATTGAAAATTGGGGTTCACTTATGCTTAGGCTTAGGAATGTTTCTCGTTTTTTTTTTTTGAAAAGCTTTAGTTTCCCTGTAGTTTCAAAAAAAAGCGTTTACGAGCTTCATTTCGTAAAAGAGTTCTCAGGTTCTGAAAAGATTGAAAAGAGTGATCCGGGTCCGCCAGCACCAGACTTCATTGAGTTTTCTACCAAACCCCAAAACATGATCTATAAGAATAATTCTAAGCTTTCAAATAAGATTCCCGAGAAGAACCGCTTTTTCATGCATGTCTCGTAACGTTTTTAGAATAACTTTTTTCATTGATAAACCCAGTGAATGTTTCTCGTTTTTTTTTCTTTGAAAAGCTTTAGTTTCCCTGTAGTTTCCTTGTAGTTTCAAAAAAAAAGCGTTTAAGAGTTTCATTTCGTAACAGAGTTCTCAGGTTCTGAAAAGATGAGTGATCCGGCTCCGCCAGCACCAGGTGCAGCCATTTTTTCGTCTTTCAATGAAAATAAATAAAGAAATGTAGAGCTTTTTCTGTGATTTTTCTCTCTCACTCACTGCTAGAAGAAAAAAAAAAGGAAATCGCCTGGATACTTGCAATTTTCGACTTTAAATCATTTAGTGTATAAAAGTTGCACTTTTGCACAAATTGTTTTACAATCGGGTGTTTTACACAAGCATGTGCTCGTGTTTTTCCCTTGGAAAGAAATTTCATACTATCGCAAGTATTCTCTTTTATCGTTTTCTAAAAGATGTTGTGAAAAAGCTGAAAAAAAAAAAGCTACCGTAATCTGTAAAAAACTAGAAAAGATGATTAGTGTCTGGATTACGGTAGTGCATCTTTTAGAGAACGCCAATCGCAAGCTATAGTACTCCCGGCTGTTTCCTGTTCTTTCAAGTGAAAGTCGTAAAGCTATGAAACGATGGAAAAAAAAAGAATCAGAGAAGATTGTGGCTTTAATCTTTTAGGTGTCGTTTCGGGGCGCGGAAAAGCGGGCGCCCTCTGGGGCCGAGCACTTCACGGAGTCTCCGGAGGAGGAGGAGGAGCTGGAGGAAATGGAAATGCAAGTGGTCGAGCAGGAGGAAATCAAATCAACGACAACACACAGACAGCAATCGCCACATCATCGCAACAACCACTCCAGCTACCAAAGCCACGAGCAACACCGCTTACCCCTCGTGAGTGCCTCACAATCCTTTTGTTTTTTGCTTTGCTAAATCTCTTGGTTTTATAGATTTTCTAGGTTATCCCTTGTATTAAAAAGTTTAACATTTAACCTCACAAATCTTTCTTTTTGGCTAATAAGTTTTCGAAAGTTTTAAAGTATCAGAATCTTGGCTCAGCTTTTATCAAAGATTTGGATTTGGATTAAAGATTTTGATCAAAGATCAAAGATTTTTAATCCAATTCTCTATCGATAGATTTTTTGATTTTCCTTTTGCTCAAAGACTTTTAATCCAATTCTCTATCGATAGATTTTAAAGTTTAAGTAACTAGACAAGATCAAGTTTAAGTAACTAGACAAGATCAAGTTTAAGTAACTAGACAAGATCAAGTTTAAGTAACTAGACAAGATCAAGTTTAAGCAACTAGACAAGACAAGACTAGACAAAAGACAAAATTGACACTTTTAGAAAACGTATTAGCTGAGAGAAGCAATATTCACAATTGTACCATTAGTTTATCGTTGTGTACTTATAAAAGAATTCACTACATAAATGTAGAGAAAAAATCTACACTAAATGGGATAAACTTGAAATAATAATACAGTAGATACTATAGAACGCCATCCCCATAATGATGGGTGTACAATCGTGTAGTCTAACTTTGAATCTCCCGTTCTCCACACTGCTTTAAGCTACAGTTTGCGCTTGAGTGTCAAATAATAGCCCTTGAAATCTATTATCTTTTGGTACTAAAAGTGTAGCTGGGAAAACTCTAGGAGCTAAGAAAAAACTGATTTTCTAAACTGATTTCCTTTTTTTATCCTCCAATCTTTACTACGCGACTGTACGAGAAGATGGCGTTTTATTAGAGTATTTACATATTAGATACATTTAAGATTTGATCTAAACCAAGAACCAAGAGCATATTAGATCCAAGATTGTAGCTAGACATAGATAATGGCCAGTAAAAATATTGCTATCCGTTTGCTGCATAGATCAGCTTAAAGGCTTGTATGCATCCAATAAAAAGAAAGCTTTATCAGAAAGTTTATCGAAATATGTAAAAGATTTCTCTAAACGTTGTGCTTATTCTTGTTGAACCGATTCATCACCAGCTTTTTCACCATCGCTTCACCAATTTTCATTGCCGCTTTCTGCTCCAATCTTCTCACCAAACCGCCTAAGATTTTCTTTTCTTTTTTCAAGCAAAACTTTTACCTGAACTTATTTCTATCATAGAAATTAAGAATATAAAGAAAAATATAAAGCACTTCATTGTAAAGAATCGAAAAATGAAAGCAAATATTGCGATAACCTTCAAGTTTTCCTTTTCTCAAGGTAAATCTCAATCTCTCTTTTTGATTGATGAGTTTTATCAAGATATCACAACTTTTTTTTTCAATTTAGCTCATTAAAACTGCTTTTTTTTGGATGAAAAGAGATTTAAGATTTGAAGGTTTAAAAAAATATTTAGGAGGACATGGAGGAAAGCGGTCGAATGGGGACTCGTTGGGGGGACCAGTCGCGGATAGTGGGGCAAGCCCGATTGTTGGCAGGAGGAGCATCAGTAGCGGGGGAATCGAGCGGCGTGCTCCGCTCGCGTCATACGAATCCGAATTCGGATGTCTGGAATCTGGATGGAAAGCGTCATCCGAAGAGGTATGAATTGTGAGAAAAGAAAGCATAGCATAACATTGCTAAAACGTGTCAACTGATTGAAAAGTTTCGTAATCTTGCTCTAGTTTTTATCGATTGTATTTATTCCAATTGAAGAACCTCCTTTAGACTTTTAGATGATAATGAAATGCTGATAGAGCTCAAGTTTTTAAAAGATTTCCAAAGGCTTTCAAAGATCAAATCGATTTGAGCTATTCATTTTATTGTCTAACAATTCGAACTTTAATTTAATTGATTAAACTTTTAGACGATAGCAAAATGCTCAACTTTTAAAAGATTTTCGCAAAGGCTTTAAATGGGGCTTTAAAAAGTTATAGATTAAAAAAAAGGCTTAATGACGTCGATAAACTTTTAGACGATAGCAAAAGGCTTTAAATGGGGCTTTAAAAAGTTATAGATTTAAAAAAAGGCTTAATGACGTCGAAAACCAGATGAAAATCCAATAAAAACATCGATTTTTGAGCTCTTGAAAATTTGGATATACTGTAGTTAGGGCACGAAAAAGTATAAAGAATAAAAGGTATTGAAAAAATAGAAAAGCCGACTCTTCTATGAGAATGTTTACCGTTGTTTAGCTAAATTTTGCGATTTTTCTGTTATTCATGAACTCTAACGATAAACAAACGAAAAGTAAACAGATTTATAACTAGAGTGTGTTCCTCGCGAGTAATGCGTTTTTTAAAACGCACACTTGGGAAAAAATTACCGTATTTTTAGCAAAAATTATTGCAAAAAAAATGAGGCAAAAATGACGAGCCCCGCATTATATACGACACTTTTTAAAGATACTCAGCCGTTTAGCTGATTTGGTGGGGAAATTCCCTTCCAATGTAAAAACATGATTTTTTTTGTTTTGGAAAACCGAGAGTGGGACAAATGCGACCTTTTTTTTGCACACCCTGACATTTGCGCACCTTTTTTTTTGCTGGAAAAGGCCTTAGGCAAGGCCGTAGAGCTTCGAAAATATTTCCATATAAGGGAATCGTATGCGTAGATTCCGAATTTCGACAAATCAGACCTCGCTGACACGTCAAATTTGGGCTAAAAGGCAAAAACTGCGGAAAAGCGTTAAGTTGCGTAGTTTTTGCCTCTTAGCCCAAATTTGACGTGTCAGCGAGGTCTGATTTTTCGAAATTCGGAATCTACGCATACGATTCCCTTCTATGAAAACATTTTTGAAGCTCTACGACCTTTCCTAAGGCCTTTTCCAGCAAAAAAAAGGTGCGCAAATGTCCAGGTGCGCAAGAAAAGGTCGCATTTGTCCCACCCCCTTTTATATTTCTTTCGCGCAGGCGCACTTTTTAGAAAACGCATTACTCGACAATTACTCGAGTAAAAAATGACTCATGCAAATTTACTCGAGTATTAACTTATTCGCGAGGAACACACTCTATTTCTAACTCTTATGGCGCTCATTTGAAATTCAAGCTAAACGACGAAAATGACTTTTTATAACCCAGTTTCTATACGACTATTTTCATTCGCTACTATTCTACTACACTCTTAGGAGTTAGAATCTTTTCTTTTTTATTTATTCTTTGCGATAAGATCATAAAACTAAATGAAAATTTGCTTTTTTTTTTAAACGGAAATTATACTGAGCCAAAGTGGGCAAATTTAAATACAAATTAAGTAAAGTAAAGTGCTAGGAGTCACAAGAATAGTGATAGCAAGATTACTGAGGCTTTCAAATGGTGACACTTTTTCGAAAATGAACACTTGAGAGGAAAACATAGCAATATTCATCTTCTTTTGGCGCTATGCTAGCTATCATAGAAATATCAACAATTGAACATCGATTGATCGATCCAATCATTGTCCCCCTTTAGCATGTCATTTGATGCAGCCGCCACTTCTCGTCACAATCCTTTCATCGATGCCCTACAGAGGTACAATATTTTAGTCGTAGGATTCCGGAAATCTAAATGTTGCTCTTTTTGAGCTTCTAACTGTTTCCAATCTATTCTAGAGGAAATCTAACATAAAAACTTCTTTCAGCAAGATTTCTTGCCATCCGGTCTATGTTCGGTTTGTTTTTTTGCGATTATACCTACACTACTGGACAATGAAATATCATATTTGAAAAAAGATCGTCACTTTCGCGCGTGTCTTTGTCTTGTCTTAACTCCCTTGTCTTTACAGTATTTCTAAATATTAATATTACCATTGTGTAGCCCTTGAAAAGAGCTTTCAGAAAATGTATAACACTAATAGTTTAAACTCAAAGACAAGGGAGTTACAGACGTGCGAAAGTGACGATCGTTTTTTAAATATAATATTTCATTGTCCAGTAGTGTATACCTGGATCCGCGTATTATTATGATTTAAAAAAAAATCATAACAATATTTAAAGGAAAGCTTCGAATTGGAACCGACTAGTCAATGAAATTCTCAGTCTAGTAGAATCGGCTTTCAGCTCCGTTTCAGCCTTGAGTAACTCAATTGTTTTGGTTTAACATTGGAGATCAAATCGATCAAATCAATTGAGCTATTCATTTTATTGAGTCTAACAATTCGAACTTTAATTTAATTGACTAAACTTCTAGAGGAGATCTAGATAGATTTATTACAATTTACAAAACAAAATCACTGATAATTTGATTCTAGTGAGAATCGTTTCTAATGCTTCTTTTAATAAGGTTATTTCGTTGCATTACGCGGATCCCAGAACCCAGTTTTACCTCCACTTTTTTCACCGAAATTCTCACCAAACCCGAATGCTCTCGTTTTTCTAGATGATCACCTCAAATAAACTTACCTAGTTTATCAAATTGTAAATGAAAAAAAAAAGCTGGCTTAAGATTTTCGAATGCCTACAACGATCGTCCTCGTTTAAAAAAGCAAAAGCGTCAAAGCGAAGAGACGGTACTTGAAATGATCGACGCTGATGAAATTCTCTGATCTCACATATTTTTTCACACATTCTATTTCAGCATACTTTTTTCAAAAAAAAATCTGATAACTGAATAGTTTATAAACTCTTGAAAAACTTTGACCAAATGAACAAATGAAAAATTTGCTTATGAGAATTGATTCATTTGATCCATTTGATCCATTTGATTCATTTGTTTCATTTGATCCATTTGATCCATTTGATTAATTTGATTAATTTGATTCAGTTGATCCATTTGATCCATTTGTTTCATTTGATTCATTTAATCCATTTAATCCATTTGATCCATTTGGTCCATTTGATCCATTTGATTCATTTGATTCATTTGATCCATTTGATTCATTTAATTCATTTGATCCAGTTGATCCATTTGTTTCATTTGTTTCATTTGATTCATTTAATCCATTTAATCCATTTGATCCATTTGATCCATTTGATTCATTTGATTCACTTGATCCATTTGATCCATTTGATTTATTTAATTAATTCGATTCATTTGATTCATTTGATCAACTCTCGTAAGGAAAAAAATGCTGAAACGAGTGCAGTAGCTTGTTTCTAAATGTACATTTTAGAAAACAAAAACAAACTTTTAAAGACAAGTTGTTCAGCTATCAGACACTTCACAGTTGGATATAGCTTTTTGAAATTACAGTCAAACTTCGATAAAACGAATTTGGTAATTCTAAAAAGTGATCAAAATTTCTGCGTAGCTGCCCCAGCCAAATGCAATCAGTGGCCATCCAGGGCAGCTAGGCAGAGAATTTGAGGCACTTTTTACGTTTGTTATATCGAAGTTCGACTGTATAAAAGAAAATCTAACTCGGAAAATCTAAAGTTTTTTGTCAATCTTCTTTTGCCAATCTTTTTTTCCTTCAATCTTTCACCTTACATGTAGTTTTTTTTTTTCATATTTTTGATGATTCACGGGTTTTTTCCCAAAAAAAAATTCCACAATTTCATAATTTTTCTCAAATTTTTTCTTTAAACAAAGCTATCTTTTGTGTGAGAAAGTTATTTGTGGATTACTGTAGACTTTTATTGATTTTGAATATCTTTAAATCATTGAGAAAGTTTATTCTGAAAGTTTAGTCTATTTTTATTTAAAAATTTCTTTCCAACTGGTTTCTTACGGTGTATATCTTGAGAAAATTTCATTTTGAAGCATTTTTTGGGGTAGGCTAATTTCTGAAAGTTTTTTTTTGCGCAACAGGCTCATTTGCGCAACTGGGTCGTTTGCGCAACTGGGTCGTTTGCGCAACTCGCCATAATTTTCTTCTAAGTGATTCAATCTTTATGATTTTGGTTTCATTTCGTAGATCTCAATAAGTGCAACAAAATGAAACCAAAATCATAAAGATTGGTCCACTTAACAGGAAGTTATGGCGAGTTGCGCAAACGACCCTGTTGCGCAAAAAAAAATTGGCGCAAAGTAGCCTACCCCCATTTTTCTTTTTTTTTTTTTTTTTTCTTTTTTCATTCTTCATTTTCTTTTCTTCAATAAAATTTACAATTTCAAATAATCATTTATTTCTCTGAACACAGGAAATCTCGCGTTTTCCATTAAATCGGAAAACGTCTTAGTTGCGGAAAGAAATGTTATTAGGAAAAAAAAAAAGAAAATGACTGGAATTTTCATGATGAGCACTAGAAAAGACAAGAAAAAAATAAGATAATATCCGGTTTAATTCCCCAAAAATTAGCATATATATTATTGAGTCGGGTTCTCAAGCAGCTCAAGCTTGTATTTTCTCAAGCAACGTTTCCGCCTTTGTGATTGTGAATTTTCGTCAAAAAAAAAAGTGGACATTGTAGAGTATTTGAGGTGTTTTTAGTGTATTTACTGCATTATTTAGTGCATGGGGCCCAGAAAGGGAAGGGTCTGTGGTCGACCCCGTCCGATCTGCCAAGTTGAGCAACGTCGGCGCGGGTTAGTCGTGGGTTCGACTCCCATGGGCTCCCCTCCGAGCGCCCCAGCCCGGCCATCGGAGTATCATCGGCTACGACAACTACACTTCTGCCTCAGTAAATGTGGAAGCGGGTTGTGATCTGCGCTAAGTGCGAAGACAGATCAAATCATTATTATTTTTTTTTATTTAGTGCATTTCTTAGCATTAGTGCATTTCTTATGCATTAGTGCATTTACTAGTAATATATTACTGGGATATTATTTAGTGTATTTCTTAGCATTAGTCCATTTACTGGAATATATTACTGGAATATTATTTACTGCATTTCTTAGCATTACTGGAATATAACTATATTGATGCATGGGTTTTCTTTTTCTTTCTTTAGTTTTTAAAATGCAAATTTTTGTTTTTTGGGATCTAATCGGATAGTACCAAAGAATGATAATATGCGTTTGACATTTCATAATGATTTTTATACCATAAAACCTGTGATAGTCATAGTTTCTTTTTTCAATTTTCAATTTTCACTTTCACTTTTCTTTGATTTTTAAGCGTTTCCTAGAGCTACTTTACTTCAAGGAGTCTTAAAAGACAATTAGGATCACGATAAATCTTTCTGTGCTTTTAGAAAACGCCTTTTAGATAAGCCTATAGATTCTTAAAGGCTATAGATTCTTAAAGCCTATAGATTCTTAAAGTCTATAGATTCTTAAAACTAAATCTAAAAAAAATGAACTATTCTATCCCAGGTATTATGGTTTGCTTTGCGTTCGTTTCACTATTCGAAGTGAAAGCACAAAGTGGAAATAAGAAAAAAACTGATTCAAACGATCACAAAGATGGGAAAACGATTAGATTTTCATAAAATTCGACAATAACATTCAGCGACGAGAACAAACCCGACTTGGTCTCGGTGTTAAAGGGATTGACGCCGACTACAGCTCGGTGATGACACGAGAATGAGTGGACGACGCACCGCGAACGATCGGGATATATGTGACTCCACTGGCGCTGAAAAAAAGCGTTTCTAGATTTGATTTATGATGCCAGCTATAGATAAAAGTAGAAATTTATAGATAAAACTAGAGATTTTCAACGTTTGAACTTTTGAACTTTTTAACTTTTTTAACGTTTCAACTATTCAACTTTTCAACTATTCAACTTTTCAACTGTTCAAGGCTTCAACTTTTCAACGTTTCAACTATTCAACGTTTCAACTATTCAACGTTTCAACTTTTCAACTTTTCAACGTTTCAACTATTCAACGTTTCAACTTTTCAACGTTTCTCAACTCACCCGAACTCTGCCGGTCTCAGCCCTCCGCTTTGCATTCGTGGAATCCGCGATTGAACCACTGACGGCTAAACTTAATTTTAGAGAAATTGTTAGAGAGAAAAAGGTTTTTTTTATCAAAAAATGCAATAAAACTGGATATAGTAGGTGAATATGCAGCAACCCTAGATATCAATTCTTCTTGCAATTGAAAGCGGATATTCTATCGACTCGATTGAATTGCCCAAAAGATGTCGGCGTTGAGTTGGCTGCTTATGCGTTACAATGTGAGTGTTATACTTGACAAAAATCATCGCTAGAAGTTAACTAAACTTATCTTACAAATAATATAATACTAGAATAATAGGAAATTATATAATAGTAGTTTTTTTTTCTATTATTCTATGTAAGAAAGCTCAAATCCTGAAATCGAACCCTCCAAAGTTTAGCTAATTTTTGAAAAAGTTCTCTTTTCGGATTTTCCTCGCTTTTTTTTCTCAGATTAAAAGATTTTTTGATGAAATTTTGGAGGCAGATGCAGAGGAGGCTATAGAATAAGAAACCAATCAAAAATGCAGGCAAAATTGAGGAAAAAAAATTGATTTCACAGGCCACTTATGGCTTAAGCTCTGAGATCATTCTAAGTCCATTACAGCAAACAAATCTGTTAATATACTTGCTTTAAATTTGTTAATATATCTAAGCCCATCACCATGTGTTACCTGTGCCGGGGAATTTTGCGTGATTGTGGTTTGTGGAGTGATTGGAGTGCGTGGAGATGGAGCCCGAGCAACGGGAGCTCGAATTCCCGATGGGCGTGGAAGAGCTGGTGGAGGGCTCAATCCCTTCTCATTTCCATTCTGCAAGTGCATAAGCAATGATTAGTCGGCTTTTTAGTAAAAGCTAGTATATAAAAGTTAGTATATAAAAAGTCGCAAAAGTCTCAATGGATTTGAATGTACCTGCAAAGGTGAGACAACATATTTCGGGATTCGGCTCTGCGAGAAGGCTTTCGGGTCCTGAATTTTTATTTTCAAGTAAATGATTCAATTGATTTAATAAAATACATCATTAGCTCCGACTGGGATCATTGTTACATGTGGAGTTGGAGTATCACCAGATGAATGAACGCCAGAGGATGAAGATCTCGTTGAATCAGGACTAAATAGGCTTAGTTTTGATTTCTAGATAGATTTGACTTTAAAACAAACCTTTGTCTTGAGGAATTTGTTGAATTAAAGATCAAATTGTCTAGTCGAGCTTCTGCAGCAGCTACTTTAACATTATTGTTATTGTTGTTCACAGTTGGCGGGATTGAGCTGCGTAGATATGGTGGAATGGAGGTCTCAAGATTTGATGTCGTCTAAATTGAGTGACTAGATTCCTTCGCTTTTATCTTATGATTGGATTGATGAATTGAAAACTGCCGGCTAATTGATTTGTTGTTTTGGGAGCGATAATTTGATATCTTATTCATTATGAATCAAGCTTTTTTACTTGGTTTTGCAATTTTTCTTTTTTTCTTTAAAGTTTTTCAAACAGAGCCCTGTTATCGGTGCTTGGTGAGTTCGATTTTCAAAGCTATTGGATTGGTGAATTGAAAACTGCCGGCTATTGTCATATGTGACAGTTTGAGCACTTTCTTCAAAAGAAACCCATTTTGGTGTCAATGGAAAAGTTGTAGAGAATCAAAAATTAAGCTTATATTCAAATTTTTAGAACGATTCAGAAAACTGGTTTTCAAGAAATGCCAAATTTACTAATTTTCACAAAACTTACATTTTAAGCGAAACTACTAAGTGTATCTTTTTGGAAATTTGGCTATAAGCCTAATTTTTGATTCTCTACAACTTTTCTATTGACACAAAAATGGGTTTCTTTTGAAGAAAGTGCTCAAATGCTCAAATGCTCAAACTGGGACATCTCCAGCCCTCCATTTTTGAGTCTCACACTTGTCTCACACACAAACCAAAATCCTACCACGAAAGCGGAATCCGCAAATTGCCTGTAAAATGGGCAGAGGTCGTCAATAATAATGGAAATTATTTGGAATGAATTCATGGTTTTATGTTGAATAAATTTTAGTTCAAAGTCCGGCAGCTTTCAATTCACCAACCCAATAGATAAAAGATAAAGAAACTGTTATCTTATTCGATTAGTAACTCATAAAACCAACCTGTTGTGTGATCGCGTGAACACGTTGTGCCTCACGAGCTTCGTTTCTTTTTTCGCTTCTTGTCATCTCTCGTTGAGCATGGCTTTGTCGAGGTCCATACCTGAAATCCAGTGAATTTTAATCTCACAAGCAATCACAACCAAATTTGATTTAATCTTGCTCATCAATTAGCTAAATATTTATTCTTTCAACACTAATAGTAAGCTTTTACTGTTCTTTAAATCTTACAATCTAACAGTTTTTAAAATCTTCTAACAAAACAACATATTCAGTTGTTTAGCTAAATATCTTATCTAAGCTAAATACCTTATCTAAGCTAAATATCTAAATATCAAACAACAGTTTAGCTAAATATCTTTTACATATTTTCAAGCCAAAGCCAATATCTAGCATTTGAAAAGATCGAACTGTTCGATATCGACGTTATGTCGAAGTTCGATTGTAGATTACCTCTTATCTTACATCTTATCTTACATCTTATCTTACAGCTATATTACATTCAGATCTTGTTTACCGTTGACTTGGTCGTCTCTCGAAATGAGAAGAACTTCTTCTCGACAATCTTCCTCCATCTCGATGCACTGTTTCATATTCGGTTCTTCCTCTGTACTTGAATGTGCTACCCAATCGGAATAATTGATTTTGCCGTTGTCGCGGGTTTTGTCGATTGCTAAACGTTTTCCGATTCTTTCGGCTTTTTTCGGCACGTCTTTTTTTTCGAATTTAGAATTGAAATGTTAAATTCTGAAAAAATAATAAAAAAAGATAAAGCTGAATAAAGTACATTACAGTCTACTTGTCATTTTTTTCGGCAACAGTGCTAAAAATAGTTGCAATTACCCGTTTTCCAATGTTAGTTACAGGAAAATAGCTTAAAGTTAGTGTGAAATCGGAAATAGATAACAGAAAAACACTAGATTCTGCTTATCTATAGTTTGGCATTAATTTGAAATGACAGTCCAACCTGAACTTTAGTCTGAAAAACATATGGTGTTCAATAGCGCATTTCCACAAATGTTTACAAGCTTTCGTCGATGCGAGATTGAAGACAAAAGTATGCATTTGCACTTGACTGCTCTGAAATCATAAATTTACACAAAATTTGATTTGATTTGATTGATTGATTGATTTGAAAATCAACACAAGGTTGATTTTCCAATTAGGCTCAAAATGCACTTTTGTGCTAACTTAATTCATTTTCGTTTGAATTTAAGAAAGATTTTAAAAAAAGATTAAAAGAAAGAGAACGGTTCGATCGATTGGATTGTTCTGAAATTTTGGGAAACTATGCAATCGATGAAGCGTTTTATTTTAAATGATTTAAACGATGCGAGATTGAAAACAAAAGTATGCAATTGCACTTGACTGCACTGAAATCATAAATTTACACAAAATTTCTTTTTGTATTACTATTTATGTTCAACCGTTTCCTTAGTTGCAACAATGAAATATTGTAATATCCTACCGTAAATACTGTAGTTGGACCCCACCGCCCATAATGACGGTGCGGAGTGTTGCGTAGTCTAGCTTTGAACGAGTGTTTCTCGACACTGGTTTATACTACAATGGGGGCTTAGGTATCAAAAAATAGCCCTGAATTTCAGCTATTTTTTGATACCAAAGACGCATTTTTTTGAAAGTACGGACGCTATGAAAAAAATGAAATACTAAAAAACTTTTGCGACTACGCGACTGTACGAGGGCGGTGGGGTGCTATTACAGTATTTACGGTATTTGCTTTGATTATGCAACTAGAGCAATTATGCAACAGAGCGGATGCAATTATGCAACATATGAAAAGTTCATTTTAGTCTTTAGTCTTCATATCCCGCCTTGCGCAGCTATGAAAGTGTATTTTAGTTATTATGTACCTTGCTTAGAATTTATGCTCGTGCTTCATCCAATGGTGTGGTTTAGTCTTTATTTCTGTGTTTTGTGTTCAACCGTTTCCTTAGTTGCATAACGAAATATTGTAATATCCTATTTGCTTTGAGGAGACTAAAGACTAAAATGAAGAACTTTTCTCCTCCCAAAATCACCTGCACCCAACCCTTAACTTACACAAAACTAACTTTCAAATGTGATTCGTCGACTTTGCAGAGTGAAACGCGGTTCGATCGGTTAGATCAATAAGATCTCGATTTAAAACAAACCTTTGTCTTGAGGAATTTGTTGAATTAAAGATCAAATTACATTATATTGTTTCTTATTTTCTTATTCAATATAAAATAATAAAGATCGAAGTTTTTTTGAATACAAACCGCTGGATCCGCATCCTCTTCAACAACAAGTGTGATCTTTTTGCTTTTAAAGTCCAACTTCTGAATTTTCTCCCAGAAAAAGAGGCCAATCTTTTGCGGGCCATCAAAAACGAGCATTCCAGTTGGGGTTAAACCGAGAGAGTAACTGAATTGTTGAATGATTTTCAAAAATTCTTTCAGAAATCTTTACTTATTCCCATCTTTTCCCTCAACAATATGCATATCCACTCCATACATCTCAAGCCATTTTGCTTTGTTTAAAAAGTTTAGCTCAGCTTGTGCCGGGGTTTGTCCGCTGAAAAGAAATTGAAATAATTTGACAAAATTTTAAGATCAAATGATATGATAGATGTTGTAATTTTTCTAATTTAATTTAGTTTACCGGCATTCTTTGAACTTTTCCACTACATCCAACTCCATTTGTTCATCTTGTTGCGGATGGAAGCGAAATTCGGAGATGAAAAGAGCTGTGTGTTCGATTGGATTGTAATCACCGAGTTCAGCTGAAAAAGAGCTGAATCACCGAGTTCAGGGTTCGATTTCAGGATTTGAGCTTTCTTACATAGAATAATAGAAAAAAAAACTACTATTATATAATTTTCTATTATTCTAGTATTATATTATTTGTAAAATAAATTTATTTAACTTCTAGCGATGATTTTTGTCATGTATAACACTCACATTGTAACGCATAAGCAGCCAACTCAACGCCGACATCTTTTGGGCAATTCAATCGAGTCGATAGAATATCCGCTTTCAATTGCAAGAAGAATTGATATCTAGGGTTGATTTGTTAGATGTTAGTTGCTAGTTTTTAGATGCTAGATGCTAGATGTTTACAAGAGATCTTTGCTATATGTTGTTCTTTGTTTCTTATATATTTTCATTTCTAAACCTTGTCAATTCTTCTCGCAAATTGTTTGGCTCACTGGTGTAGAATTTAACTCGAAAGCGGAAAGTGTAGGGTGGACCGATGGGCACTTGCTTTGAGACTCGTTTCGCTGGATCTAGCCAGTGCTTAAAATCGATTTTGTCAAATGCTCAAATCAAATTTTGTATTGAAAAACAAACCTGTACGTGATAGTGATCGGTGAATTGAAGCCCGAAATAGTCTCTCTCGTCTAGGTCGAGAGTGTAGAAAAGTTGCTCGTAAACCTCTTCGCCAAGAGCTTTTCGCTGGAAAAGTTTGAATGATTTTAAAATCGACTCAAACATATCAATAAATTGTATTCTGAACTAGCAATAAGGTCGTATGTCTTGAGATAAAGTCACTTTTGAGCCAGTCTTCATCGACCCTTGTGGTCTAATGGTTAGGACTCTTGGATGCCGCTCAGGTGTTCCGAGTTCGATCCCCGGGCATGGGCAACGATCGCCAGCCTTTCTCCTTTTTCACATTTTACGAAAAGAGACGTTTTCCAATTTCACAATTTTATTCTCTTTCTCTTGAGAGACAATTTTCGAATCGAAAAATCGTGGACCAAAATCAAAAAAACATTCTTATGAGAAATATGGGCGGCGCGATAAAAGGGACCGTAATAAGCGCGAAAGGGAAAAAAAAGAGAAAAGAGCAGCTGTCGCTCATCTTTCTCACCCTCTAATTAGCTGATATTCACCCAATTTCCGTTTTCATCTATGATTTAGATTTAAATCTTTTGTTTTTGATTCACTTACCGAAACAACGATACTTAAATCCGTGCCGTCCAACAGCAAAACCTTGCAGCAAACCTAAAAATCATTTTCTTTTACAATAAACATCGATTTGAATGACCTGCTCTGGTTTTTCTTTGAAAAAATTCATCTTTGTTCACCCAGAAAGCTTTTTTTTTGGCTTAAAAGTGCAAAAATCGAGAAAATCGAGAAAATCCAAATAAAATACCTTATCAAGTACCAAATACCAAATAAAATACCAAAATACCTTATCAAGAAACGGTTGAGTCATATAGTTGATGTAAATTATTTATAAATAAATAAAGTAATGGATTAGATTTGAGAAAATAGAGAATGAAAGAGTTGAGAGATTTGTTGTGAAAATTGGTTGCTCCTTGAGCCCGTTCTTCAGCTCACTTTTCTCGAAAAGCCGTGCAATCCCCCAGTCTCAGTCTCCGTCTCACCACTCACCCCTTTCTGGGTCAACTCTTTCGACTTTAGCCGATACTTGACTTGAATGAGCTTTTTTTTTTGACCTTTTCCACACTCCCGGATCTTAGAATTAAATTTTCTTTCGAGCTTCAGCTAACTTTTGAGTTAACTTTAACAAAATAAGCTAACCTTATTTTGTCTACTTTGAAAAATGAACCAAATTTCTTATTATCAACGCTTTCCTTTTTTTTTTCTTGTTTTCTGTTTTCTCTAACATTCCTTCACCTAATCCGGCTCTGTTTTTTCGACATGATAAGACAAAGGAATTTATGAAATCACGGCTATTAATTTCTTTATTTTATAAGCGGATTCTATTGCGATTGAGAAATCAAGTAGAACAAAAGTCAAATTCAAACTTCTTCGATTGCTTGTTGGATGGTAAAGTTTGCACAAAAACCGGGAAAATAGTTCAAGGGATAAGGCGAGTGTCAAGTGGGGGTAAAGGAGAGTAAAAGAAGGGATCTAGCTCTAGAGGAAATCTGAGCCACTTCACAAAAAAAGAAATGATTTTTTCACTGGATTTTCTTTCAAAAGACTCATGATTTTTGAAATTTGCAAAGAAGTTTATATTTTTTTTGCTTAGAAAGAATCCAAGAAGATCAGTTTAAAGCTGCTTAAAGGTAAATAAGCTTATAAAATGCTGTAAAATGCTGTTAAAAGCTACTAAAAGCTGTTAAAAGCTGTTAAAAAGCTGAAAAATTGACCAAAATGATGCAAACTGGTCAAAACTACAAAATGATCTAAAAAAAGCTTTCTAGACTTATTAGGTAATTGTTGAATTTGATAAATTTTTGGATTTGATTGAAGTTTTAAAACGAAAATGTTCGATTGAGCTTTAGGAATGATTTTCAAGATTTTGAATTGATTGAAAGATTTAAATTTTAAAAAAGAGCATGATTGGTTTAAAAAGAAGAAGAAGAAGGCTTTCATTGAAATATTTGATGAAAATATTTGAGAGAGAGAGAGAGAAAGAGAAAGAGAAAGAAATAAAGAGAAAGAAAGAGATTGAATAGGAAGTGCCATTGATTCGGAATGCGCGCGCGAGCCAGGCCATCACTTCCACTCTCCCTTATACTCCTTTTCCCCCATCCACAATAGCCGATGCTCACACACACACACACACAAAACAACATATAGAATACACCCGCCCATTTTCACTAAACAGTCATCATTTACCATCTGACAGCAAAAACCCATTTGATTTTACTATAGCTTTGTGAAAAATTTGAAAAATTTGAAAAATACCACTTGAAGCTTGAAGCTTGAAGAAAAAAGCTTAGCAACTAAAGTATCAGCTTAAATTAATGCAGGATAGAACAGGGAAATACAAAAGTAACAGTAGATAAACAGTAGATTTCTTATTTAACTGGGAAATCCATTTTATGCTAATTTTATCCTAATTTTATGCTATTTTATGCTAATTTTCAACAACTATACAAGTTTAAATCTTTTACAATCTTTTACAACTTTAAAATCACCAAAAATCTTTTGCTATCAGTTAATAAGGGCAAAAAATCTAATCGATATTGATAGAAAAACTGGTAAAGATATATAGGAAATTGGTGGGACGAGAAATTTTCAAAAAAGATTCTGAAGTGTGAGATGAACAGTGTTAAAGAGTGGGAATCCCCTGGTCGAAATGTGAATTAAACATTCAGCGAAACATGGGCATATTTATCAGTTCTCTCTTTGAGGCTTTGATTCTTTTGATAGGAAAGCTTTTCCCTTTCAGAAGAGTCAAACGGCAAATGAAAAGCAGAAAAGAAAGAAAGAAAGAAAGAAAAGAAAGAAAGAAAAGAAAGAAAGAAAGAAAAGAAAGCGAGTGACTCACAAGCATTCAGCACTTTCTTTGGTCATCACTCTTTTTACGAAATTTCTAGGAATAAGGTAAAACAGAAATTTGTAAAATAGCTTTTTATAGCATTTTATAGCAGTTTTCAACTGTTTTCTTTAAGAATTTTTTCAGAATTCAGAAAATGATTCAGGAAATGAGCTTAAGATCTAAGCCAAAGACAGATCAAGCTTTATTCCAAGAATAATCTTTATCCTTTAACTTTTGAGTAGACAAAATGTGTAAATTTCTTCTCATTTTAAGGTCAAATGAAACTTTTCTTCAAACCTGTTTCCTTGGATCGATGTCTCGAGGTTGATTCTGATCGAAACGACGTCGATTATCGCGTCGAAATCGAGCAGAAAGCGTTCGAAAGAGTGACGGCATTCTGGAAATTGATTCTGCTTGTTGGATAGACTTTTTTTTACATAAAAATGATTTAAAACGTCAATTCCTAGCTGTTATCAATTGTGGGAAAGTTCCGAAAGACATTTTCAAGTAGTAATAAAAGTTTTTTCTGAACTGGGAAAGGCTTGAAAGAGTTTTAGCTTGAAAGGGATAGATAGAGAATGGATAATTGAAGATTTAACCTAATTAAATACAAATTTGGGTTCAAAGTACAAGAAAAGAAACGGGTTTAAACCGTTTAAACAAGACACATTCTGGCCACACAAAAAAAAATGTAGAGAGTGGGTGGGCATTGAAGAAAAACGGCATGAAATCGGAGCCGAAGAAGGGCTGGACGCGAGAGGAGAGAAAAAGTGGACCCTTGGTGACAACCCCTTGTCCCCTCGTCCACCCTATCCACTCTTTACCTCACTAAACGAAATGGCACCTCATGAATCGCGGAGAAGTCCCACGCAAAGATCAAGGAGACGAATGCCAAACGCTTGGCACTTGTAAACGAGAGACTAGTTTTGGTCTACTTTCTTTCTTCCGCAAACGATCAATCGGGTAATCGAGGAGAATCGACGAAGAAAAGGGGTAAAAGCAAAAATTGCCAAGTGAACACAGGTGATTGTAAATCGACTCGGGCAAAGAGAGACTCACTCTGTGAATGCCCAGATGTGCTGATGTGCTACGGGATTTTCTTGAGAACTTGATACTTTGCATTTCTTCTCTAGTACTAAAACTAAAGCAGTTTTATCGTTTTGAAAGAAGAAGAAAGTGATCTTTTTGGACAATGAAAGCAAGCAATTTTTGAGCAAAATCTTGTAAAATTTGCATATAAACCAATTTAGAATAGATGTCTTGAAATCAGATTGCTGAGAGATCGTAATCTTAGCTCACCTTTTAGTTCAGAAGATACACAATCGCTTCAAGTCGAGAAACCGTTTTTTTAAAGGCGACGAGCGCCTCTTTCAAAGCTTTTCTCTAAAATAAAAATAAAAATTGAAACTCTAAAATGTTACAAAATTGATAAACCTAAGAATGGTAGAAAAAAAAATGAAAAAGATGAAACTTTTTAAAGGTGAACAATGAAAAGGAAAAAAATAGGGAAAAGGACAAAAAAGTGAATGATTTGTTGGGGGAAAGAAGACGGATCGTTTGAAGAGACGAAGGACAAAAACGGGAATCGATTGCAAGAATGGAATGGGGTGAGTGGAATGGAATGGATCCATTTGAAGAGATGGAGATCGGTGGGACAGAGTTGCTCAGATTCATTTCTTTTTTTTTCCTCTACTTGATAGTCAAGGTTATTTTTCTGTGGGTGGAGAAAGTTTTTCGTTGAAGAAATGGCTTTTGTTTTTGGGTTTCAATCACAAAAAGTTTTTGGGCATCAATCACAAAAAGCTATGCGCTTTATCAACAAATGTTACGAAGCAAAAACGGTTTACCCAGCTTTTCTCTCGAATTTTTTCACTTAATCTCTTATTTCAACTCTATTCTAATCCCAATTGAACTTCTTAAACTTGTTTAAATCAAAATTCAAAGCCTGAATCTGAATCTGAAAACTTGAGAAGTTTAAAGTATATTTATTCGACACGGATAATGAATTACAACACAACGGAGGAAATTTTTATCCCGAATTACCCCTATTACCCAAATGTTGTTAAGAAAAAACCCATAATAATGGGAAAAAGAACCAAACTTTCTAGCCGCGATCGAGGATCGAGCCCTTAACCCCCAACTAGGAGACAAGACTCCTATCCGGTCGGCTACGACGGCTGGACAAGACTCCTATTCAGTCGGCTACGACGGCTGGACGAGACTCCTATCCAGTCGGCTAAGACGGCTGGACAAGACTCCTATCCAGTCGGTTACGACGGCTACAAATGATAACAAAACTTTCTACAACGAAAATCATCAATAGAAAATGATCAAAACAAAAAGTGAATCAATCATTTCATTAAGGCAAAAATACTCTAGCGAAGAGGTCAGGTAAGAGGAAAATTATGCGTGCGTGGAGAAGGGAAACGAGTAAAGAGGGAGATGCAGGTGAGGGAGCAGGGTCATGCCCTCCCTCCTCCTCTCTTTCTCACTAGATTTTGTGAACCACTGGGGGAGCTGATGACCTTGACAATCGCCAGCTGCGCCTCTTTTTCGCTTTTTTCTCTCTTTCCCCTTCACCTACCACCCCAGCTCTTCATCCATTTTCTCAATATTAAAAGCTCTGCCCGATAATTCATGTAAATTGAAAAAAAAAACTAAGCAACTATTGTATAAGATAACAATTAAATAAACCGATTGAATCGTATTAGACGAGATTTAAAAGTTTAAAGATTCAGATTCAGATTCAGATTCAGATTCAGATTCAGATTTACAAGATTCAGATTTACTTTTTAAAAAATATATATAGCGAAAAGCGAAAGCTAAATATCCTTTAAGCGGAAATTTCGCAAATACTTTTTTAAAAAAAAAATTCTATCAAATGAAAGTATTTCAAAGGGTTTAGTTTTCAATCTGTTCAAATAAAACCCAAAATTGGGCATATTTGGCGGGCATATTTGGATAAACAGGCAAAAAAAACTCAAATTTTAGATTTGGGAAGGTAGAAGAAGGATATTTCAAGGAAGAATGGAGGATATTTTAAAAAAAAAAAGAGAGAAAATGGCTTAATAAGTCTTTCGCAAAATGACAATAAAAGAAAAACTAATAAAAAAAAAGTTTTCGAATTGATTCGAAAATATTAGAAAGATTAGATTAAAAAGATAAGTAAATATTCGATTTCCCTTATAAAATTGATCTAAAAAGGGATCAAGAAATGAAATCAATGGGTGAATAGGGAAAAAAAGAGAAAAAAGGAGAAAAAAAAGGAGAAAAACATCGTTTTGGTGGGGTACTCGATAACGAGAGAGTTTGGGTGGTTGGTTGAGAGACATTCCATTGTTGTCTCATCATCATTATTGTGGGGTTCTGAAGGGAGACTTAGGGCTACCCTAGAGTAATAAGCATACAAGGACACCCCTTTCCCTCCTTTCCCCCCATAAACACTTAACCACATCTCAAAAATAACCTTAAAACTTGAAAAAGAGGTGTTCTTTTCTAAATGTTTTTACAAAATGGCTATACTAAAACAACTATAATAGCAAAATTCGTAAGAATTTTTCCTTGTTAAAGGGATATTTGTAAACCTATCGTAATCTGTTCTTGGATTTTATCTATTCTATTGATTTATATGTTGTGTCCGATTTAGATTTCCTTCCGATTTAGATTACAGTCTATATCGGACGTCCGATTTAGATTGAATCTAAATCGGACGGAAATCTAAATCGGGCACAACATATATATAATTTAATTCAAAATGGACTGGATTTGATGATAATTAGTCATTCATTATCAAATTTCGGTCGGTTCTCATCCCCATCATCTTTCCCTTTATCATTCTTTGCGAACCGTATTAGTTTACAGGAATAAGCTTTGCAATAAGCTTTGCAATAAGCTTTGCAATAAGCTTTAGAATAAACTTTGGAATAAACTTTGGAATAAACTTTGGAATAAACTTTGGAATAAGCTTTACAATAAGCTTTACAATAAGCTTTACAATAAGCTTTACAATAAGCTTTACAATAAGCTTTACAACAAGCTTTACAAAAAGCCCCATCTGGTATCTTTCTCGTCTGTAGGAAAATTGAAAGTATCTTTAAACGAATTAGATCTTATTGCCATATCAAATCTATCCTAGATTTAATCTTTTTGTACCTGTGTTTCCTAACTGTACGATTTTTAGTTTTCTTTCTTTTTTTTTGTGAAAGTATTGTAGTAATATGATATATGCGGTTATGATTCGATTGATATATGTTTCGCTTCTATTCGCCCCTTGAATAAAGCATATTAATTAAGTAAGTAAATTAGATCAATAATACGATATTTTTCTAAAATTATCCATCATTTAGAAGATGCAAACTCTAAAATAAATATAAAAGATCAAATTTTGAGAACAACAAAATGAAAAGGATCTTTTTTGAGAACATTGAACGAATAACTAATCAAAAAGAATTGTTTGATAACGAGACTCAATATCAGCTTTGTTCTCAAAAAGTGAAAAACTAACAATAAGCTTGGAAAAGGATTAGCGCTTAGTGTTATAAAATTAAAAAAAAAAAGCTAACGAAATCTTGAATATTTCTAACTACAAACACGAAGAAAGGAAAAGCGACTCTTGCCTCAAATTCACAATATTTGTCACCAAGTTGTCGGAAAGATTTGCGAAAAGAAGCAAGACATGAATGTACACCCCTTTTCCTCTCCTCAGCGTTTGCACTTCATCAAACAACCATTCCACACATCATGCGCACAAATATTGAAAAGACTGCATTCTAAGCTTCGACTTAGCAAGGTCAAACAATGTTATCAATGGATTGAAAATCTTGAAAAGCGATTCAGATTGACAAAAAAAGAAATTTTTGAAGTCCTAATCAAATCTATTAGCTTTGATATTTTAAGACGTTTTAGAAAAACGCTTTAGTCTACTCTAGAGGTACAGTTGCAACCGTTAACCAATTTTCAATCAAATGCGGAAAGGTAGACATAGACGAGATTAAAGTTATATATAGCCTAATCTTCATTTGATCGACTTTAGCGAAGAAATCGAGGGGAAAGCTTTCAAAGGTGCGGTCGGCAGAGGTTTTCTGGGTGGGCGATCTGGGGAAACTAGCTGATGTGGTTTTTGCTAGTTAAAAGAGGCGAAACGATCGTTCCGGTGTGCGGGTCTTAGATCCTTTTCTTTTCCCCTTTTCTTCTTCATCCCTTTCCCTATCACTGTTTGTAGTTGTGCTATCGAGCGCCTCAGGGATGTGGGGGACACGAAAAAGTCCTTGTGGCGCCCACACAACGACCTCTTTTCATTCTTTATTCTTTCTCATTCTCATCGACTTCTACCCTCTCACCTATCAACAATCAGATGATTTTATGAACTGAGGATTACTCCTTTTGCAGTAATAATT